GTATATGTATATGTGTGTGTGTGTATATATATATATATATTCATATTCTACCCTCTAGAAACCATGAGTAAAGGTCAGGCCTCCCTCTTTAAAGATACAATTCTTTACAATTTTATAACAGCTGTTAAATATATTTTCATATTTTGAGTCTACATTGGCTAGTTGAGCATTTGATTAAAGGTTTCTAACAAAACCTATAAATGGATAATCAAAATTTAGTATTAGCAGATATTGAATACTTAAGTTGGTAAGGACATTTCATCAAGAAGTTACTTGGTGGGGCTGGAGTGATAGCACAGTGGGTAGGGTATTTGCCTTGTATGCGGCCGGCCCGGGTTTGATTCCCAGCATCCCATATGGTCCCCTGAGCACCGCCGGGGTAATTCCTGAGTGCAAAGCCAGGAGTAACCCCTGTGCATTGCTGGGTGTGACCCAAAAAGCAAAGCAAAAAAAAAAAGAAGTTACTTGGTATTTCAGTATTGTAAAATATATAATTTTTAGCATGATGGTTTAGTTCTAGTTTATTACATTTGAACTATTTTCTTCTGGGAAGACTTTCATAAAATGAAGTCATTGTGTCTCCCAATTGAAACTTTTAGCCATAAATTCAGTTTAAAGCAGCTTTTTGTTTTGTTTTGTTTTGTTTTTGAGCCTCAAAAGTCCTGAGTTAGCAGTGCTCAGAGCTTACTCCTGCCTGGCTGTGTGCTCAGGGATCACTCCTGGCAGGATTTAGGGGACCGTATGTGGTGCTAAGGATCGAATTTGGGTTGGCTCTGTGAGGAGCAGGTGCCCTACCCACCATTACTATTGCTCTAGCCCCCGGGGCAGCATTTCTATGAAAGTAATATACAAAAGGCTAGGGCATGCATAGCCCAGGTTTCCTCTTATTCCTCATGAAAGCATGTCTAAATCCAGGTGAGTAAAGCCATCACAGAGATAACCTTGGTTTTATTTCTAAAAGATGAATTTTTTAAGGGGTTTTTAATTGTTAGTACCAAAAAACCTCACAGCTTATCCTCTGAGTGGTATTTGATAATCTTGACACTTGTCTTTGAGTACCCTTGCTTTAAAGAATTAAATGCATTCCCCCCTCATTGGCTTTTGTGCAAATCTTATTTCCTGGTTGATATCCATTACAAATTAGATCTCACCGTGAGAGTGCAATCCTTTAAGAAGTCTAGTTAAAAACAACTAAGTAGCAATATGATGCTACTTCCTGTGGGACCACTAGGAGTGGTGTTTGCATCAAGTCATTTTGGGGTGCTTTATGGAAATGCTTCCTGATTGTGAAGTCCCTGAATGGCTTTTTTTGGGGGGGCCGGGGCAGGGTGTTGTTCTTCATAATGATTACAAGAACTGGACCACGAAACCACATTTAGCCAAGAGGAGATGTCCCCTAACACATGGAGGATGTTTCGGTGTCAGGTCTGAGGATTTCAGTCATTCAGAATGAAGGACCTGTTGGAATCATTTTCTGTATGTTGAGAATAGGTAACTAAAATGAGTGGTAACGATTTTGCATGTGATTTGTACGTTACAGTTAACATTTAAATTATCTTATGTAGTAGAGGACTTTTTGGTTGCCACTGCAAACCTCTCTGTCTTCTAAGGCAGAGTGATTTCCCATCTCAATTTTTGTTTCAGCATATGAACCCTAAAGTGCCGTAGTTCAACCACAAGCACCTTTAACCCAGAAATGATATTTGCTTCATGTTTGAACAACAAATGTTTTAACTTACACTGTCTTCACTAATATTGTAACTACTGTCTTACAGATTGACTTGATGCAAAACATCACAAAGGCTCCATATTATACAGTATGCGATTTTTGAGGTATGAGCTTTAGAAACTTACCTCTCATGTGGCATGTACATCAGGCTTTAACTGCAGTTTAATCATTTTGGGGAAACTTATGCATTTCTTTTTTTCTCTCTTTCCATAATATTTTTAGACTTTAGAGGGGCTGTGGAGGTATTTTTGAATCCTTGCTAGGTTTCTTAGTCTCAACAGACATATTTTCTTTTATCACTAAATTGAGATACTAATTCTGGTAGATAATAGATTTTTCAGCCCTTATAACTAGCTTAACATTTATGTCTGCCTCTTTGAATTCGAGTCTGCATTTTCTATTTTGTGCCTTTGATTGCTTCCTTTAAGTGCTCATTTCTGTTCTTTAGCAGTTCTCTATTTATTGGTTGTGGGTGATCTTGGTGCTAATAGCCTGATAACTTTTTTTATTTTTTAAAGAAACCTAAGCAGGCTAGATATTACAGAAATAGAAATTTCATAAAAATTTTGATCAGTTTTCTGCTTTTGGGCTCTGAATACCTGTAATTTGAATTCTGGTTGGAAATGTTAATTAAAAGAATCTGGCCACATAGAGGCTTACTAGATAGCTCTGAGGTAGCGGTTCTGCCTCAGTGAAATTTCTGGTTGTATTTCTAAGACTCAGATTCTAAAAACAAATCTTAGTGTTCATAACTCTTAAATTAAATTAAGAAGTTGCTCTTTTTTTTTTTAAAGTATAGTGAAGTTTTTTCAGTGAAGAATTGGAAATCAGTTGCTATATATTGAGTGTAACAGTTTGTGGTCACCTGCTCACTCATGAGTTGCCTCTACATAGTTACATTGGAACCCTTGAGTTTAGTGTTATGGTCCTGAATGCTTTGGGTGTACCCCTTGAGCTAAGTACTGTTTGAGATTTATTACACAAAATAAACTTACAGTTGAGACAGCAAAGTTTCAGAAGATAGCCGAGGCTTGGAGATCACCGTGTAAAAAGTCATACAGACCTTTATAGTGATGGGCCCCCATCTTCTCTAATCTGTATTCTCTGCCGCCTCCTCTATGTTTACTGCTCTGTCACCAGCAAACGACATGTATGCATACTTAAGTGTCAGGGTAGGATATGTGATCACTGTGATGAAAACAAAAACAAAACGCATGTGTTGAGACAAGCGAGCTTGGTGTTTCAGAATCCTTTTACTTACTCATTTGCTAACATCTTTTTCAGATTGTGCTATAGGCTTACAGAAAAACTCATATTCATTTTGAGATTCTTTCCCAAAATTAAGTTAAAAATTATGGTTTATTATAGTCGCATATGTACAGAGAGATGTTTTAATATTAGTTTTAAGAAGTTCTCATAGTTTTTTGAGTATTAAATACATTTAAATATTTACAAACAATATACTTAGAAAATATCCTCCCCTCCTGAAATCATACTTTAATTTTCCCATATTTTAAAATATTGAGCATCGTCAAGTATTAAGCAGTGAACCCTGAATAAAGGTACTCCATTATAGAATATCATTTTAATATGTTAGGTTTATGAATTTAATAGTTTCAAATTGAGTCTTTAGGAATAAAGTTAGATTTGGTACTTCTAGGTACTAACTTTAATTGGATCTATTGTCTGCATTCTATGTTAACAGTTAACTGGTTAACAGTAAATACAGATCAGGGTCTCTGAGCCTTTTTGAAGTCCCATGGTTAGTATTCTTGTAGGTAGGGGAATGAAAGATGATTAACTTGAAGGTAGACACACAAATTCTGCAATCATCTTTAGACATGGTAGAGAGGGGTTTGGGGTAAGTAGGAGGTTAGTTTCTGTTGTTTTTAGTAAATATCAGTGACTGCACCCACCTCTCATGCCTCTAGAAGGTTGTTCTCTGATGAAATGTCAGTAGGAATAGAACTTTTTTGCTGTTTGTTTTTTTTTTAATGTAGCCATAGAGCACCTAGTGACACTGATTGGTGGTTGAAAGAAGACTCGTGAGAAATTATGAGCCTCAGTTTCCTGTTTTATTGATGAGGACTTTTGAGATATAGACCAGATTCTTATATAAGGACCCCAATTTTACCCTGCGACTTGTTATGAATGCCCAGGTATCAGGAATTAGAGATAAAATCTGAATTTTTAATAGTTACGGACTGCAGCATTCAAATTCAGCTTTATTAAAGATCCTTCGTTTTCTGCCTCTTTTCTCTTTTGGTTCTGGGAATCAAACCCAGGGCCTCACACATGTGCAGTGCAGGCCTTTTCTTCTGGGACACCCCCCTGAGCTTTACTGGTTTCATCTTTGAAATTCTTAGATACTCTTTTATAGTTAGGAGACTTTCAGTGAATTCTTTGCTATTGCAATGCATTCAAATAATTTTACTTCGTAGCTAATGTATTCTAAGAGCCTGTTACTAGAGCTTGCTTTCAAATTCTATAACATTTTCCTACAAAATAACCAAAGTACAAAATCAGGTGCTAAGAATGCCACATTGCCCCTGAGTAGTACTTTAAAATAGTTTGATGTAACATATTGCCTGTTGCCAGTGTATTTAATTTTTACAACAGGGGAGATTACCATAGGGAAGGCTAATTTTTCCACTAATTAAACCTTTGCTTGTAGCGGTTTTGGAAGAATTATTCTCTTTATCAAGTGATGTGAAAGAGAACCCTGGTCCCAGTTTATTTGAGTCTGAGGGAACTGGAGGAGACAGGAATTTCAGTGCAAAAAAATGGTCTAGTGTCTAGCAATCTCTAGGAGTGAGTTGATCATTTTATTTTTATTTATTTATTTATTTATTTTTTGCTTTTTGGGTCACACCCAGCAATGCACAGGAATTACTCCTGGTTCATGCACTCAGGAATTGCTCCTGGCGGTGCTTGAGGGACCACATGGGTTGCTGGGAATCGAACCTAGATCGGCTGCGTGCAAGGCAAACGCCCTACCCGCTGTGCTATTGCTCCAGCCCCCGGGTTGATCATTTTAATCCAATATTTGTTCCTATTTCCAAATGAGTCTTGAGAGTAGCAAAAGGGGAAAACCTCACTTTTTATCCCTTTTTTCCTAGTTGAGACTTAGATAAGGGAGTGTGTTCTTACGGTGGTTAAAAAAATCAGAAAGGTGGGGAAAAGAGAGAGGCTTGTATTTGAACTATTTGATTTATGATTTGAACTATTAAAATGTTTAAAGTTCTAATCTTACTCTCTTCTCTCTTTACAGAACTGATAGTGCATCAGCCGACCCAGATAATTTAAAATATTCTTCATCCAGAGATAGGAGTGTGTCTTCTTATGGACTGCAGCCTTCAAATTCAGCTGTGGTGTCTCGGCAAAGGCACGATGATACCAGAGTCCACACTGACATACAGAATGACGAAAAGGGTATATATAAGTGTGTGCGTGTGCGCACGTGTGTGTGTATGTGTATGTACATATTTGTATTGTTGCTAGAGGCATTTTAAAAACTACCCAGTTTTCTTTCTCTTCTGCACTTCTAGTAAGTTTAAAATGTAAATATTAGTGTTACTTTGATTCTTTGTAATAAATGTATTCTCTCTAAATTTAAGTGTACATTGTACATGTGTGCATGTAACACAGAAATGATAAGTTATGTCTTCCTTGTCATGTCCTCTGTCCTGTGTATGGTTATCATAAAGGCTGCAGTTGCTCCCTACTGTCTCTTTTTTTTTTTTTTTTTTTGCTGTTTGGGTCACACCCGGTGATGCTCAGGGGTTGTTACTCCTGGCTTTGCACTCAGGAATCACTCCTGGTGGTGCTCCAGGAACCATGTGGGATGCTGGGAATCCCGGGTTGGCCACGTGCAAGGCAAACGCCCTACCTGCTGTGCTATTGCTCTAGCCCCTCCCTGCTGTCTTTCCTTTAGATTTCAAAAAAGCTTTTTAAAGTCCCAAATCCTACTTAATTTAGATTTTTTCCCCCCTCCTCTTATCTTCTACTGAAAATACTAACAAAATGACTTCAAACGGACAACACAGGGAAAAAGAGTAGGAGAAGCAAAGGCTGGTTGTGCTGCAGATTGGGCAATAAAACCCTCAGCTATCAGGAATTGATTGAGTGAAACAACCCTATTAAATGTCACTGTTGCTGTTTTTAGGTGGCTACAATGTCAATGGAGGATCTGGGGAAAATACTTATGGTCGGAAGTCGTTGGGGCAAGAGCTGAGGGTCAACAATGTGACCAGCCCTGAGTTCACCAGTGTTCAGCATGGCAGCCGTGCATTAGCCATCAAAGACATGAGGAAATCACAGGGTAAGGCGGGCAAATGCACCAGCCCCTATCCCCTCTCCTCCGGGGGTCCCCAGTGCTTACTAATGCTTTTTACTAGGGCTTGTCACCAGTGTCTTAAACTGCATGTGGTGGTTAGTTTATGCTGAGTTGAAAAATGTACAGGCATTTGGAATTCTTTTTCTGTGACCTGTTTCTTCTTCCTCTCAGTCTTCATCATCTTTTTTGTTTGGTTGTTGTTGGTTTGGGACCACATCCAGCTGTCCTCAGGGACTCCTTCAGAACTAGTATCTGGGAGTAGCTGAGGTCATCTTGGGAGTGCTTGGAGGATTATGTGGTGCCAGGGATAAAAACTAGTGCTCCTGTACGCCAAGCCTGTTTTTCAGCTCCTCAGGCTACCTGGCTCCTTATATTATTATTGCTATTACTGTTGTTATTATTATTATTATTTAATTCCTGCCCTTTGAATTGTTTCTTAGAGGCAGTTCCCACTAGAAAAGTTTTAATGCTTTGAATTCTCTTAAAATTAGATGAGAAGCCTAGATAAGATTTAGACAGGATTATCCGGATTCATGCTGGTTACTGACTCCACATTGTGTAGGGATTTGAGTGTAGATGGGATTAGCCTCAGGACTGACCAGATAGTTCTGGGCTGAACCATAGGCTCCTCTGTGTGCCTTATTTGAAGAAGATTTTATATTTCGGATAAATTTTCAAAACTAGAATGATTAAGTAAAAGGATATATTGTTATATCTTAGAAGTGTTAAAGTCATAAACTAAATGTCTAATAGAAACTAGAAAGCGTATTGTGTATGACTAACAGTAATCCGATGTTTGCCCAACTGAATGTGTGATTGCCTCTCACCAGAACTTGGTCGTAGGTCAATAGCTTGGAGAAGATGTGGGTGAGAAATAGAAGATGGTTAGAGAAATTAGAAATGGTTTCCTGCCCCTGACCTCTGGAGGTCTATTCCCTGCACGCCTGCCCTTTCTTATCCGAATGTAGAAAGCAGCTTGGAAGAGATGGGAAGAAAATAATCTCTAAGCCTCTTTTTTCTTTAAAAGAAAGGGTTTTAATTGAAGCACTGTGAATCACAAAGTTTATAGAGTTATTCATGATTTTCAGGTTTCCCAACACCAGTCCCTTCACCAGTATTCACTTCTCAACTCCAGTTTCCCTTTTCCTCCTTCCTATACTCCTCCTTTTTTTTTCTATTTTTTAAAGGCACTTGTGGTTTGCAATACTGTTATTGATAGAGTATCATGCATGTCATTTTACCTCCTTTCAGTACCTGGAGTGACCTCTTCCCTCTATCATTGTCATAGTGATAATGATAAAACCTCTTCTGTCTTTCTGTTCCCCTTTTTCTCTCTTAACTGATCCTTTGGAGTTTGCCAGCATGCATTTTTTTTGGGGGGGGGGGGGCGGGGGGCCTTAAGGGATGCCAAACCCTGGTGATGCTCAGAGGTTCTTCTGGCCCTGTACTCAGGAATTACTCCTGGTGGTACTTGGGGGACCTTGTGGGATGTCAGGGATTGAACCCTGGTCAGCCCGTGCAAAGGCAAATGCCCTATCTACTGTACTATCGCTCTGGCCCCATGGTGTGTATTGATTATGATGGTAAAAGGTAAAGGTAAAGGCCCTCCCGTTGTTCGTCGATTTGCTCGAGCGGGCCCAGTAACGCCTCCATTGGAGACTTTGTTGTTACTGTATTTGGCATATCGAATACGTCACAGGGAGCTTGCCAGGTTCATTGAACTCTTATTGTCCAGTAGACTGTGATTTTTGGATGTGTTTAAATTATTTGCACTATTAGTTTTTCTATGCTTACATCCAATGGAAAACAAAACGTTTGTTAACAGAGCGATCGATGTCTTACTCTGATGAGTCTCGACTGTCGAATCTTCTTCGGAGGATCACCCGGGAAGATGACAGAGACCGAAGACTGGCTACAGTAAAGCAGTTGAAAGAATTCATTCAGCAACCAGAAAATAAACTGGTGAGTATAGTGTGTTTGGAAATGTTGGTAACTTTTGTATTTCTCTAATAAGCTTGATGATGATAGCTGGAGTAATTTTAAGAAGAGATAGATTTGCTTCTAAGATAAACAACAGGGATTCCTGTCCTAGGGTGATTCGGCCTGTCTGAAGGCCCGGAATTTAGTGCTGTCAGTGTGCAGTTTATTATTGCTAGGTTCACAATGATGACTTCTAAGTAATGCTTTGACATTCTGGAAAGAGTTAACATAGGGCAAAATGTTTCTTTGTTTTCATTTGTAATATTTTGGGGAAAGGGTAGCATTTTGTTTATGGATAGATTTGATCTGTTGGCCAGGACTGTTAAATGGGAAAACCCTTTTAAAAATGCAGGAACAATAAGAAGTTGAGCGCCTGGAGAGACAGAATAGTGGATGAGGTGGATGTTTTGCACGCAGGTGACCTGGCACCCTCCATGGTCCCCAGAGCCCTGCTAGGGGTGAAGAATAAGCCCTGAGCATTGCTAGTTGTGGCCCCATACTTATACCCAAACCAAAACAGAAAAGAACTTGATATGGATCCAGGAGAAAATGGGAATAGTATGGTGAATCAGATTATGTTTATTTCCGTGCAAGTCACCCAACCCTATTCCTTTATCATATCTTCATCCATTCATCCCTTTTGGGGGCCATGTTTTACAGAAATAAATCAAGCCGTTAGAGTTTATTTTACTCATTGATGGATTAGAGCATATATTTCCTGTTAACCCTGGAAAGGGATAATTGGGGACTGGGAATGTTGACAGCAAGGCTCCTTCCAATTATAATGGAGAGGAGGCTGGAGAGCTACAGGGTTAAGGTACTTCCCTGTATCCTGATCTCGGTTCAGTCTCTGTCACCCCATATGGTTTCCTGAGCACTGCCAGGTATGACACTTGTTCACAGAGCCAGGAGTAGCTCTGAGCACCACTGGGTATGATCCAAATCTCCCATGTGTCTACACCCTGACCCCAAAAAGCAGAAAAAAAATCATAAACAGGAGGAGGTAAGGACTTTTCTTTGCTCGTGGCCTGCGTGTTTGAACCCCTGCTGCCATGTAAGTCACCCGAGCCACTCCCAGGAGTCACACCTGAGCACAGCCTGGGCCAGACTTCAAAAGCCCTTCCGTCCCCAGGAAAATTTGGTGACGGGGCACATGTTAAAATAAAATTGGTCATGTTCTTAAAAGCATAGGAATTTGAAGATTCTCTCTTTTTTTTAAGGTACTAGTTAAACAGTTGGATAATATCTTGGCTGCTGTTCATGATGTGCTTAATGAAAGGTAAGTAAAGACATTGTTTAAATTGGAAAGATTTTGAAATGTAGGTTTAGAAATTACTAAAAGATAGAAGAAGATAAACCCATTTGCGTTCATTTATTCTGAGCGTCCAGTGTTTAGTGGGTTATCATTTTTTTATGTTAAAGTTTTTATACATTAATTACTAGTGGATACAAAAGGAAAGGAAGTGCCATTCTTTTTTTTTAAATCTGTAAAATGATTGAATAATTGAACATTAATTTGTAGATTGACTAAAGCCAATGTAGGCTTGAATGAATGTGATTAACTTTGATGAACTGGATTGCTTTGAAACAGCTTAGAGAAAAGAAGGGAAAGGAAGCTTCTTTCTCTGAGCCACAGTGATTGCAACTGTTGTGCCAGAGCTCTCCAAAGGTGCACAGTCTCTTCTTACGGGGACTCCCAAAGAATTGCAATGTCGGAAAGTCCCCAAAATTTGTGTCAGCAGGTTACCAACTGTAATCCTTTCTGGTGATTTTACAGTTACTATAATCAGGGTTATTACCCTTTTAAGTTTATTACATTTAAAGGCCATTTTCTGTTTCTAGCCTTGACATGTTGAACATTATCATTATACTATACACTGTGCTATACAACTGATTTGGCAGAGTGTATAGTTACAGCATGTTTGTTGCTACTGCCCTTTTCTGTGAGTTATTTCAAGTTGTTGAGATAAAATCGAAGCCTGATATATGCTATTTCTGGTCCTTTCCTGACTCCCAAGAGTTGGTTTTGTAAAAGAAAATCTGATGCCTAACATGTAGTTTTGGGTGTTTCAGGGTAGAGAGAACTGAGGCTATAGAGAGAATTAAAAATTCAACCTTCTGTGTAGTTTGAATATAAATTTAAAAAAGTAATCATGTAATTTGAGATGAGTCATTCTTGTCATCTGTGAAAACTTAAGCTTTCGGTATATTTCTTTGTTTGTATTGACGTGAATACAGTAGCAAATTGCTTCAGGAGTTGAGACAGGAAGGAGCTTGCTGTCTTGGCCTTCTTTGTGCTTCTCTGAGTTACGAGGCCGAGAAGATCTTCAAATGGATTTTCAGCAAATTTAGCTCATCTGCAAAAGATGAAGTTAAACTCCTCTACTTATGTGCCACCTACAAAGCACTAGAGACCGTAGGAGAAAAAAAAGCCTTTTCATCAGTAATGCAGGTAAGAATGACTGGGACAGACTGATGTACTTGGGAAGAAAATCATACTTACTAGATTTCCTTGAACTGAAGCTGAAAGAGGCGTTAGAACAGAGGGGTTGTTCATTTATAGTAAATATGTAAATTTTACTTTTTATAAAATTTATAAATTTTCTTTTTTTCAGACTGTAGAAGTAAGTCACTGATATCTCCAGCACTACAAAAATTAGAAATACGGCATCAGTGGTTTTTCTTTTTTTCTAAATTTGAGTGAAGACTTGTGCTAAAGAAAAATTTAAAGTAGACTAGATTTTAGGTCTGGAGGGATAGTACAGCAGGGAGGGCACTTGTGTTATAAGCGGCCAACCCGGGTTTGGTCCCTGACATCCCATATGGGTCCCCTGAGCACCGCCAGGAATAAGCCCTGAACATCATTGGGTGTGGCGCATGCCCCCCTCCTGTCTCACCCCCCAGTCAGTCTAATTTAAATTAGTTATTTGAGTTTTAATTAAAAACATAGATTAATTTTTAAAATTTTGCCTTTTTGGTTTTATAGAAGTTTTCCTTTATATTTGCTTAGTAATAGACTTCTTTGCTTTTTGAAAATAGGAGCACCGTGAGGAAGAACTAGATAGGAGGGGTCTATGTTATTTTATTTATTTATTTACTTGCTTTTTGGGTCACACCTGGCTCTGCACTCATGAATTATGCCTGGCAGTGCTTAAGGAACCATATGGGATGCTGAGAAAGGAACCCCGACCGGCTACATGCAAGGCAAATGCCCTACCGGCTGTACTGTTGCTCCAGCCCCAAGCCTTTTGACTTTCATTTTTTATTTTTATTTTGCTTTTCGGGTCACACCTGGCGATACTCAGGGGCTACTTCTGGCAGTGCTCAGGGGACCATATGGGATGCTGGGAATCGAACCCAGGTCAGCCACGTGCATGCAAATGCCCTACCCGCTGTGCTGTCACTCTAACCCCAACCTTACGACTTTTAAAACTTATTTATTTCTTTGTCTGGGGGTGTTGGTGGTGATTTGGATCACTGTCACTGGCAGGTCACTGTCCTCCCGTTGTTCATCGATTTGCTCGAGCGGGCCCAGTAACATTGTGACACTTGTTACTGTGTTTGGCATATTGAATATGTCAATATGTAGCTTGCCAGGCTTTGCCGTGCAGGCGAGATACTCTTGGTAGCTTGCCGGGCTCTCCGAGAGGGGTGAAGGAATCGAGCTCGGGTCGACTGTGTCGGCCGCATGCAAAGCCCTACCCGCTGTGCTATCACTCCAACGCCAACCTTACGACTTTTAAAGCTTATTTATTTCTTTGCCTGGGGGTGTTGGTGGTGGTTTGGGTCAAAACTTGGGTAATAGTCCTGGCTTTGTATGTACTTGGAGTCTCTCAGACTGTGTTTCGGGGACATTGTGGTGCTGGAGTGGAACCTGTTCCTTTCTCATGCAGAGCATATATTCAGCCTTTTGAGCTGTCTTCAGATCTTCTTAGGGCTTTCATAGCTTTTGTTTAACTGTGCCTATGGCTCATGCAATTACATATTATTATATTTGACCTTGGGCCTCTTGTGTCTCATCAGAACAGTTCTGCACATTTTTTTGTTCCCCTTATTTTGTAAGAAGTCCTGCATTCTGGGTTTGTCTGATTGTCACTTCCTGATTAGGTTGAGTTTAGACATTTTGCTCATGAATACTCAGGGGTTCATACAACTTCTCTCCAGAAGCAGGCTTGTAACTTGAAGCTGTTTTTTTTTTTTTTTTTGAGATGAGCTCCTTTTTATACTCTGTTCCTATGTGGAAATTGCATTGGCTATAAGAAATGGTGAATTCTAGCATTCTTTCGTTTTCATAGCTTTTTTTTTGTTTTTGTTTTTGCTTTTTGAGCCATACCCAGTGGTGCTCAAGGCTTATTTCTGGTGGTGCGGAGGGGATCATATGTCTTGCTGGGAATCGAACCTGGGCCAGCCACATGCAAGCCAAAAACAAACATGTGCTTGTAAAACTTCTCCAGTACCTGCTGTCGCTCAGCTCCAGCATTAGTCTTTTTAAAGAAGAGTTGTTCTTCCTTTACAACTCAGCTGATCCAGGTTTGATCCCTGGCACCCCAGGTGGGTGCCCTGCGCACTGGCAAGTTTTGTCCCCAAAACAAAAAGCCAAAGAAACGAAGTTTTTCCTTTAGCCAAAATGGTATTAACAACTGCAAAACATTCTGTTTCTGATAGGCTATGTATCTATTTTGTTACTGTTACCAGTATGTAGTAGCAATATAAGTCTGTTGGTGTTGTACAATATTCTTTAAAGTCATTCCACATTTGAGCAGGTTCTCATCCTAAAACACAATCTATAAAGTTTCCACAAAGTGGGCTGGAGCAATAGTACAGCAGGTAGAGCTCTTGCCTTGCACACAGCCCACCCAGGTTTGACCCCCAGCATTTCATATGGTCCCCTGAGCATTACCAGGAGTGATTCCTGAGTGCAAAGCTGGTAGTAACCTCATCAGGTGAGGTCCCAAAACAGAAATAAAAACAAAGTTTTCCACAGAATATAAAATTTGCTCTTTTTTTTCTGATTTGGAAAGTAATTGTGATACTAGAGAAGTTTTACAAGCACATGTTGGTTTTTGTACTTGAAATTTATCACACGACAACCCAGCCGGGTTCGATTCCTCTGCCCCTCTCGAAGCGCATGGCAAGCTACCGAGAGTGTCTCGTCTGCACGGCAGAGCCTGGCAAGCTACCTGTGACGTGTTCAATATGCCGAACACAGTAACAACAAGTCTCAAAAAAATGGAGACGTTACTGTGCCCACTCGAGCAAATCGATGAACAGTGGGAGGACAGTGTGTTTGTTTTATTAAAGAGAGCACCCAGAAATAACAGGATAAACAAATTATTAAAGAAAAGCCATATTTGATTCAAACTGAATATCTTGGTGGAAGTCTTTTCACCTTTTTATTTATTTATTTTGCTTTTTGGGTCACACCTGGCGATGCACGGGGTTACTCCTGGCTCTGCACTCAGGAATTATCCCTGGTGGTGCTCAGGGGACCATATGGGATGCTGGGAATTGAATCCGGGTTGACTGCATGCTAGGCAAATGCCCTTCCCGCTGTGCTATCACTCCAGCCCCCTTTTCACCTTTTTAAAAGAGGGAAACTAAATATGTGTACTGTAATCAGTTTGTAACTTAGTCACTGCCAAATAACCAGCATAATATAGTGCTCTTGCTGTTTAAATTATTTAAGATTTGTTTCTTTCACTTTTTAGCTTGTAATGACCAGCCTGCAATCCATTCTTGAAAATGTGGATACACCAGAACTACTTTGCAAATGTGTTAAGTGCATTCTTTTGGTAGCGCGATGTTACCCTCATATATTCAGCACTAATTTCAGGGTGAGTTCCCTGCTTCCCTCATTTTAGACACTAGTTTGAGGATCTAGCATGTATGGAGGACCTGGGGGTTAGGAACCAAAGCTTCTGCTCCTCTGAGTGTAGTCAGTGAAGAGTGAGGAGATGGGGGTGGATGGGACTTTGAAAAATACCATGGGCGGTGGGGGGCGGGGGGAGAAAGGGGGTTGAGGGATAGTGGAGCCAGTAGGGAGCTTGCCTAGGAGCCTGGGTACTGCTGGGAGTGACCCCTAACAGCCACCCCCCAAAAGAAACACCCCTAAAACAAAATGAAAAGTGCCACCAAGGTGCTGGGCTGTGTATGTAGCCCAGCATAGAGTGTGCTTTGCATATGTGAGGCCCTGGGTGTGATTCCTGATGACTCCTCTCCCCTCTTAACTTCTGCTGCCCAAATTCCACCTGTGTTTTCTTACTTGACTGCCTTAACATGTTTTTTTTTTGGGGGGGGGGGGGAAGCATGCAGCATTTTCTCTGTCAAAAATGAAGTTCTTGTGGGGGTGGGGTAGAAATGAAGTTCTGCTTTCTTCCTGCCCTGCCCTTCCCTCCTTGATGTTTGTGTGACGTTAAGTAGACAGAACAGAAGATACTCTTACTTGGATCTTGTATTCCGTTGTGAGCCACCAGGGGAGTCGCTGATCAGCTCCCCGTCTCTTCTCCCCATCTAGGATACAGTTGATATATTAGTCGGATGGCACATAGATCATACTCAGAAACCTTCGCTCACCCAGCAGGTGTCTGGTAAGTGTCCCTGCAGGGAGCTGTCACTCTGGTATTGTGGCACACAGTGCCAGTCCTCAACAGACCGGCTCTTAACCCTGTTTCTCTGAGCAGGCCAGAAAAAAGATTCCGAGAAATAGCTTGGTTATTGTATTGAATATTACTTACTAGCAGGACTGAACTATCCAGAGGAAAATTGTCCACTTTGTAATTGGGCGAGTAAGGCCGGCTTATACGGTTGCAGCTATGAGGCACTGAGTGGACCTCGCTGACGTCCTTTAGAGCATGTGCTGCAGCAGACCCCAGTGTGGGACCCTGAGGGGGAGGCTGGAAGATGCTGGATAATAGTGGCTTCTTACCATTTTCACCTGTTTTTAATTTTTTTTTTTTGTCCATACCTGGCTGTATTCAGGGCTTACTCCTGGCTTTGTGCTCAGGGATCACTCTTGGCAGGGTTGAGGGAACCATATGGGGTGCCAGGCATTCAACCTGGGTTAGCCGTGTGCAAGGCAACCTTCTGTACTGTATCTCTGACTCCTGTTCCTTATTATGAAGGAAACAAATTATGCATCAATTTGGATAGTTTCATAAATGACAAGCATTTTTATTTAGCCTTTTTTTGGGGGGGGGGAGGGGTGGTGAACGACACTCCTGAGGGTGCTCAGGAGTTACTCCTGGTTCTGCACTGAGAAATTGCTCCTGGCGGATACTCACGAGACCAGAATGGGATGCCAGGGATCGATCCTTATTGACATCATGCGTGGCAAGTGTTCCGTCTGCTATACTATCACTCCAGCCCCTATTTTGCTTTTTTTTTTTTAATTAATTTACTAACATAACAGGACTCATTTCAGTTATTCAGAGTATTAGTTTTTCTTAGCTTGTTTGGTGCAGTGAATTTCTGAAAATAGTATATGAAGGTGAGAGTGGTTCTTTTCCATTTCTAGCATGGAGTTTTTTCTTTTCTATTTTCAAAGAGTACATTTTTTTAGTTTTGCTTTTGGGTATTCAAGTCAGGGCCTCCTAGTGCAATACTAGTGCAAAATCCTGTAACCCTGAGCTCCAGCCCAGCTAGTGTACAGCCTGTGGCTGTTGTGGTCCTTAAGCAGAAGTCCAGGCTATAGCAGATTCTTTGTCATGAAAAAAAGCCTTTCATTCTTTGTCATGTGTTGAGTGACAGTAGGTTTGGACATGGCTGTGTATTACAGTATCTGAAGAATATCTATGCTTAATCATCAACATGTTTAATAGCAATTCTAGTGTTATGGCGTGTTGTTAAGAGTGGACAGTTTGAACATAGAAGCCTTTAAAAGAAGGCTTTTAGTCTATTGTATGTAAAATTGTTAAGCTGCTCTTTCCAATTTTGTATATAATCCCTAGGGTGGCTGCAGAGTTTGGAGCCATTTTGGGTGGCTGATCTTGCATTTTCAACCACTCTTCTTGGACAATTTCTAGAGGACATGGAGGCTTATGCTGAGGTGAGTTGATAAGAAGCAATTCTTAACCATTTGAGTTAGGAAAAAAAGGTCAAAATCTGTAGCTGTGCTAAGAAGTACAAAATAATTCAGGTCACTTGACATTTAAGCAGACATTACTGGGCCCTTGTGTTTTAACTTTTGGGGGAGGCCACTCTCAACAGTGCTGGGGCTTGCTCCTGAACGGTGTCTGGGAGACCTCCACAGCAGTGGGGATGGAATCCAGGCCTCCAGGACGGAAGTCATGCAGTCAGCCTACCGAGGTCTTTCTCTGGCTACTGCAGGTCTTAATTTTATGTAAGGCTTGCAATAATTCGGTGGCTGCTAATTTCTGCAAATATTTCATCAAAAGGGTTAAAGGCACATTAATGTATTATTAAAGCTCCATAGTGCTTTTGTTTGACTTTCACTGGGGAATCTTTGATCATGCTTCTGGGCTAAGACTTGGCTTCTGCCAACTTTTGCAGTGGTGTACTACAAGTTCAGTGTGGCTGCTCTCAGATGCTGCCCATGTCTGGTCGTGACCGAAACCCGCTTGCTCTCTCCTGCTTTTGTCTTTTTCTTCCCTTTCCTGCTGCTCAACATAAAGCTTTAGTCTCATTTTTCCTTCATCGATTTGCTCGAGCGGGCCCAGTAACGTCTCCATAATGAGACTTCTTGTTACTGTGTTTGGCATATCGAGTACATCACGGGGAGCTTGCCAGGCTCTGCCGTGCGGGTGAGATACTCTCGGTAGCTTGCCGGGTTCTCCGAGAGGGGCGGAGGAATCGAACTCGAGTCGGCCATGTTGGCTGTGTGCAAGGCAAACGCCCTACCCCTGTGCTATCGCTCCAGCCCGTGCTTTTGCTACTTCTGTCACTGTCACTGTCCTCCCATTGTTCATCGATTTGCTCAAGCAGCCCGGTAACATCTTCATTGTGACACTTGTTACTGTGTTTGGCATTTTGAATACGTCACGGGTAGCTTGCCAGGCTTTGCCGTGCAGGCGAGATACTCTCAGTAGCTTGCCAGGCTCTCCAATCGAACCTGGGTCTGCCGGGTCAGCCGCATGCAAGGCAAACACCCTACCTGCTGTGCTATTACTCCAGCTAGCCAACAAAATTTATGGGTCACACCCATCATTGCTTTAGGGGAGCTACTCCTGATTTTGGGAATGGTGTCATTTCTGATGGTATTGGGGACTGTAGATCCAAGCCAGAGTTCCTGAAAACACAGCAGCCTCCTGAGCTGTCTCCCAGACTCTAAATCCACTACTTTTAACTGTGTTACCTATTTGCTTTCTTTTGGGGAACATATTGGGGGATGTTTTGCTTTCAGGTTTCTTAGCCCTCACACCAGAATGTTTTTGTTCCTGGCCTGTCTTTTTCTTTGTTTTTTTTTTTTTTTCTTTTTTCTTTCTGGGTCACACCTGGCAATGCACAGGGGTTACTCCTGGCTCTGCACTCAGGAATTACTCCTAGCGGTGCTCAGGGGACCCTATGGGATGCTGGGAATCGAACTTGGTCAGCCACGTGCAAGGCAAACGCCCTACCCGCTGTGCTATTGCTCCAGCCCCCTGGCCTGTCTTTGAAACTGATCTGGGTGTAGAGATGATTTCCCCCCTTCCTTGAGGTGTTGGCAGTCAAATTCAGGGCTCACGCCTGCAAGGCCTGTTCTATTGCTACAGCCCACCTTTGGCCCAGTTGTTGAGATTCGTCTTGACTCTTCATGACTGGTTCTCTTTATTTTTGTTTTAGTTATATATTGGTAGCACATCCCTTTGAATAAATCTTATTTCTGCCACTAAATAATAACACCACTCTTGGTTTTTCCTGAGCATGGTATCTCTAGAGAGTACTTATTTTTGAATTCAGTGACTCAGAACACCCAGAGTGAAATTGGAACAAAACCCATCCCAAGACATTGGTGGTGGGAAATGTACTCAGGTGGAGGGATGGGTGCTGGAACATTGTATGTCATGAAACTTAATCATTGAACAGCTTGTAACTGCATCTCATGGTGATTCAGTTTAAAAAAAAAGCACAAAAACTTGAAAAGTCTCAGAAGGGAAAAATTTCTCACTTTATTTATACTGTAATTATAGTATGTATAGAATATGTATACATATATTTATATATATATATTAAGTTTTCCTGTTGCCAATCTGTGTTGGTCGGGAAGTTATTTTCTTCTATCTATTGAGGTTAATAGTGGTTCAAATATCAGTTCTATTTAGATTCATGTTTTCTTCTGTCATAGACCAAAATTCCTCTTCCTTTGTAGAAATGAAGTGAAGTTGACTTAAAAATAGAAACGTCTTAAAAATCTTTATTTTGGGCTTTGACACTGTCTTTCTGAGTAAGACTGTTGTAACGTTTCATTCAGGACCTCAGCCATGTGGCCTCTGGGGGGTCTGTGGATGAAGATGTCCCTCCTCCTTCAGTGTCCTTACCAAAGCTGGCTGCGCTGCTCCGGGTCTTCAGCACGGTGGTGAGGAGCATTGGGGAGCGCTTCAGCCCTATCCGGGGGCCTCCGATCACTGAGGCGTATGTAACGGATGTAAGTGTCCTTGCTCTATGTGTGGTTCGTAATCTTACATGTTTTATATTAACAGACTTCTTACCTGGAGTCTCCATTAGTGACCCTGCTTTATTAGCAGTCATGTATATTTATGTTGGCTGTTAGAGAAGTTGGGGATTCTTTCTTATAGCCATTTTTTTTAGGGGGGTGGGGTGAATGGGCCACACCTGGGTCTTTCAGTGCTCAGGCTTAGGGGACTCTGTGGGTTGCCACAGGTCGCTGTGGCAAGGCAAATGCCGTATTTGTACTATTGCATCAGCCCCACAGCCCCACACTAGACAGTTTGTAAAAGTAGTTTTCTGAGCATAATAGAATGAAATTATTTGATGGCCCGGCAAGCTACCGAGAGTATCTTGCCCGCACGGCAGAGCCTGGCAAGCTCCCCATGACGTATTCGATGTGCCAAATACAGTAACCACAAAGTCTCACGATGGAGATGTTACTGGGTCCGCTCAAGAAAATCAATGAACAACGGGAGGACAGTGGACAGTGTTTGATAGCAAAGGATTGAAAAAAAAAAACACCCTTTTTTTAAGGCCACCATTTAATCTTTTTGCCTTTTTTTTTTTTTGTGGGGCCAGGTATTGAATCTAGGGTCTCAGTTATCTACTGCTAGGCTACATGCTTAGCTTTATTTTCTGTTTTTATTTTAATTTGGGGCCACTCTTGGCAGTGCTAAGAATCATTTGGTGTCAGGATCCAACTTGAGTCCCACATACAAAACATATACTCTAACCCTAAGAAAAATGTCCTTGGCCTTTCAGGGGATTTTATTCTCGGTCTTTGTGTTCTTGTTTCCCCCCCATCCCAGTGGAGGGACTCCCCATCCCCCATGTATTTTTCTTTTTTAAAATATAATTTAAAATTTAAAATTATGGTTTTTGTAAAATAGTATTTTGCTTTAAAATAACGAAGTTTTAAATTTTTTTCAATATAGAACAATATACTAGACAGTTTGTAAATAGTTTTCTGAGCATGATAGAATGAAATTGATAGCTTTTGATATCAAAGGATAAACAAACTTAAAATATATAGTGGTCCAAGACATGAGACTAATTAAACTGTCACTGTCCCTGTCCTCCCGTTGTTCATCGATTTGCTCGAGCGGGCCCAGTAATGTCTCCATTGGAGACTTTGTTGTTACTGTGTTTGGCATATCGAATACATCACAGGTGGCTTGCCAGGCTCTGCCGTGCAGGCGAGATACTCTCGGTAGCTTGCCAGGCTCTCCGAGAGGGGCGGAGAAATCGAACTCAGGTCGGCCATGTTGGCTGCGTGCAAGGCAAACGCCCTACCGCTAGCTATTATTAATTTTTGGATCGGGGATCGTTGAGCCCCTAGTGGTGCTCAGGGCCTCAGCCTGGCTGGTTTCAGAGATCTCTCCTGGTGGGGTTAGGTGCAAGGCAGGTGCCCTTCTTGCTATACTCTCTCTCCAAACCCCTTACATTGTAGTTAAAAATGTAGTTGCCACGTTTCAGCGGCCCCAAACATTACAGACCAGTGAGTGTTTCATTGTAAGAATATACCTGAGAAAAGAACTGTCATTGTTTTCTGCTTCCATAATGCATGAGATGCACTCACAGTAGATACCTTTGAAATTAGTAAATTAGTTCTGCTGCTGGGAGAAAGCTCTGCTTTCTGGGAACATTTACTTTTCTTGAGCACATTGCCAGGTAAAATAGGATATTTTGTCTAATTCTTGGTAAGATTATTGTGTATTTGGGCAGACTTGCCAGATCGTAAAGATAATTAAAACTTTTTTTTTTAATAATATAGGAGTACTGCTATTTGTTCAGCCATTGATTAAGCTGATTGAATTGGGCATGAACTCCACTAATGAAAACTTTTATGCCATATTTTATTTAAATTTATTTCAATATGGTAATATTTAAAACCTGGTGAAAATGATGTAGCATATTTCATTTTATACTGTTTAAAAGGTGGTTGTTTACTGTCTTTGAAATGAAGCATTTAACTCATATAAAACAAAAGGGGAAAAAACACGGTCACTTTGTAGCATATTAAATGTGTCTCACTCTGGAGGCCTTTAAGGGTCTCTTTTTCTTTTTCCGTTGATTGAGGGGCAGTTTGGGCCATAGTTGGTACTCAGGAGATCATATGCCAGGAGTTGTACCAGGGCTTGCTCAGTGCAGAGCAATGCCTTAATTCTTTGGCTCTCTCCTTTTTTGACCTTAAATAAGGGTTTTTAAAACTTGTATGTAGTAGTTGTTGAATGATCAGAAAATTTGAGAAATATATTTTCTATGTCAGTTTGGTTTTCCCCCTAAGTTCTGTTTTTCCTTTTATCCTTTTTTGTTGTGTTGTTGGGGGGATTGCGGGGGCCCCACTCTAAGTACTTGGAGGACTTGGTGCTTTGGGCCCTTTTGGTGCCTGGGATTACTCCCTTTTGTGAACCATGTGCTGTAGCCCTTTGAGTCATCTCTCTTAAGTTCTTTTATAAACATCTAGTACATTATGTCATTTGTATTTTAATGGGTTTTAGATTAGATTGATTGCCAAAGACCCAAGTGCTAGATTATTGAGTTATTTTCCATGCCAGGTTCTCACCCCCCCACCCCCCATGCAGTTAATTTCATTGTGGACCTAAGGTTGTAAAAATCTTGGGCTCAGCAATTTAGTGATTGAGGGGATGGGTATGAATCAGGTATAAAAGAAAAAAGGTCACAAATCCCATTTTCTGTCACGCTACTTCAAAGATTTTTAGGTAGGATTATTTTTGCATATCGTACTAAAGGTAAAATCTTACGATTTTCAGTCATTGAGAACTAAAATATTTAGAGATCAGTGACAAGTGAGGTTGCTGGTTTTTAATTGAAACTGAGTTAAGTAGAAAATAATTCTTGCTTTGTAGAAATGTGAATTTTCTTAAAAAGCTGCTTGTCTTCCCTATCTGCAGGTTCTGTACAGAGTAATGAGATGTGTGACGGCTGCAAACCAAGTCTTCTTTTCTGAGGCTGTGTTGACAGCTGCTAATGAGTGTGTTGGTGTTTTGCTCGGCAGCTTGGATCCTAGTATGACTATTCACTGTGACATGGTCATTACGTATGGCTTAGATCAGCTGGAAAATTGCCAGACTTGTGGTACAGATTATATCATCTCAGTCTTGAATTTACTCACGTTGGTATGTGAATTCTATTTTGTTGCGTATTTACATGTTTGCTTGAGTCTGTAAAATCAAAACAGATATGGAAGAAATTAAGGCTTTAAATTTCTTTTGTTTTCATTATTTGTATGCTTTTGGTGCCACACCTGCTGGTGTGGGGCTCCCAGCTTCTCTCTTGGCTCTGCTGGGGATCAGCCGAGGACCTTGCATATGTCAGGCCCGTAGTTCACCACTTGAGCCTGGCCCCTAGTGTTCGTGATTTTTTTTCTCCTTGTCCTTGTCTTCCCCTTTCATTCTTACTGGACAGTGCTTAGGAACTATTACCGGTTTTGATCTGGGGCCGTTAGCATCTGTGCTCAGTGATTACTCCTGTAGTGCCTGTTGGGGGTGGGCACAGCAGCGACAACCATGTGACACTGGTGACTGGGTCACTGAATCAGGGCTGCCTTCCTGCAAGGCCAGGCACCTGGATACCTGTGCTGTCTCTGTAGGTGGCCCTCTTTTTATTTTCTTTTCTTTATGTTCTTTGAAGATCGCAGTAGTTTCTGCATTGCTAGACTCTGCTTTGCTTTTGCTTAGTTTTGTTTGCATTTGACAGTGCCTCAGTGTATCTTCATTCTCTTTTTCTTAAGTTCTTCAGAGGAGACTGACACTCTGATAAATGCAGTGTAAAAGAAGATACTTGGAAGCTCTTGTTTTTGTTTTGGGGCCTCACCCTGCGGTGCTTAGGGCTGACTCCTGGCCCTGCTCTTAGGGATCACTCCCTGCAGACTCAGGGGTGCCGTGGATTAAAGCTGGGTTGGCCTCATCCAAGGCAAGCGCCCACCCCCCTACTAGCGCTGCAACCTCTTAGGAGCTATTTTGAAAGCTCCTGTTACCCCTATGAAACTTCTTTCTTAGTTTCATTCTCTATAATCACTCTTCTCTTTTTCATTATGGGCATCTTGAAATAAATTACATACGTAGAATCACATACTGAATCCAAGCATATTTAGCAGTCAGTTTTGTAATTAGAAATACAAGACCTGGCTGGTTACATGGAATCCTTTGACTCCATCGCCTGCTTGCTTTCCTATCTCCAGGTGGGTTTAGAGCAAATTCTAGATGTCAAATGTTTTTGCCAAAGTCACCTCTCTCCTTTTTGCCATTATAAGAAAATTGCCCAGGTTTAAGTGCAAATACTTTTATCTTCTCAGGTGGCCAAACATTTATTTACAGCAGGTAGGGCGGTTGCCTTGCAAGCAGCCAACATGGCCGACCTGAGTTTGATTCCTCCACCCCTCTCGTAGAGCCTGGCAAGCTACCGAGAGGATCTTGCCCGCACGGCAAAGCCTGGCAAGCTACATATTGACATATTCAATATGCCACACACAGTAACAAGTCTCACAGTGTTACTGGGCCCGCTTGAGCAAATCAGTGAACAATGGGAGGACAGTGACAGTGACTTATTTATTTGGATTTTGGGCCACATCCTGCAGTGGTCAGGACTTATTCCTGGCTTTATGCTCAGAGATCACTTCTGTCAGTGCTCTGGGGACCATATGCCTGCTGGGAAGCAAACCAGGGCAGCCACATGCAAGGCCAGCAGGTACCTTAACCCCTGCATGCTCTCTCCCAAACATCCTAATATCACCAACGACCTAAAGATTCATTATATTAATTTTTAAATTAATAGACTTTTTAATGACTCTTTTTCTGTTTACAGAAAAATTGAGCTGAAAATAGAGCTCCCATAAACCTAACTCCCTTACTAGTTCTCCTTTTGTTTTTTTTGGTCTTGGGCTCACACCTGGCATTCTCAGGGGTACTCTCAGCTCTGTGCTCAGGGGGTTGTTTCTGGTAATGCTCGGGCAACCTTGCAGAGCTGTGCTGGAATCCAGCCCTGGATTGCCCCCTGAAAAACAAAAGGCTCCAGTCACTAGAACCCGAGGGAGTGTGCTCCCAGCTCCTGCCCTGCCCTCCCTCCCTCCTCTTCAGTAACATGAAAGGGAAGAGGTGAAACGTACTCCACTGGTGAGCAGAGCACCGTATAAGGAGCTAGTGTCCACTTGAGTTCTTTCCTTTCGCCCGGCCACTGGTGCTTTTACGTTCTCCTTGGTAGAAAGCTCATATCTCTATTTCATTCTTTCAGATTGTTGAACAGATAAATACAAAGCTGCCATCATCATTTGTAGAAAAACTGTTTATACCATCATCTAAACTGCTCTTTTTACGTTACCATAAAGAAAAAGAGGTAAGTGATACACTGATCATGATTTTTGAGAACGTAAGTCACTGAAGAACTAAGTTTAATATGGAATGTAGTTACCATAATAATTAAGGTTTGATAAGTGCCATACTCCTTTTTTTCTTTTTTTTTTGGTTTTTGGAACACTTGGTGGTGATTAGGGCTTATTCTTGGCTCTGCACTCAGGAATCACCCCCAGTGGGCTTGGAGGCCAATATGGGGTGCTGGGGATCGAACCCAGATTGAGCACTACAGAGGCAAACCCCCACCCCACTGTACTATTGCTCTAACCCATACTCTTTATCTTGATGATGTGTTTTTTGTAAGTTTTCATAGAAATAGTAGTTACAGGGGCTGGAGCGATAGCACAGCAGGTAGGGTGTTCGCCTTACACGCAGCCAACATGGCCGGCCCGAGTTCGATTCCTCTGCCCCTCTTGGAGAGCCCGGCAAGCTACCGAGAGTATTCGATACGCCAGACACAGTAACAACAAAGTCTCCAATGGAGACGTTACTGGGCCCGCTCGAGCAAATCGACGATCAACGGGAGGGCCTTTACCTTTACCTTTACCTAGTAGTTACAGATTCAGAAGTCTCATATGTGTTGTTGTGATGATTAGGAGTTACACGTACTTAATTGTGATGCTGGGCAGGGGAGGGTGTGTGTTGGTGTGTGTGAGAGAGAGAGAGGTTTACTTTGAAAAAAAGTGAATAAAAGTAAGTAAGTAAAAGTAAAGGCCCTCCTGTTGATCATCGATTTGCTCGAGTGGGCCCAGTAACGTCTCCATAAGAGACTTTGTTATTACTGTGTTTGGCATATCGAGTACATCACAGGTGGCTTGCCAGGCTTTGCTGTGCGGGCGAGATACTCTCGGTAGCTTGCCGGGCTCTCCGAGAGGGGCGGAGGAATCGAACTCGGGTCGGCCATGTTGGCTGCGTGCAAGGCAAACACCCTACCGCTGTGCTATTGCTCCAAATAAAAGTATAAGTCTTTAATATTTTCATCTTGGACCAGGGACTTTGGGGGCCTGTAGCTGACCCTGGTTTGATCCCTGGCATACATGTTTCCACGAGCACTGCTGGATGTGATCCAATACCATTCCACCCTCCTTTTCATATTGCCACTTTGAATTTACAGGCCACATCCTTTGCAGTAAAGCTTTATAGTTTTTAGACAAGCTTATTAAGGTGTAGGCCTGTAGGCTCCCTAGGGTGCTTTTTGTCTTATCCTTGGTTTATTTTGGGGGACACACCTGGTGATGCTCCTGAGTTCTACTCCCGGCTCTGTGCTTGGTCATTCCTGGCGTTCTCCAGGGTGCCATAGGGTGCTGGACATCATACCTTGAACCCTGTCCTCCTGCATGCAATCTATGCTTGGCCGTTTGAGCTCTCACCGGGCCTCCCATTCCCCCCATCTTTTTTCTCTTTTTCAGTGATGATCTTTGATGTCCTGAACAGTGAACTTTTTTTCTAATTTTAAGTGACTTGCATCTTTACCACTTGGCGAATGATGATTTCTTTTTCACACACTTACCCCTATGTTTTCTTACTACGATTTTCCTGGATTCTGTCTTGAAGGTCGTCGCTGTTGCCCATGCTGTCTATCAAGCTGTGCTCAGCCTGAAGAATATTCCTGTTTTGGAGACTGCCTATAAACTGATTTTGGGAGAAATGACTTGTGCTCTAAACAACCTGCTGCACAGCCTACAGCTTCCTGAAGCCTGCTCTGAAATAAAGCATGAGGCTTTCAAGAATCATGTGTTCAGTGTTGACAATGCAAAATTTATAGTTATATTTGACCTCAGTGCCCTGACTACAATTGGAAATGCCAAAAATTCACTAATAGGGGTGAGTCTTCACTTGGCCTTTTTTTTTTCTGCTTTATTCACAGTTAAACTTCTTCACATTGCATGTTTATGTAGTTAATTTGCTTTTATATTAATGTGTCTACAGAATCACTGTAGAACTCATAGTCTTATGTAGGGCCTGCTGAGATCTTGGAGGTTGACACCGAGCCAGGAGTAAGGCCTGAACACCACTTGGTGTGACCCCCAAACAAAGAAAACGTTTGATTTTTAGAATCCGAGGTGTTTAATGTGTTGAAGTGGTTTATGTTCTGGAAATGAGAGTGGTCTCCAGCACAGTGCTGTCTGTTGGGATTAACAGTAGTGGGGGATGAGAAAGTCTTTGTGTGGCAGCCCTGCCCCTTACGTGATGGGGCCACTACATTTGTGTAAAGCAGACACAGTAGGCTCTGCTCTAGAGGGTGAAAGACCGTTTCACCCTCAGAGTGCTCAGCACAGCATCTCCTGGGGTCAGTCAGGCTCAGCCTACAGTCTTTTCAGTCATGAAAAATTTCTTTATTGAAATGTAATTCCCATATATAGTTTAATGTTGCCTTTCTTAGCATTTCCAAAGAGCTGTGCAACATCACCTAGTTTTGTAAAGGAAGTTTTGTTGAATTCCACATGGTTCCTCATAAGGCTGTTTCCTTCTTGCAGTCGCAGAGTAAGGAGTTGGAACAGAGACTCTGGTCATTTGTCCCTTGGTTCAAATATATTCTCTTGTCTTCATTCACAGAAGTATTTGTTGACTTTAGGCTTAGTGTTCGATAGTTTCCATAGTTACAATGGCATTCTAATGTATTAAAAAGCATAGACCTCCTTTAAAGATAAACTCTTTACACCCATGGCCTTGGAGGAGCCAAACATTGACTCTGTTGTCCGTCCTCAGATGTGGGCACTGTCTCCGACGGTCTTTGCACTGCTGAGCAAGAACCTGATGATCGTGCACAGTGATCTGGCTGTTCACTTCCCCGCCATTCAGTATGCTGTGCTCTACACCCTGTATTCCCATTGTACCAGGTGCTGTATTGACTAAGACTTAAGAATTCTTGTTGTGTATTTTAAAGTATAGACTTTTTTTTGTATGAGCATTCTTTATTTTTTTTAATGAATCACCATGAGATATAGTTGCAGACTTACAAAGTTGTGTGATTACGTTTCAGTCATACAGTGATTGAGTACCCATCCCTTTACCAGTGCCCGTTCTCCAACCAATGTTCCCAGTATCCCTTCTGCCACCCCCACTCCACCCCACCCCAACCGTGCCCCTTTCACACTCACTCCTTAGGGGTTTTATGGTTTGCAATACAGGTAGTAAGTGGCTATCATGTTTGGTCTCTAGTCCACTTTTAACATACATCTCCCATTAAAGTATAGACTTTTTTTTTTAATTTGATTTAGCATTGAGTCTGCCCCACGCATACCTTTTTTATTTTTTAATTGAGAGGTGAAAGGATGATCTGTATTTGTCTTCCAGGCATGATCACTTTATATCTAGTAGTCTTAGTTCTTCATCACCATCTTTGTTTGATGGAGCCGTGATAAGTACTGTAACTACAGCTACCAAGAAACATTTTTCTATCATATTAAACCTCCTGGGAATCTTGCTTAAGAAAGATAATCTTAACCAGGACACAAGGTAACTAAGTTTTATATTATATTTCCTTAACTTTATTAATAGAACTTCATAATTTACATTTAAATGAAGTGGGAACAGCACTGAAAATTTGTTTTTATTCAGTCTAGGAGTTTTTTTTGGAATTACATGACATGAAACGTCCTACAACATTTTATAGGAGAATGAATCTTACAGAGATTTAAGAAATAGTACAGTGGGTAGGGCACTTGCCTTGAATATGGCAGACCTGGGTTCAATTCCTAGCACCCCATATGACCCCTCTGAACCTGCCAGGAGTGATCCCTGAACTTAGCCTGTTGTAAGGCCCGAGTACCAAACTGAGTGTGGCCCAAAACATAAAATAAATAAGTAAAATTAAAGAATTGTTTTTCTTTAGTGTAAAATTGGCTGTTTTGTGTTTCAGGAAACTGTTAATGACATGGGCTTTGGAAGTGGCTGTGTTAATGAAGAAGTCTGAAACATATGCACCTTTATTCTCTCTTCCATCTTTCCATAAGTTTTGCAAAGGCCTTTTGGCCAACAGTAAGATCCATTGAATTCTCTGATTCGTTACTTTTGATAATCAGCACTTCACAGTGAGCGTTGGCAATAGAAGATAGTCACTTAAGTATTTTTCTTGACCCCAGTGTATGTAGCACTGTAGCACTATCCTCTCGTTTTTCATCGATTTGCTTGAGCGGGCACCAGTAATGTCTCCCAAGAAATTGTGAAATTTGTTGTTACTGTTTTTTGTCATATCAAGTACGTCACAGGTAGCTTGCCAGGCTTTGCCGTGCGAGCGAGATAATCTTGGTAGCTTGCCGGGCTCTCCGAGGGGGGTGGAAGAATCGAACGAGGGTCTGCTGTGTGCAAGGCAAACACCCTACCTGCTGTGCTGTTGCTCCAGTCCATCATTTAGTAGTGTGATATAAAATACAGCTTTATGTAAAATATAGCTATGTGAGGCTGGAGAGAATGCAGCGGCTAAGAAGCTTGGCTTGCCTGCTGCCAATCCCAGTTTGATCCCTGCTACATGTTCCCTGAGCACTTCCAGGTATGGCCCACAGGTCTGACCCCATTGTATAATTCTCATTGTTATGAGATGTGTAATCTTCCTTCGGTATTGTTCATTGTAAGTATGTGGAAATTAGTTTGTTTTCAGCGATAGTCACATTGAAGAAATTTCCCAAGGGCTGGGGTTGTGGCTCAGTGGTAAAGTATTTTGCATGTATGAAGCCCTGGGCTAGGAGGTTTCAGCAGTGGATCTGATTCTAACACTGGGAGAAAAGAGTCCCAAGCAAAGCCCTTGTGGGGCTGGAGCGATAGCATAATGGGTAGGGTGTTTGCCTTGTACACGACTGACCCGGGTTTGATTTCCAGCATCCCATATGGTCCCCCAAGCACCGCCAGGAGTAATTCCTGAGGGCAGAGCCAGGAGTAACTCCTGTGCATCGCTGGGTATGACCCAAAAAGCAGAACAAAAACAAAAAAGCCTTTGTGTGGACAGTGGGTAGGAGTAACTCCTAGTCCGTGGTAAGTGCTTGCTGTGTATTAGGGAAGTGAGTGGGTCTAGAAGTTAGGACATAGTGACATAGAGGTTTTTTTGGGAAAGCCAAAAGTCACTGTCTTTTTCTGTTTTCATAGCTCTTGTCGAAGATATAAATATCTGTCTGCAAGCGTGCAGCAGCTTAAATGCTTTGTCCTCTTCCTTGCCAGACGATCTGTTACAGAGGTAGGATAAAAGAGCCTTTCTTGCCAATCCCGGCCCTTCCTGTCTCTGACACATTACACCTTCATTGTCTCTTTTATTTCTTCTTAGGTGTGTTGACGTTTGCCGTGTTCAGCTAGTTCATAGCGGAACTCGTATCCGACAAGCCTTTGGAAAACTATTGAAGTCTATTCCTTTAGATGTTGTTCTGAGGTATGATGGCTGTGTTGGGCAAGGCATCCCTATGTTTGTATTGTCTAATCTCAGAAAAGAAGCAAAAGGCAAATGCCAATCAGTGAATTAATGCCACATCTAGTGTTGGCACTTCCCAGTGATTAAGGAGTTGTCTGTTACTTGAAAAACTAATTTTTAATTGTTCTTAATAAGATATTTTGGAAACTTAGACTCAATTAAATTTTTTTATTTCTAATGTTAGGAAATTGATTTGTAACATGTAGTATTTAAAGCAGTTTGCTTAAAATGATTTTTTTCCTTGTCTACAGCAATAACAATCACACAGAAATTCAAGAAATTTCTTTAGCACTAAGAAGTCATATGAGCAAAGCACCAAGTAACACATTCCACCCACAAGATTTCTCTGATGTCATTAGTTTCATATTATATGGGAACTCTCATAGAACAGGGTAAGACATTTCTTTGACTTTCCCATCAAATTTTTATTTTATTTTTCTGTTTGTTTGAAATGAGTTGGTTTGATTCCAGATGGCTCAGAGAACAGGCTAGCCCAAACACTTGCCAAGAGCATGTCCTGGCCGGATTTGGGGCTAGGGCTCCTCGCCCATTGCTACGTGGGCACTGCTGGGGAGACAGATCAAGTGGATGAGGAACTGGAGGAATTCTTGTTCTACATTTTTTGATAATAGAAGTTGATTCTTAAATGCACAACAGGTTCCAAATACTTCATTCTAGCTCCTATTAGTGACAGAGGCTACATAGGAATGGTATTAAAGACTGGCCCAAGGAACAGTTTACTTTTTGCCAGATTTTTAAATTCCACCAGTAGCCCTGGGCCTTTTCTTAGAGTTTCTTCTGCTCCTCCTCCCCTCTCTGTCTGAATGTCTCATCTTCTATATCTGTCTGTCTCCTGGCCTGCTTCTTGGGCTACTTCAGGGTCTGTCTCCTGCCACCTTACAGACCAGACATAATATATTCAGGTTGAATGTCCTGGACCTTAAAACCAGGTTTATGTGGATAAACAGGTGAGGAGTTGGTTAGAAAGTCATCTTCACAAATGTTTACTTTCCGCGGTAAGAAAGATAGCATCTGAAGAAACAAAGATGGGTTTTGAAATTTGTTAGATGCGTGGGCAGTCAACTGATGATGCGATGCATAGGCATTCAACTGATGGGATTTAGTCCTCGGTGCTTTTGGGAGGGCCCCCAGGCATAGACAATCGAGAAACTTCTAGTGAATGCTTGATCCTAATAGCACTTACCCCAATAACTGATCCATAACATACTTCATCTTATTTTAACTGTAGCCTTTACTGAGAGATGGGCAAATACTGCTGCTCGGTTAGATGGGTTTTGTCTTTTCGATATAGGAAAATTGTTGTCTCCCATTCCTAGTCCCTTTTCAGACTTATTTTGTATTCTTGAAAGTGAAGTCATGACGGTCTGTTAAATCTGAAACTGCTTTCCCCAGGAAGGACAACTGGTTAGAAAGACTGTTCTATAGCTGCCAGAGATTGGACAAACGTGACCAGTCCACAATTCCCCGCAATCTTCTCAAGACAGATGCCGTCCTCTGGCAGTGGGCAATTTGGGAAGCAGCACAGTTCACTGTCCTCTCTAAGCTGAGAACCCCACTGGGCAGAGCTCAGGATACCTTTCAGACCATCGAAGGTAAGTCTCTGTTTTTCCAAGCCTTCTCATGTGCAGAGTATCAAGTTTGACACTAGCAGGGAATGAGTTTCTTGGTTAAAACATACACCCTGAGAGGATATATTTGTTTGCAATGAATATTGTGTGCACAGCAGTATAGCTGTCTGGTTTTCTTCACAGACGTACGGGATTTGTTTGGAGAAAGCATTTTCCCCCTGTACTGAAGGTCTTTCTTGTTGGTAGTTATTTGGTGACAGGAGGGAAGGGAGGGTCACTCCCAACAATTTTCTTTTTTGGTCACACCTGGTACTGCTTAGGGGCTACTTCTGACTCTGCGCTCAGGAATTACTCCTGGCAGTGCTCAGGGGACCACAAGGGATGCCGGGGATGGAACCTGGGTCAGCTGCGTGCAAGGCAAATGCCCTATTTGCTGTGCTATCACTCTGGACCAGTCCCAGCAGTTCTTGGCCAGCTGGATTGGTGGTTCAGTGCCAAGATCCTTCAGTGCCATGGATTACCAGACCATCTTGGTGTTCCCTGAAGCCTTGAGAGCAAACCTGGAGGTTTTTGGGGTCTATTCCCAGTGGTGTTAAGGATATACATGATGCTGGGGATTGAACATGGTTGGCTACGTGCAAGGCACATGCCTTCATCTCTGGACTGTTTCCCTGGCCCCGAGAGTTTGGTTTTACTTTGTTCTTGAGGGGTGGGGTAGACCTGACTGTGCCCAGGGCTTACTCCTGGCTCTGTTCCCGGATTATGCCTGGTGGTGTTTGTAGGACATACGTGGTGCCAGAGATTGAGCTGTTGTCAGCTATGTGTCTGATTTGGGAATCTATTTTTTAATATTGGATATGTAGAGTATCCTTGGTAATTGTGTATTTGTGGAATTATTGTCAAGAACTGGAATCTTTAAAGATTTCTCTTAAGTTTAGAATGTTGTCTTTGCCTGAAGGTATTATTAGAAGTCTTGCAGCTCACACATTAAATCCTGATCAAGACGTTAGTCAGTGGACAACGGCAGACAATGATGAAGGCCACAGTAGCAACCAGCTAAGGCTGGTTCTTCTGCTGCAGTATCTGGAAAATTTGGAAAAACTGATGTACAATGCCTACGAGGGGTGCGCCAACGCGCTGACGTCCCCTCCCAAGGTTGGTCTCTTGGATCCTTCAGGCTCAGTGCTGGCAGTGTGGGCACGGCGGGGATGCCAGTCTTGTGGATTTTGCTTTTGTGTATTTGAGAACTCCTTTAATTGGCAATCATCCTGAACTTTGTTTCTTTCAATTCTGAAGGTCATCAGAACTTTTTTCTATACCAATCGTCAAACTTGTCAGGACTGGCTAACACGGATCCGACTCTCCATCATGAGGGTTGGACTATTGGCCGGTCAGCCTGCAGTGACTGTGAGACATGGCTTTGACTTGCTTACCGAAATGAAGGCAAATTTATCTCAGGTATCATGGGGTGTTCGGGGTGAATTTTAAATTTCTTCCCTAGGAAACTTTGGGTACAATGCTTTGATATCATTTAATCAGTGGATAAAATAAAGCCTCGCTTTCAAAATTTAAGATTATTTTATGAAAGCAGTAACCTCCACATTTGCCTATTCATGTACCCTACTTCATAGGAACATCTTAAAAATAACGATTTATACTTAAGGGTTAAAGATAGTTGTGAGAGATTTGTCTGTAGAAGATTTGTCTGTTTCCCTCCCGTGGCCCTCCCCACCTTCCTTGGCAGATACCTCTCTGTCTCTCTCTCTCCCCACCTCTCTTCCTCTCTCCCTTCAACTCTCCCTCCTTTCCTTCCTCCTTCCCTCCCTCCTTCCATCCTTTCCTCCCTCCCTCGCCTGCCTTTTGGGAATTAAGGTTTATAATACAGGTACTGATGGGTTATCATGCACACCCCATTGCCTATTCTCAGCACTCAGTTCTTGTCCAGAGTGGTCATTTCCAACTGTTATTATCATAGTGGTCCCTTCTCTATTCTAACTGCCCTCCATGCCCTACACACTGACAAGTTTCCAACTGTGGACCTGTCCTCCTGGTGGAAGAAGTAATTTACAATTGTAAATGGAAAAGTATTTAATAAAGTGCATATTGTATATTAGGAAATTGTATGTGATAATACATTAAAAAGTATTTGTTTCTGCAGAGTATCTATTACTAATAAAAAGAAAGGGAGGGACCCAAGTGATGGTACAGCGGCTAGGACACTTGCCTTGCCTGGGTTCGCTCCTTGGCATCCCATATATTCCCCTGAGCATCATCAGGAGTGATCCCTGAGTACACAGCCAGGAATAACATCTGTAGGGTGTGACCCCCAAAGGAAAATAAGTAAAAAATAAAGGGAAAATGTGAATAGGGAATAATGGGCTTATCTCCGATATACTGAAGGTTTACAAATTAACATATAAGACACTGTTCAAAGATATAAAAGTAGTCATCCTTGTATTTCCTCTTTATGTTTTTGTTCTGTGTTCACTTTGTACTTCACTTGTATAGACTCCAGAGTTTGGCTTGAGACAGATTTGGATTATAATCAGTAAATTTATTAGTAGTTTGAATTTTAACAGTGCTGAGATCTATGATGACTTTTTCTGGGGGACTCCCTTTCCAGGGGAGTGAATTGGAAGTGACTATCATGATGGTGGTTGAGGCGCTGTGCGAACTTCACTGCCCTGAAGCCATACAGGGACTCGCTGTTTGGTCCTCCTCAGCTGTTGGGAAAAACCTTCTCTGGATTAACTCAGTGGCGCAGCAGGCTGAGGGAAGGTAAGCGGGACAGAATGGGGGAAGGGCTGCCTTTCTTGGTGGGATTCTTGTGGTTTGGTTTTGTGTGTTTTGGGTCACACACGATTTTACTTATTCTTGGCTCTGTGCTCAGGGATCACTCCTGGCAGGGCTTGGGAGACCATATGAGATGGGGGGGGCGAGGGGGGGGATCAGTCCTGGGTCTGTCTGCCATGTACAAGCAATCGCCCTACCTGCTGTGCTATCTCCCTGGCCCTGAATCAAGATTCTTGATTGCCAGTTCCGTGATTTGTTTTTGTATTTATAGCGCTTTGGGTTGTCGGGCCACACCTGACAATGCTTGGGGGTTACTCCTGTCTTTGGGCTCAGAAATTACTCCTTGCAGTGCTCAGGGGACCTTATGGAATGCTGGGGATCGAACCCAGGACAGCTGAGTGCAAGGCAAGCATCCCACTCACTGTACTATCTCTCGAGTCCTATGGTGCTTTTTTGATGTTCAGAAAATTTTAATTGTTATGCCATTAGATTTGTTAGTTTATGGATTATTTTGATTGTGGTCATTCTATTTAGTCTTGGTATACTTGACATCAGATATTTGTCAGTATTTTTATAATTAATTTTTGCTGTGCTGGGGAGGATTGTTGGGCCTTAGACTTGTGGCCGTTCCTTTACTGCTGAGCAGCACTCAAGATTCACATAACCTTGACATTAGCTTTAATTTCTGGTGACCCAGAAATTTAATTTCAGACATCCCAACCTCATGCAAAAAAAGACTCTTTCTTGTTATTTTGGAAGTGAAATAGAGAATAACTTACAAGTTTTTAAGACTTTCTAAATGCTGTTGATAACATTGCAATACATTATTATAAGCCTGAGTTGATAAACTCTTGCCAGTTCACCACTAAATGCGTAATTCTGTCCTTTTCTACTATATATTTGTCCCCTTTGTCTTGATATATCTAACCTCAATCTCTTTCCTGTCTTGTAACTACCAGTTGGTCTTAATGGACTATTTCTTTTATGTTGAAGGTTTGAAAAGGCCTCTGTGGAGTACCAGGAGCACCTTTGTGCCATGACAGGTGTTGACTGCTCCATCTCCAGCTTTGACAAGTCTGTTCTCACTTTGGCCAATACTGGGCGTAATAGTGCCAGCCCCAAGCATTCTCTGAATGGTATGTATTCAGTATGTAACAAAGCTTGTGGCCAGATCATTCGTGCAGCTCATCTTACTGTATATTTTTGTACTTCTGTACTCTTTGTACTCTTTGATCGGCAAAGCCTGGCAAGCTACCGTGACGTATTCGATACGCCAAACACAGTAATAACAAGTCTCACAATGGAGATGTTACTGGGCCCGCTTGAGCAACTCGACGAATAGCAGGAGGACAGTGCAGTGCTACAGTGCTACTCTTTAACATACTTAAAATAGTTTGGGTATTTTTTCTATTTGTTCTACTCATTTATTTAGGTGAGTCCAGGAAAACTGTGTTGTCCAAACCGACGGATTCTTCTCCTGAGGTCTTAAATTATTTGGGCAATAAAGCATGTGAGTGCTACATTTCCATTGCTGATTGGGCTGCGGTGCAGGATTGGCAGAACGCTATTCACGACTTGAAGAAGAGTACCAGCAGTACTTCCCTCAACCTAAAAGCGGATTTCAACTACATAAAGTAAGATTTCTCTGTCTTCTGTAAGTTATGATATTTTTTGAAACAAAGAAATTCCTAATGTGGTCATCGTTTTACTCTGCGGCCATTCTCAACAGGGTTCCCAGAAGAAGCCAGGGTCCGAGGTGAGACGGGTGACTGTGCAGTGGGCAGGCTCCTGATGACACATCCTTTGGTGTCGATTTCCTTTTCAAAGTCAAACAGATGTACAGAGGAATAATGATTCTAAATCAACTACATAAAAAATACTGAACAGGACAGAGATTATGAATATTTGTAAATTAAACTCCACATTTTACCTTTTTTCCCTTTTTTTGTGCCCTCTATTTCTCGATCCCTGGATTTTAAATGTAAATGCTGGCTGTGCTGCAGCCCTTTGTTTGCCCGGATCAGGCTCATTAACTCTCTCTGCAGTACAGGGTGCAGCCTGCAGTGAGTAAAGGCTTAATGCTTATTTCTCTATGTGCCAGCCAGTGTACAAGTAGTAGGACAGAAACCAGACAGCTGCTTTTCTGCCGTTGCTGGTGTTTTGGGCCTCACCTGGCCGTTTAGTGGGGTGCGCCCTCATGCTTGGAGTGCATCACACAGTGCCTCCCACATGCCGAGCATGTGCCCTCACCCTTTGTGCTATTTTCCTGGCCTAACTTGTTTGGGATGTGTGTTTTTGTGTGTGTCCGAGTAGTCTGTGTGGGATGTAAAACACGTTTTGCTAGACATGAAATCCAGGAACCCAGGTTCTCACATGCAAGACATTATTTCTGAGCTATAACCCAGCTCTAGACGGGGATTCTGAGCCCGAGAATCAGCTCGCTCGTCTGCTAGTGAGGGATAGACGAAGACTGTTGGCCAAGATTGAGTTACAACATCAGAATGCTGTGGGGCAGAGTTGAGTTTACAGACCTAGTCCCAGGATTCTGGAGTTGACCTCTGGAAATGCTGGGGTGGGCAGTGTTGGATCGAAGTGAATCGTAGGAGATGAGTGTAGAGAATTGGTGGAAGTTGTGAAAAAAACTTTTGTGCTGAAGTCCTAGTAAACTAGAAAGCATGAATGAGAATTTGTTAGTTTTCATTTTGGTAGCCAGGAATTGGTGTCTCTGAGGCAGTCGGCCACAGTCCCTGACTCAGTGGAGTTGGAGTGGGAGGGCTGTGGCCTCACGGGTTTTGCTGACTGGTTCACAGCTCTGTGTGAGACTGAGAGGCTGGCGGTTGCATTCTTCAGGTTTGGGGATTACTAAGGTGGAAGACGTGCGGTCAAGTGGTGTATAGCATCAGTATCGGGTTCAGACTGACTAGTGAGTGAGGCCACACAGTGGACAGGCGGGCAGGGAGCAGTCTTCTTTTTGGCTGGAAAGCAGTCATGATGGGAAAGGGAACCATGAGAGATCTGAAAGTAGTGGGTCCTGGTTTTGAGGCCCTGAGGCAGTGGGAAGATGCCGCCCGTTACAGGTAAGGACAGATTGAAAGAATCTCCCAGTCCACGAAGTGGCGGGATGGAGAGGGGAAGGGGCAGGGGAGGCAGGAGTAGGCAGTGCGGGCGAGGCGCTGGGAAGGCGGCCTTGGGGGCTCGTGTGAGAGGAGATGCCTCCTGGGGAGTTCAGGGGTGGCTTGAGTGAGGAGGGAGAAGTGGATCTGAGGTTCCTGTGCCAGCAGACGACTGTCAGGGTGCTGAACAGAAGCAGGCTGGCCCAGGCTGAAAGAGGAAGGAAGTGTGGCTGGGTGGCAGCACCGCAGCTCGAGAGCATAGCTGTGGCTTCTTAGTTCCCTGTCCGGCCTTAGTGCTGAGTAAGTGCACACCGGTACACACCAGACATGTGAAATGTTTGCCAGTGTGGAATGTTATGCCACTCTGCTATCTTACACTGTTTCTGAAGGATTCTAGAAGGTGGGTAGGGTAGATGGTGAGGTAACCCACATTTTACTTACAGGTCGCTGAGCAGTTTTGAGTCTGGAGAATTTGTTGAATGTACCGAGCAATTAGAATTGTTACCAGGAGAAAATATCAATCTATTTGCCGGCGGATCAAAAGAAAAAATAGGTACGTAAGACTATTTTATTGCTTTAAAAGAGTTTTTAGTTTGTTTTTGGGACTCACCTGACAGAGCTAAGGACTTATTCTTGGAGGTGCTCAGGGGACCTTAAGGGGCGCCAGGGATCGACCACTTGCAGAATAAGTGGTTAAACCTACTCTGTACTATCTCTCTGGACCTGTTTGAAACCATCTTAACATTAGGTATTAGTATAAACAATTATTCAAAGTCATTGACTTAGTATATTTTACTGGGCAACCTGGGAGTTAATAACATCTATTTTGGAGCAGGAGTCCCTCATTGAAGCAACAAATTTAGGACCATTCTGTTTATAATTGATTTAGTAAGTAAAAAAGTTAAAGTTAAGCCAATTACAAAGCTAAGATTTGTCTAGTTACTTGTTTGAAAAAGTACAGTTTTGGGGCTGGAGCAATAGCACAGCAGGTAGAGTGTTGGCCTTGCACGCGGCTGACCTGGGTTCGATTCCCAGCATCCCATAGGGTCCCCTGAGCACCGCCAGGGTGCAGAGCCAGGAGCAACCCCTGTGCATCGCTGGGTGTGACCCAAAAAGCCCCCCCCCCAAAGAAAAAAGAGAAAAAAAAGTACAGTTTTAAGCTTTTTGTCCTGCTTCCCATCTTGATTTTTCATTCATTCATTTTGTTATCACATTTGTTTTGTTTTGGGGCCACACCCAGTAGGGCTCTAGGCGGTCTCCTAGCTCTTTGTTCGGGCATTGGGGCAGGGTGTCAGGAATTAAATGGGTTTGCTGCCTGCAGGGCAAGCACCCTACCCACTGTACTAGCATGCTAGTCCTATCACAACTCACATTTTTAAGACGTTATTCTAAAGTATTGTTTTCTCTATTTAGCTTTTTTCTTTGTTTGCTTGGAGGGGGGGTGGGGGGGTTGGATTTTTGGACTACACTTGTTGGTGCTTAGGACTACTTGCACTGTGCTCAGGTGTCACTCCTTGAAGACTTGGGGGATCATATGAGGTACTGGGGATTGAACCTAGGTCAGCTGCTTGGAAGGCAAGCACCCTACCTGTTATACTATCTCTATAGCCATGTTTTAGCATTGATTGTTAGATTCAGTAGATCTAGATTTGCCCCTTTTTGGATCACACCTGGTGATTCTCAGGGGTTACTCCTAGCTCTGCACTCAGGAATTACTCCTGGTAGTGCTCAGGGGACCATATGGGATGCCAGGAATTGAACTTGGGTTGTCTGTGTGCTAGGTAAATGCCCTACCTGCTGTACTATTTCTCCAGTCCCTCTAAGAAATATTTTTATATAGCTATCAAATGCTTAATTATTGTGTTTAGGTTCCTGGATTTAAGTATGGAAGGGCGGTATCCATTGGTGATTCTTTTTGAATGCTGTCATTTAATGCTGTACATTAAAACCAAGTTAATCGCATATATTTCAACTCCTGTAGATATGAAAAAACTGCTTCCTAATATGTTAAGTCCAGATCCCAGGGAACTTCAGAAATCCATTGAAGTTCAGTTGCTGAGAAGTTCTGTTTGTCTGGCAACTGCTCTAAACCATATCGAGCAAGATCAGAAGTGGCAATCTGTAACTGAGTAAGTTTGCTCCTCGGGAGGTCAACGTGTATTATGTAGACTTGATGATAAGTGTCTCTACTTTCGTGGGCTGCTAATTAGTATAGCAGTCGCCAGATCACACAGTGTTGGATGTATGCTGTGTGACATTAGCCAGCATAGACTTGAGGTTGAAACCAAATGAAACGTAAAAGCCTGTGTTGTTTTGACTTCATTGCCCTTTCCTTCCTTCACCAGGGATGCCAGTTGGCTAGCAAACTGAAGTTGCCTTTTCTTTTGTGTGGTTATAAATGGAAAACTCTTCTGTTTAACTAACTGTAAGTGTTGTGTTTCAGAAATGTCGTGAAGTACTTGAAGCAAACCTCCCGCATCGCCATTGGTCCGCTGAGACTCTCCACCTTCACAGTCTCACAGTCTCTGCCGGTTCTCAGCACGCTGCAGCTGTATTGCTCCTCTGCACTGGAGAACACGGTTTCCAGCAGGCTCTCAGCAGAGGTGTGTGTGTGTGTCTACCCCGGCAGATCAGGCGTGTGAACTTGTGTATCCCCAGCATATGGTTTTGAACTTGGAAGAGGCATCCATATGAAACAAAAAGTAGTTTTAATCTTTTCTGGGCCACACCCAGCAGTGCTTAGGGCGCATTCCTGGCTCTGTGTTCAGGGATCACTTCTGGTAGTTCTCGGTCACGGTCCTCCCGTTGTTCATCGATTTGCTTGAGCGGGCCCAGTAACGTCTCGATTGGGACTTTATATGGTCCTAGTGTCTGGAACTGGGTTAGACCGAATGTGGCAAGTGCCTTACCACTGTACTGTTTCCATCCCCTATTTTTCAAATTTTAAAATAGATTTGTTGTGATAGCTGTGAACATCTAAAAATCAAATTTTCATTTGAAAAATATTTGAGGCAAATTGAAGAACCAAGATGTGTAATCACTCAGAATTCTTGATTGCTTACACAGCCCGCCCCCCCCCTTTTTTTTTTAAGAAGGGCATTTGGTGTATGAAAATGTATTTTCCTTGTGCATTTGATGGACATTTTGGGTTTGATATGAAGCCAACCCTGTCTGCCCAGTAAAATAAAGTGTAACCAAAATGGATTTTTTTCTTTTCAGAAAAATTTGTATTTCTTAGTGTCCTGTAACGTATCTTGTTTTATAGTAAATATACTGTGTCTCTCTCCCCCCCTGCCCCCCCATAAAAATACTGTAAGAGCCAGAGAGATAATACAATGGGCAAGAATTTTCCTTGTACTCTGTCAACCCAGGAGTGACCTGAGCAGAGTAAGGAGTAAGTCCCGAGAGCAGCAGGGTTGGCCCAGAGACAAACCTGAAGAAAAACAACAGTAAAAATAAGTTCTTTAGGGGCTGGAGGGATTGTACAAGGGGTAAGATACTTGCCTTGCATGTACTGACCCCAGTTCAGTGCCCAGTACTATGTATGGCCCCCCTGAGCACAGAACCAGGAGTAAGTCTCAGGCACACGTGGTTGTGGCCCTACTGCACCCCCTAAACGCTTTATTTGAATTTATTTGATAGATTAGACGTAGCAGTCTGAAGGTTTTTTGGGGGGTGGGGGGAGGGGTAGTAGAAGTGGAAAAACACCCCTATTGAGAAGGGCAATGGGAGGAAGAGGAGAGTGTGCTGAGGAAGATGAAGCATTCCATGTGTGGGCATTTCACCAGACTCAACGTTTACGTAGAGAAGCCGCGTGTTGATCTTGCTTAGTTTTGGCTTTTCTTGCAGGACTGCCTGATTCCACTCTTCAGTGAAGCCTTGCGCTCATGTAAGCAGCATGACGTGAGGCCGTGGATGCAGGCATTGAGGTACACCATGTATCAGAGTCAGTTGCTGGAGAAAATCAAAGGTAACCGTATTGTCTTTTTAGTAGCTTGATTGAAATGCAGTGGATGTGTTTCAGCTATGCAGGTCCATGTGTTTTTGACAGATATCCAGATACCACTTAGCCCACCCCAGAAAGGTGTCTCTGGGCCTGATGATTTCTAAGCTGCCACGGATGCAGATACTTTTATACCCTTAAACTGTATAGGACATCTTGGACTTGTGTTGCAGGAGTTGGCAGAGTCCCCTCTGTTGTTGTTGAGTTATCGTTGTTGTTGGCCCTTTTGATGAGTATTTGAATTGTCTTCCAATTTGGCTATTATATGTAATATTGCCATGAAAACCAAACACAAGTCTCTGGGTAGACTATTTCTCTTGAATGGGTTTGTTGAGTCATGATTTGACTTTCATAACGGTTCAGCAAACTTTTATAAAGTGACTGTATATTTTACATTCCTTTTAACTTTATATCCTGATGGGGTCTTTCATTGTAGTTAGTGAAATGAGTATATAGTTGTCTATCTTGCTTATTTGGTATTCTTGGGCCACACTTGGCTATAATCAGGGACCAGGCCTAGCTGGGGGCACCACATGGGGTGCTGGGGACTGAAGTCAGGTTGACCAAATCCATAAAATACGTGAAGGAAAGTGTGGATAGACCCCTCCATGACATTGAAGCAAAGGCATCTTCAAAGATGACACACCACTGACCCAGCAAGTGGAAGCAAAGGTTAAACAAATGAGACTACATTAAACTAAAAAGCTTCTGGACCTCAAAAGAAACAGTAACCAAGATACAAAGACAACCTGCAGACTGGGAAAAAATTTTACTCAATATGCATCTGATTAGAAGTTAATATCCAAAATATATAAGGCACTGGTAGAACTTCTAAAAGAAAAGAACATCCAACCCCATCAAAAAATGGGAAGAAATGAACAGAAACTCTCAAAAAAGAAATACAGATGGCCTAAAGACACATGAAAAAATGCACTACATCGCTAATCATTAGGGAGATGCAAATCAAAACATCATGAGATACCATCTCACACCACAGAGACTGGCACACATCAAAAAGAACAAGAGCAACCAGTGTTGGAGTTGATGCGGGGAGAAAGGGACTCTTCAGTGTTGGTGGGAATGCTGACTCGTCCAGTCTTTTTGGAAAACAATATGGACATTCCTCAAACTAGAAATTGAGCTTTCCTATAACCTTGCAATACCGCTTCTAGGAACATATCCCAGGGCCTAAAAACACACAGCAGAAATGCTATCTGTACTTCCGTGTTCATTGCAGCACTATTCACAGTAATCAGAACCTGGAAACAGCCCGAGTACCCAAGAACAGATATCTGATTATAGAAACTGGTGCTTCTACCCAATGTTAAATTTTAAACAGGCTAATTTAACAATTCTTATTTGTTTGTCTTATTTTTAAGGAAAAATGTCTGTTAAAGGGATTCTAGCAATTTAATGCTTTAAAATAAAAAAGTTGCTGGGGCTGGAGCGATAGCACAGTGGCTAGGGCGTTTGCCTTGCACGCAACCAACATGGCTGACCCACGTTCGATTCCCAGCATCCTGTATGGTCCCCCGAGCGCCGCCAGGAGTAATTCCTGAGTGCATGAGCCAGGAGTAACCCCTGAGCATCGCCGGGTGTGACCCAAAAAGCAAATAAATAAGAAAAAAAAGTTGCAGGAATTCTGTTAAATTAATCAGAACACGCTAGTAGTTTGACTGAGTGTGACTGTTATTTCAAGTAAGTTAATGCTGAGATACTGTGAGCTGTGGTCACTAGAGATGGACGGATTCGCCTGGACCCCAGTGCCAAACAGATCTGGGCTGAATCATTAGCCCAGCACTTTCGAGATGTTGGACTTTATGACCTGATGGTTCAGTGCTCGGGCCCAAGGGTACAGTGATGCTCGGGCCCTGCAGTGCCAGGGACTATCACGGCCTCCGTGAGCGGGCTGGGGCCTCCAGGACTACACTTAGTGCAGGGGATTATGGACCCTGGCGCTTGAAGCATGTTCCCTGACTGTTCTCTGTCCCTTGCCCTTACTCCCGAGAGTCTTACAAGTACTATAGGAATGAAACAAGGCCCTTGAATGCCCTGATGGGGGGCATGGCATCCAGTAGGGTGACAAGTGTCATCTCTTCCCATCCCTACCATCGCTGGACTTAGACTAGGGATGAGAAGAAAGTAGCCTGCCATAGTGCCGATCCGCTTTCTGTTTTCCTTTTTTAGTGCTTTGTATCAGGCACTGTGCTCGTATCTGGGGCATACAGCACAAGCTTGTTTCCTGTATTCTTAGACCCAAGGGGATTCTAGAATATAGGAGGGAAAACAGACATCTGACAAGGAAGGACAAGTTAGTGTGATGTGCTGGATTGAGGACGTGCACATGTGGCACTGCAGGAGCATAAGAGGAGCCCCAGAGTAGTGCCAGGATGCAGTAAAGGACTCGGGTGGGAAGCCTGCCTTAGGGCTGAGACCCAAAAGAAGCAGAGATGAGAAGGCAAGCAGGCTGGTGGAACTAGAGAGAAGGCGTGGGTGCTAGTGGAAATCTGAGAGCTTGTTAGATGACTCAGCACACCTAAGCGAGTGTGGGGAAAGATGACATTGGAGGAGATTGAGATGGGAATGGAAGGCAAGTTGTCAGTGCCTTACAAGCCATACTGAGTTGATGCCAGTAGTACTTAACGTGTAGTGCCAGCCGGGCAGGAAATGCAGCTGTGATTCAAGGGTTGAAAGCGAAGCTGACGATGATTGCCGGACACCTGCTGGTGTCTAGGTTGCCTTTATGCGTTTGCTGAAGAAAGGGAAAATAGGAGAAGGAAATCTAGGAAGCTTACTGGGTAGCAGGAAATAAATTCCACTTGTCACAGATCAAAGTATCCTTGACATATTTGGGTGTAGATGACTGATAGGCAGATGGGACTCAGAGGGAGAAAGTACCGAGTTAGGACAGGGGAGAGCCTCACACCAGCCCTGACGCATACCCTTTTTGGTGTCATTGTTTTGTTCTTGGGCCACATTCCAGCATTGCTCAGTGCTTACTCCTGGCTCTGCACTTAGAGTTCACTCCTTGTGGGTTCACTGGGCCGTACAGGGTGCCAGGGATTGAGCCTGGACTGGCCACGTGTAAAGCAAACTCCTTACCCATTGCACCAATGGAACATCAGTTTTGATGGCTGGGTAGTGGACGGGAAGGAGACTGGCAGGTAAGAGTAAACTAGGAGAGACTGGCAAGAAAGACAGCAGCAGGGTTCATAGAAAGGGCACGTTCTCACCTTCTCCCCATCCCTCACCTATAGTTCACGGCTTTTTATTAAAAGGATCCAGAAACAACAATTAACTACTTAAAGTGAATGATTTTTACTCTTAGTTGTATACATTGAGTTCAACAGACATGTTTATTTTATTCCAGGTACTTTGCTAGTTGCTAAGGATTTTAGAACAGTGAGATAATTGATGCTATTTAAGGGGGGGTGGCAGGACAGGAATAGTTGGGGAAGAATTTTCTGGACGTATTTTTGTGCAATCTGGGATTAGATGAACTGAGGCCTAATAAATTTTTTTTTCCCTCTCTCTCCAGAACAAACAGTTCCAATTAGAAGCCATCTCATGGAATTAGGTTTAACAGCAGCAAAATTTGCTAGAAAACGGGGAAATGTATCACTTGCAACGAGGCTGCTGGCACAGTGCAGTGAGGTTCAGTTGGGGAAGACCACCACAGCCCAGGATTTAGTCCAGCATTTTAAGAAACTGTCAACTCAAGGTCAAGTGGATGAAAAGTGGGGGCCTGAACTTGACATAGAAAAAACCAAATTACTGTATACAGCAGGTCAGTAAAATGAATGCTAGGCAGAATATAGCCTTCGTAATCATTTGTATGAATACATAATAGAAAGTTAGTTTTTTTCATCATTTCTAGGACATACAAGCTCTGATATGTATAATTGACACCTTTAGTTTAATGCTTTCATTTTTCAAATTTCCCTCTCCTCCACTCCTCCCCTCCTGTTCCCCCATTTCCCTTTTCCTCTTTTTTTTTTTTTCCTTTTTGGGAAAGAAAATTTGGCTTTGGCAGAACCCACCAGTGGCAGAACTTCTGGGTCTTCAGAGTATCACTCCTGGCAGGCAGCCCTTGCGGTACCCCATGAGGTATCAGGAATCAAACCTGGGCTCGCCAGTGTGAGGAAGTGCCCTGCCCACTCTCATATTGCTCCAACTTTTTCATCTCCTTTTTGTTTTCAAACCATACCTGGCAGTGCTCACAGGCTGCTCTTGGTGGCACTTGGGGATCCATCGTACAGTGCTGGGGAGTTGAACTCCAGGAAGTAAAGCATATGATCCATCCATTAAACTTTCCACCCCAGCTTATTGCCTTTTTTCTTTTTCTTTTGATTTTTGGGCTACTCTCATGGTGCTCAGGCTTATTCCTGGCTCTGCACTCGGGTCACTCTTGGTGGGTCCCAGGAATTGGGACCTGCAAGGAAGCACCTTACCTGAGGTCCTGTCTCTCATTAGCCTCCCAACACCGCTGTGCTATCGCTCCAGTTAACATCACTTCTTTTATAATGAAGTAATGTTGACTGGAGCGATAGCACAGCGGTAGGGCGTTTGCCTTGCACGTGACCGGCCTGGCCGACCCGAGTTCGATTCCTCAGTCCTTCTTGGAGAGCCCGGCAAGCTACTGAGAGTATCTCACCCACACGGCAAAGCCTGGCAAGCTCCCTGTGGCGTATTTGATATGCCCAAAACAGTAACAACAAGTCTCACAATGGAGATGTTACTGGGCCCGCTTGAGCAAATCAATGAACAACAGGAGGACAGTGCTATAGTGCAACAGTATACTAGGAGAAATGGTTTTAGAAATTATTGCATATTTTATTTCATTCTTAAGTGTTGTCAAGCATTCATTAATTTACTGTTGATCAGTTGTTTGCTTATCAGTCTTCTGAGTGCTGATTTTTTTTTTTTTGTGTGTGTGTGTGTGTTGTTATTTTTTTTCCAGGCCAGTCAACACATGCAATGGAAATGCTGAGTTCTTGTGCCATATCTTTTTGCAAGTCTGCCAAAGCTGAATATGCAGTTGCCAAGTCAATTCTGACACTTGCTAAGTGGATCCAGGCAGAGTGGAAAGAAATTTCAGGGCAGTTGAAACACGTTTACAGAGCTCAGCAGCAGCAGAATTTCACGGGTCTTTCTACTTTGTCTAAAAACATACTCACTTTACTAGAACTGCCACCTGTCAATACGATGGAAGAAGAGTACCCTCGCATCGAGAGCGAGTCCACAGGTAGGTATGCTCATTGGCTTGTCGTTCGCCGGAACCCATTTGCCCTGTAGTGATGGCTGGGCTTTCTACAGAAAGTGCCTTTTGAGAGTTGGCCTGTTTCCTGGAATGGAGCACAGGTGTCTGAGCTCTCAACTGGCCCCCCAGACCCTCTGGCTCACCTTCCCACTCAAAGGTGCTCTTGGGGACTTTAGGCATTTCCTTCAGGGCTGGGCCTGCTGTGGTAGAAACCATTGTCTTGTTTTTATTATTTTTTTAATGGAATATAATGTTATGCTGAAGTAGATTATTTTACTGCAAAGCATGAGATACTAATTATGTACATTGGTCTTATAATTTGAGTCTCTGTTTCAGTTTCTCTTTTGGCGGGGGGGGGGGGGGGGGGGGACTGCACGCTCAGCTATATTCATGGGTCACTCCTGATAGGGCCCTTGGGGCCATAGGAGGTGCTGGAGATCAAGCGTGGGTGGCTGTGTGCACGACAAGCACCTGCCTTTTGTTCTATTGCTCTGGTGGTTGTCCCCCCACCTCCTTGAGGGTCGGGAATGATGCCAGAGATAGAACTCGGGGCCTTAAACATGTAAGGCATGAGCTTTCCATTAAGTCACCTCCCCATCCTGGAGAGTCTTGATATTAATAAGAGATATATATTTTTCATGTTGGTAAGTGACGCTTCAGTAAGTGATACCAGTTTAAACTTTGTGTTTAACTTTTTAAAACTATAATTGCCATAGAGAATATTTCTTTGATTTAAAAAAACCAAGTTTTTAAAGTCTAATGGAAGTAGTATAATCCATTAACATTGCTGAGTTCTTTCATTATTTTTTTTCTATCCTGGCAGTTCATATTGGAGTTGGAGAACCTGACTTCATTTTGGGCCAGTTGTATCACCTCTCTTCTGTGCAGGCACCCGAAGTAGCGAAATCATGGGCAGCATTGGCTAGTTGGGCTTATAGGTGGGGCAGAAAGGTGGTTGACAATGCAAGGTATGTCGAAATATGTAACTTAATGCATTGCAAAATAAAGACGTAGACTGTCTCTCTCACCTAGTAAAGTTTTCATAGCTGAGGTTCTGATGACTTGTTAACTCTTACAGCCAGGGAGAAGGTGTTCGTCTGCTGCCTAGAGAAAAATCTGAAGTGCAGAATCTGCTTCCAGACACTATAACTGAAGAAGAGAGAGAGAGAATCTATGGTATTCTTGGACAGGCTGTGTGTCGCCCAGCTGGGATTCAGGCAAGGAAGATGTGGTCTCATGTTCTGGGAAATAAGTGTCACAATCACCTTTCCAGTTCATTGGTCTTTGAGGAGGTTGATCGCATTTACGTGATTTAGTGTTAAATGTGCCTTTTAAAGCTTTTGTTTCAAATCAAAACTGAGTTCTAAGAAAAGTGAGTTGCTGTATTTATTGAGCAAAAAAAGTACTTTCTTGGGCCTGAGTGATAGTATATCTGGTAGTTGACCCAGCCAGATTAGATCCCCAGCACCTCATATGGACCCTCAAGCTTGTCAGGAGTGGTTTCTGAGCACTGCCAGGTGTGGCCCAAAACCCAAAGGGAAAAAAATGTAATTTCTTCAGCACTGAAATCATTTTCCTTCAGCTCTTCTTTAAAAAATGATGAAGTTGGGACCAAAGAGAGAAAGTACAGCGGGTAAGGCATTTGTTTGCACACCGTCAACCTGGACTTGATCTCTGACATCACGTATGGTTTCTTGAGCCTATAGGACTGATCCCTGAGCACTGAACCTGGAGTGATCCCTGAGCACAGCTTGGTGTGGCCCATATACCAACAAAAAGTACATAAAAGAAGATGAAGTTGGTTTTATGTAAATGAAGCTTCTGTTTTAATTGCTTTTCTGATCAGAAATTAGGTCCTTATACCTGTTTTTAGGGTTTTTAAAAGCAATTTGGCAGTGGCCTGACAGCTCAAGGGGCTGAATGAGTGCTTTGCATGCCAGAGACGTGGTTCAGTTCCCAACGCCCTGTGGTCCCCTCAAGCACTGTCTGGTGGTCCCCTTCATTATCCTCACTCCCCAGTGAAACGAAAAAGAATACCTCACATGTTCTGGATAGAGTGTGTGAGGGGGAGTGAGAAGGATCGAGGGTGGTTGCAGGGGTGGGGAGAGAGTGGAGGGAGAGGGGTGATGGAGAATGCAAGCTTTTTGGTGATTGGAATATCCAGTCATAGTTGCAACACAAGTGGCCCAAATGGCAGTGCTCAGTGGAGGGGATGATTTACTCCCTCCCTTCTCGATATTTTTTCAGTCCTAGAATGTTAGTTGAATCAGTTGAGTATTCAGTTGTAGACTCTAAAAGCTTGGATTATATTTAGCCAGCTAAATGATTGATTCATCACAGTCTGTCAGAGCTGGTGTTAGGTACGTGTGTAGACCTTTGAAGAGGTGAAGCTGCTTTGTGATGATTTCTCTGTATGGTTAGGCTTCAACTTTTGAAAAGACTTTCCTGCAAACAGATTGTTACATATTTATTGTTCTTCAGAAACACAGTTCTTAATCTTTGTTGAATGCTAATATCCTTTTCTTCATTTGGTGCATTCATTTGTCATAGAAACACATTGACATTGATTTAGCATGTGGAACACTACATGTGAAATAATTCAGGCGTTCAGAAGTGAGAAACATGTCTTCATAAGATAGGACTGTCACATACATTTGTCTTGTTATCTTTTTTGAAAATGCAATTTTGGCCCAATTTTTCTTCAGGATGAAGATATAACGCTTCAGATAACAGAGAGTGAAGATAATGAAGAAGATGACATGGTGGATGTTATCTGGCGTCAGTTAATCTCAAGCTGCCCGTGGCTTTCCGAGCTTGATGAAACTGCAACCGAGGGAGTCATTAAAGTCTGGAGGAAGGTCGTGGATCGGATATTCAGCCTGTACAGACTGTCTTGCAGTGCTTATTTTACTTTCCTCAAACTCAATGCCGGCCAGGTAAGTTGCAGTGCTCCATGGAGAATGCTTTTCTGGTAGCCGAGGACAGTTTTCTGTACAGTATTGCTTCCTTCCTGTCGTCTTTCACACTTAGGTTCCTTTAGACGAGGATGACCCGCGGCTGCACTTGAGCCACCGAGTGGAGCAGAGCACTGACGATGTGATTGTGATGGCCACCTTGAGGCTGCTGCGGCTGCTGGTGAAGCACGCTGGGGAGCTGAGGCAGTGCCTAGAGCAGGGCCTGGAGACCACACCCACCGCCCCCTGGAGAGGTCAGGGTCTGGCGGGAAGCCAGAGCACTAACTTGATGTGTAGTACGGGGCTCTTGTAGCACTTCCTCCTATCTTGCAGAACATAAGGCTGGCGGGGAGTCTTTGCATTGAAAAAAGTACTTTTATTTTGTCTTCTCTCGTTTGGTGCTCACACCCAAGGGGTAACTCCTGGCTTTTCTCTTAGGAATTACTCCTGGCTGTGCTCGGGGAGCGAATCCAGGTCGGCCACATGCCAGACAAACGCCCTCTCCACTGTACTATCACTCCAGCCCCCAGAAAAGAAAGATTTTTAAGAATGGGGAAAATAAGACTTTGCTTTTGGGTCACACCCTGTGATACTTAGGGTTTATGCCTGGCCTACACTCAGGGATCATTCCTGATGGAACGTGGGGGCCCATCTGGGGTGCTGGATTAAAAACCCGGATTGGCTCTGTGCAAGTACCTGCTGTACTATCACTCAGGCCAGGAGTGGTAAAATAAGTTGTAAAAATTTTTCACACCCTCTATACAAATGATGTTGCCTTCTTTGGTAGTTATTCAGAGCAAGCATATTTTCTTAGGGCATCTTTGAGTTGCCATGCTTGTTGGTAACAGCTCTGTACTCCAACCAGACTTGTAAATCAGATACTTTATTTTTACTTTTATTACAGTTATTATCATTATCATGGGGAAAACTTTCAGACCCTTAGAAATGCTGCTGAATACTGAGTTTGAGTTACTATTTTTTGTTTTCTGTTAACTTGAAATATATGTTTTTCTTATCCTAAAGGTATTATTCCACAACTTTTCTCGCGCTTAAACCACCCAGAAGTGTATGTGCGCCAAAGTATTTGTAACCTTCTCTGCCGTGTGGCTCAGGATTCCCCCCATCTCATACTGTATCCGGCAATTGTGGGGACCATATCACTTAGCACTGAATCTCAGGCTTCAGGTAGGAAATGTTCAAAAATAAAAAACCCTTCTGCTAAGTATAAATGATTAAGTACATAAAAGTTGTACTTTTATCCTCTCGGGGAGGGGATGACCAGACCCAACCATGCTCAGGGCTTACTCCTAGCTCTGCACTCAGGAATCACTCTTGGTGAGCTCGGGGCACCATATGGGGTACCAGGGATCGGGGATAGAAGCTAGGTTGACCCTATTCAAGGCAAATGCCCTATTGGCTGTACTGTTGCTCCAGCCCTGTGAGCTTGTAGGTTTTTTTGTTTTTTGAAAAGCCATTTATTTATTTATTTTGCTTTTGGGATCACACCTGGTGATGCACGGGGGTTACTCCTGGCTTTGCACTCAGGAATTATTCCTGGTGGTGCTCGGGGGGCCATATGGGATGCTGGAAATCGAACCCAGATCAGCCATGTGCAAGGCAAAGCCCTATTCGCTGTGCTATTGCTCCAGCCTGGGCTTGTCGTTTCTTAGTTGTAAAATCACTTTGAATTGAGGGAGCAATTCCTGGGCCTGATGCTCGACTCATGCTCTACTCTTGGTGTTAAGTTCTCCGGTCCCCGTCCAGACTGGAAGTGACTGGCTCTCCTCGGTCCCCTGAGCTGACGGGAACTGGCTTGTGAAGGCTGCAGCCAAGTTTGTTTTTTTTTATTTACTTTTTAGGTTACACCTGGTGATGCACAGGGGTTACTCCTGGCTCTGTGCAAGGCAAACACCCTACCCACTGTGCTATCACTCCAGCCCCCTGAAGCCAAATTTTGAACTCTGATGGAGTCTGAACACTTTATTAGTTGAAAATTGTTTATTATCTTCCATGAAGTTTATAATAATGGAAAATTAATTCTTAACATCAAAGAGTAGGATATTTAGATTTTTTTTTTTGGTCATTTTTTGTTTCATTTTGGGGTGGGTGTTGCTCATGGGTCTGCCCTCAGGAATCACTCTGGTGGGGCTCTGGGGTCCATCGGGGTGCCAGAGGTCAGACTTGGATTGTCAGGAGCCTTGCCCACTGCCACCTTATTGCACATCAGTGCACAGATGCAGATTAGCTGTGCGATGAAGTTCAGGGGCTTACTGATGTGGGAAGGAACAGCCAAGGTAATCCTCCTCCTGTTTCATTATAGTAAATAAATTTTCCTCGGCAATTCCAACTTTACTTGGCAATATTCAAGGAGAAGAACTGCTTGTTTCTGAATGTGAGGGAGGAAGTCCTCCTGCTTCTCAGGATAGCAATAAGGACGAACCCAAGAGTGGCCTGAATGAAGATCAAGCCATGATGCAGGATTGCTACAGCAAGATTGTGGATAAGCTTTCCTCTGCGAACCCCACCATGGTCTTACAGGTAGAAAACCCCAGCGGTGGTTTTTGGCCAATCTTTATTATCCCTCCCCTGACATCCCCCCTCCCCCCCCCCCAAAAAAAAAGCAGAGAAAAGAAAGAAGAACAATCACCAATAAAATACCTAAAAGCAAAACTCACAGAAACTGTCATAGAAATGGTGTTTGAGTAACAAAGCTGGTAGAGTTATGAAACCGGTCTTACATCTTAGTATTTTTTTTTTAAACTTTTTTTTTTTTTTATTGAATCACTGTGGGAAAGGTTACAAAGCTTTCAGGTTTATGTCTCAGTCATGCAAAAATCAAACACATTTCCCTTTACCAATACTTATTTTTTACCATGAAGAACCCCAATAAAACCCCACCCCCCACCCCTCCCCGTCCCTGTGAGGCAGATGAATTCTAGTTAACACTCTATCTGCTTTGATTAGATTCATTGTTTTAATAAAAGATTCACCACTATTATTTAGAGTTTACCCCCCCCCCCCCCCCCAAATCAGACATGCTGAAAAAGCATTGTGAAGTGATTTGCTTTCTACAGCTGGGTTCAAGAATTAAATGTTGGTTTGGGATTTCTGCTATTTTACCTATTGACCCTGGAAGTATTTCTACTGAAAGTCAGATAGTTAAGAAATTGGTTTCTGTGTTCTGGAGTCGTGGCCGTGCTGGAGAGCCGCTCGTGGGGGCAACTGGTGGCCTCGGTAGGGCGTGAAGGGCGGACCGAAATGCCCCCCTTCCCATGAGGTTTTAGTCGCCCCCACACTCGCGGCTCATACCTGCTGTCCACAAGGCTCCCATGTGGCCGCCATCTTTCTTTCCAGAGAGGAGAGGGCGAATGCGGCAACACCCTTTCCCCTCCGGCAGACTTGATGGCCTGGATCAACGCATAGTCCTTTCACTTTTCTGCTCCAAGCTGCTGGGTTCTGCATTAAGTCCTTGTGCTTCTGGGGCTGTGGCCATGCTGGAGAGCCGCTCGTGGGGGGCAACTGGTGACCTCGGTAGGGCGTGAAGGACGGACCGGAACGCCCGCCTTCCCATGAGGTTTTAGTCGCCCCCACACCCCCGGTTCATACCTGCTGTCCACAAGGCTCCCATGCGGCCGCCATCCTTCTTTCCAGAGAAGAGAGGGCGAATGGGGCAACACCCTTTCCCCTCTGGGCAGAAATGATGGCCTGGATTAACGCATCGTCCGTTCACTCTTCTGCTCTAAGCTGCTGTGTTCTGCATTAAGTCCTTGTGTTTCTGGGGCTGTGGCCGTGCTCCAAACTTAACTCTGATTTTCAGGGAGAAAGATTGGGTGGTTTACTTCTCATTGATCACTTTGTACATAGAGAGATGTCGCGCGGCTGCATATCGGTTTTGAGAAAAAGTCCTCATTCCCGCATACTCGAGCTGTGTTTGTAGAGGCTTCTGGTCACCGGGGTTCCATCTGGGGGAGGCGGGATGCGGCACCTACCCCTTCTGGAACTTGCTGGTGATCTCGGCTCTTTTTGGAACCTGTTTTTTTTTTTTTTTTTCCCCTCCGGGATCTGTGGTTCCCGCACCCTCCATGTGGTCCTTCTCTTAGGCTGAATGCTTCAAAGATGGCGCTGGGGGGTGGGCTGTGGGCGTGACTTCCAGAATCAGAGGTTACCTGGGAGCTGTAGTCCGTCAGATTTGAGAAAAAGTCCTCGTTCCCGCATACTCGAGCTGTGTTTGTAGAGGCTTCTGGTTCACCGGGGTTCCATCTGGGGGAGGCGGGATGCGGCACCTACCCCTTCTGGAACTTGCTGGTGATCTCGGCTCTTTTTGGAACCTGTTTTTTTTTTTTTCCCCCTCCGGGATCTGTGGTTCCCGCACCCTCCATGTGGTCCTTCTCTTAGGCTGAATGCTTCAAAGATGGCGCTGGGGGGCGGGCTGTGGGCGTGACTTCCGGAATCAGAGGCTACCTGGGAGCTGTAGTCCGGCAGATTTGAGAAAAAGTCCTCGTTCCCGCATACTCGAGCTGTGTTTGTAGAGGCTTCTGGTCACCGGGGTTCCATCTGGGGGAGGCGACATCTTAGTATTGATAAGCAAATTGATAATCACGAATCAGACTTATCTGATTGTATTCTGAACAGATGTTGCACATGCTCACCAGCGACTCTGGAGCGTGCAGGGGTGTAGCTGGGCATCTTCGGGTATTTGTATGCAGGTGCAGATGCTGGTGGCCGAGCTGCGCAGGGTCACGGTCCTCTGGGATGAGCTGTGGCTGGGAGTGCTCTTACAGCAGCACATGTATGTACTGAGACGAATCCAGCAGCTGGAGGATGAGGTGAAGAGAGTCCAGAACAACAACACCTTACGCAAGTATGCTCTCCCATGCTCTCACGCAGAAGTCTCCGTCCACGTCTTGCTTTTTAATGTAGCCTATGCGTAATACAGCCTTGGCGTCTAGACGTGCTTTGCAGCTGTGTTCAGTATGCTCTTGGCGTTGTGCTAGTGTGACCGCTCTCCACTTCCCGAAGGATGGGAGTTTTTCATTTTAGCATAGCCAAATTTTTTTCTATATTGGACTTGTTAGACAGTTTTCTCCCTTCGTTTATTTAATTGACCAGTTTATTTTTGTAGTTTTGGGCATTGGCTTCACACCAACACAGCAAGGCTAGTGTTCTGCTACTGAGCTCAGTCTCTAGCCCTGAGTTTAACGTCATGGGCTTCTCTGTGTTATGCATGTAGCAGGCTTTGATCCCTTTTTACTGCATGGTCCCCTGAGCACTGCCAGGTGTGGTTCTAAAAGTAAAGTGAAGGGCTGGATCAACAGTACAGCAGGTAGAGTGCTTCCCTTGCGTAGGGCCGACCTTGGTTTTATCCCAGTGAGCCCTGCCAGGAGTAATTCCTGAACGCAGAGCCTGGAATAAGCCTTGAGCAGCGCCACCCCTCCCCCCCCCCAAAAAAAAAGGAAAAATGTAAGCCTTGTTGGGGCTGGCTGGAGCAATAGAACAGCAGGTAGGGCGTTTGCCTTGCATGCGGCTAAAGCAGATTCAATTCCCAGTATCCCATAGGGTCCCCCAAACACCACCAGGAGTAATTTCTGAGCGCAGAACCAGAAGTAATCCCTGAGCATCACCAGGTGTGACCCAAAAAGGGGGGAAAAAAAAAGGTAAAGCAAGCTGTGTGTGACAGCAGAAAAAAAAAAGAGTTTTGATTTTTTTCTTCCATTTTGTGTTTATTTTTGCATATGTGCTACAGTAGGAGTCCACCTTCGTTGTGCGTCCACACCATTCATTGAAGTGAGCCCCCTTTATGTTAGGGATTTTTTCTTTAAAATTGTGTTCTCTTAGTCAAAACTGCAAAAATATTTCTTAATTTTTAAATACTCTTTGATATTATTCACTTGGTACGTTTCAATTGTTCGATGTTTGTCTAAAACCGTGTCTTCCTGGTCAGAGAAGAGAAAATTGCAATTATGCGGGAGAAGCATACAGCTTTGATGAAGCCCATTGTGTTTGCTTTGGAGCATGTGAGGAGCATCACCGTGGCACCTGCAGAGACACCTCATGAAAAGTGGTTTCAGGATAACTATGGTGATGCCATAGAAACTGCCCTGGAGAAACTGAAGACACCATCCAACCCCGCCAAGCCTGGAAGCAGCTGGATTCCATTTAAAGAGGTACAGGATAATGTCATGGATGCTAATAAAATGGGAGCTTCCCTTTCAAACTCTAAATAGAAGTAAGGGGACTGCCCTTGCAGGTGAACCTGAGATGTTGGAAGCCAGCCTCTATCCAGTTGTTTGGAAGGATTGTAGAGATAGGTGAAGAGAGTCGTGCTGGTGGGAGCCCCAGCCTTTAACTTGGGAAGGCTCACGTTAGATGAACCAGGGAAGGTACCTGGGCCTTTAGCTAGACAGCAGTTACTTGCTGTATTCTTCTTATTAAAGATTTAAGACATTTGGGGTTGGGCATTTGCCTTGCTGCAACTGATTTGTGTTCGATTCCCGGCACCCCATATGTTCTAGTACTGCTAGAAGTAATTCCTGAGTGCAGAACCAGGGGTGACCTCTGAGCGTCACTGAGTGTGGCCCCCAAACAAAAAAGATTGAAGACATTTAAACTTGGGCCTATAGATTTTTTTTCTCCCCTGTGGGTAGTATTTATTATTAAAACAATAACAACAATAATGATAACAAGACAGGGGCCAGAGCCATAGTCCAGAGGGGAGGGCATTTGACTTGTATGGCGCCAACCTGCGTTTGATCCCCGGCATTCCATGTGGTCCACTGTACCTTCCAGGAGCAATTCCTAAGTGCAGAGCCAGGAGGAAGTCCTGTGCACTGTTGCGTATAGTCTCAAAACCAAAGCATTTTTAAAAGTAAGAAAAAATTACACATTTTTGATGGGCTTGACATCAGTTCCTCATTGGCTATTTCAGGAGATTAGTTTATTGAAATATAGGAGTATCTTTACCTTCTGTACTTTGGTCCCTTTATATTTATCTGTTGCAGCAATAATATGATTTTGTGGAAGTCTGTAGTTTTTTCTTGGCTTTTCTTTGTCTGACCCATAAGGTTATTATTCCTAATTGTGTAAGGAGAGAACTATTGAAAGAGTCCCGTGTAAGTATTACACGTGACTGTAGCAAGCACATGCTGCTGTGAGTAAAAGAGTGGAAGCAGCAGCTGAGACATTGGAGAGGGAAGACTCTTCAGCGCACCTTGGTGTTCTTGGTTTGTTGCCATTTTGTTTGTTCTGCTCAGTAAGTCACAGGAAGAGAAAGGAAAAATATGTTTTGAAGTGTGTGTAAATTAAGGCATAGAGGGGAAGTTTTATGGTGATTCGTGTTTGTTTTTTGGGGTGGCTTTTAAAAATATTTTGGCTTTATTTAATTTGTGGCCAGAGCGATAGCACAATGGATAGGGCGTTTGGTTCTTTCGTCCCTCTCGGAGAGGAAACTACCGAGAGTATCCCGCCTGCATGGCAGAGCCTGGCAAGCTCCCCGTGGTGTGTTTGATATGCCCAGAATAGTAACAACAAGTCTCACAATGGAGATGTTACTGGTCCCCACTCGACAAATCGATGAGTAATGGGAGGACAGTGCTACAGTGCAGTGTCCCTCCCTCCCTCCTTGTCAGTGCCTCTTTGGAGTGAAGTTTCTAGTTAAGTTTGCCCTTTCATGATCAGAATTAGCTGTGGATTAAATTTGTTGAGTTACCTATAAGTAGATAACTTTATGTAAAATCAGCTTCCTGCAGAGGTTGATTCTTAGGATGGGTTGTGGATTTTCTTGTTTTTCAGACTTTAGGTCGTTAGGCAGTAGCTGGCTGTGTCCTTTTGCCCGTTTCAGGGACTGATTTGTGTTGGCATTGTTTTGCTCAGCAGTGGGGAAAGGGTTTGCTCCTAGCCCTATTTTGGAATGGGGGGGTGCTTTTCTTCGGTGTACTGGGATCCCCTTGCTTGTGTTGTCAGAGGAGAGGGAGTGCGAACACAGTAGGAATCTCGGAGGGCCTGTCAGCAGCATTGTTTCATGGGCCGGAAAGACCAGCAGTCCAAATATGGGACGGGGGCTAGCGGGGCATTTTTATTGCCATTTCACGTTTCTGTCAGATGGAATGTGGAAGAAAGTGGCTGGCTTACTCTTTCTCCATAAATACAGATAATGCTGAGTTTGCAGCAGAGAGCGCAGAAGCGCGCAAGCTACATCCTGCGCCTCGAGGAAATCAGCCCATGGCTGGCTGCCATGACCAACACGGAGATCGCCCTCCCTGGAGAAGTGTCCGCTCGGGACACTGTCACCATCCACAGTGTGGGCGGAACCATCACCATCCTGCCTACCAAAACCAAGCCCAAGAAGCTGCTCTTCCTGGGCTCTGACGGGAAGAGCTATCCTTACCTTTTCAAAGGTATGACCTGAGAGGAGGCCCCGGGGCTGCTGAGTGACTCCTGGGCTGTCGCCCTGCCGCCAGTGACGGCTGGCCTGAGTTCTGTGTGGCCTCCCTTCCCCCGCTCCTTCCCTTTGCTCTGTTCCCCGACCTGGAGGGAACAGCGGTTCTGGAATTCCTCGAGGCAGTGTGGGGCAATGCCAAGCGAGAAATGCAGAACACCACACAGGCTGGGCAGTGTGTGGTCCTTTTGGGGCTGGGCAGGGGTGAGTGTTGGGGGTGAGCACGTTGCTCAGAACCACTCCTGGAGGTGCTGAAAGGGCCTCCTCGCTCTCAGACCTGTTCTGAGTTGCGGGTGTAAAGCCTGCACTCCCACCCTTGGAACCTTCTCCCCTGCCTCCCCCTTACGGGATTCTTTTCTCCTGTCACTGTCTTGTTTGGGGGACTGTCTTGCTTGCCCCCAGCATTGTTCTGAGTACCTTGCATTGCCAGGATGGAATCCAGGGTTCCTTATGTACAAAGCACATACTCCAGTCTACTTTGTAACTTCTTGGGCTGCCCGTATGGCACTCAGGAGGCCTGGGGGACATTCCCAGCAATTCTTGGCCAGCCAGCCCAGGTTAGTCAGTGGAAGGGTCCACAGATGTGCTGCTTGAATTTCATGGTGTTAGAGATCACTTGGGTTACCCATTGGTCTCTGGAGCCTCCAGGCTGCACCCATGTGGTATGAGGATACACTGGAGTCAGAAAGCATGCTAGGCGTGCACCTCAACCCCACACTGTCCTTCTGGCCCTCTGTAGGTGATTCTTAATGGAAGTGACTGGAAAACCGTTTGTTAAGGTTTTCCGTTCCCCACCGAAATTTTGTGAATTGTGGCCAGTAAAGCTAGTGATATTTTATATCCGAATAGAATGTTTTCTGATACTCTCTTTGGGGGGGCTGTAGTCAGTGGTGCAGTTGCTCTCCATGGGCTTGGAATCAGGCCAGGCTGGGGATTGAACCTGGGGAGTTATCTTTCGGGCCCGTAATGTTCTTGGTGTCTCTTGGCTCTTGACTGCTCTCGCTGGTTAAGGATAAGAGTGGTATGTCTCCAGCCCTGTTTGTTCTCTTACTTTTCCTTATCTGGTCCCCTTCTGAGCTACTTTGAATATGTTTCCATAGGACTGGAGGATTTACATCTAGATGAGAGAATAATGCAGTTCCTGTCAATTGTGAACACCATGTTTGCTACTATCAATCGCCAGGAAACACCCCGTTTCCATGCTCGACACTATTCTGTGACTCCGCTTGGAACACGATCAGGATTAATTCAGTGGGTTGATGGAGCCACACCCTTATTTGGTCTTTACAAGCGATGGCAACAACGGGAAGCTGCCTTACAAGCACAGAAGGTTAATTAAAGTTCAAATACAGATGTGCTTTTATTTGGAGGTTTATGCGTTAGTATGTGTATGTTAGCCTGTGCTGTTATGTTGACATAGGCTTAGCCATGCTCCAGCAGATTTACACAGTTAAAAGGGTTAAAGAAAGAAAAGAGAGGAGGCCTGTTTAAGAGTACATTTCAGATAAAATGTTGAAGATGCAGAAATGCTGACTTTGGGTTCGTCTTACTCTCGATGAATGAAGAATTTGGGGTACTAATTACTTAATAACTTGACATTTTACATCTTTAATATTTTTTGTTGGCTTAATAGTAAGAGTCTTCTAAATTTTGTAAATCAGCTTTGAACAGATTCTTAAAAAGTTGTGAGAAAAACTTAAAATTTACAGTTTCACTAGGACTTACTATGTTGGATCTGTGAAATTTATACTTTGATTCAGGTAGGAATTTAAGTTCAACATCATTTCTTCTAGAAGTACCTTGTGTATGCCAGAAACAGAACTGAGTACTGCTGATTAAAGATAAATTACAACGTTGTATAATTTATTAGGGTCTTACATGTAACCCGAAGGACATGATTCTAATTAGGATTCATGGGGATGGGGCTGGAGAGATAGTACAGTGAGGAGGGCATTTGCCTTGCACGCCCCCAACCTGGGTTCTATTCCCAGCATGCGATATGGTCCCTCAAGCACTGCCAGGAGTAATATCTCAGTGCAGAGCCAGGAGGAACCCCAGAGCATCTCTGGGTGTGACCCAATAAAGAAAAAAAAAGAAAGAAAGAAAGAAAGAAAGAAAGAAAGAAAGAAAAGAATACGTGGTGGAAAGGACAAGAATCCCAGAGGAGCCACGTTTGAGACGTAGGTGTTAGGAGAACTGTGAGCGATTACTGAAGAGCATATTAGAGATGGGAGTAAAGAAATAGTTATCTCAATTGTTGTGCAATGTGTTCGTAATATCTTTTATTTTATACGCATGTTTAAATCATCATACAAGAAAGAATTATTCAGAGAAGGAATTGTGGGAATTTTAAACTGAGTTATACGTGACAAAGAAGAGCTTGGCCATTGAATTTGAGTTGAACTTGAAGAAGGTGTGACATTAGACCAGCTTTTTGGTACAGTAGTGTTACCTACTAGAAAGCTGTGCAATTAGAAGCTAGCTGGGTAGTGCAGGAGAGTTGACTGATGCTTGGAATTTAGCTGGCAGGCAGGTAGGTGGATGATACCACCGAGAATATCAATTGCAGTACTTTGCAGGAAAAGTAATCATCTTCATTTAAATAAAATCTTATCTTTGAAAAATATTTTTAAAGGCCCAAGATTCCTACCAAACTCCTCAGAATCCTGGAATTGTACCCCGGCCAAGTGAACTTTATTACAGTAAAATTGGCCCTGCTCTGAAAGCCGTTGGACTCAGTCTAGATGTGTCTCGGCGAGATTGGCCTCTTCATGTCATGAAGGCAGTTCTCGAGGAGCTGATGGAGGCCACGCCCCCGAACCTGCTGGCTAAGGAGCTCTGGTCGTCGTGCACCACGCCTGACGAGTGGTGGCGAGTCACACAGGTATGCGCGAGGGGCTGGGGCTGGGCTATTCCCTGCCTGCTCATTTGTCTCTCTTGCTTGTCACTTTTCTTCTCTCCCTGTCTACTCACAATCTTCAGGTGTTTGGTTCTTACACTGATTTTTATAAGGCAGTGTAGGAGGAATTCTAGATGGAATAGAAAAAGAGACTAAAAGCTTTGGCTAGAGAAAACCTGGGGAAGCTCGGGCATAGGCTTCCAGGTTCTGTTTGTTCAAGGGCTTCCCCTGGTGGTACTGGGCACTGACTCCCGGCCCTGACCTTGGGGATCGCGCAAGCTGGTTCCCAAGGGTCCATGCAGTGCTGGGGATTGTGCATGTAGCACCTGAGCTCAGCCCAGTGAGCTGTCTCTCTTATAAGTCTAGTATTCTGCCCGTCACGAAGCAGCCCAAAGAGGACCGTCGTGTTTGTGTGGCTGTTCAGTGCAGAAACTGTGGCCTTGAGTGGGGCTGGGGTGAGATACTCACTTTCTCTGTGGTTGATGTGGCCCTGCCACTGCATGGTCCCCAAGCACCGCTTGGAGCCCCAGAGCACCATTAGGTGCAGCCCAAGCACACCTATCACTGCCGTCCTCAGTTAGAGTGAAAAGGATCACACATGTTGCCGCAGGTTCCTTTAGAGGACAGTTTGCTAACTGCAGTTAATTTGTGTGTTCCCTTACCCTCCTTCAGTCTTACGCCAGATCAACTGCAGTCATGTCTATGGTTGGGTATATAATTGGCCTTGGCGACAGACATCTGGACAATGTTCTCATAGATATGACAACTGGAGAGGTCGTGCACATCGATTACAATGTTTGCTTTGAAAAAGGTAAAGTCAAAGTGGACTTTACAGTGGCGGGTGTAGGGGCCATGAGGCGGGATGGCCACATGCGATTTGATGAAAGGCCAAAATCATATTGCTCTGTCTTTTCAAGGTAAAAGCCTGAGAGTTCCCGAGAAAGTACCTTTTCGAATGACACAGAACATCGAAACAGCGCTGGGTGTGACCGGGGTCGAAGGCGTTTTTCGACTTTCGTGTGAGCAGGTATGCTATTTCCCTGCACCTCTTGTGGACCTATTAGGGTTACAAGCCTGGTGGATAGAAAACCAGCACTTTAGTAAGAAAATTGGTAGCAAATAAAAATTTCTTTAAAGCTTTAGCAAAAGTTCCCACTCTTCTGAAAACAGGTTCTGCACATCATGCGGCGTGGCCGAGAGACCTTGCTGACGCTGCTGGAGGCCTTTGTGTATGACCCTCTGGTGGATTGGACAGCTGGGGGTGAGGCTGGCTTCGCTGGTGCTGTCTACGGGGGCGGTGGCCAGCAGGCCGAGAGCAAGCAGAGCAAGAGAGAGATGGAACGGGAGATCACCCGCAGCCTCTTCTCTTCCAGAGTAGCAGAGATCAAGGTGAGCACAACACACCATGACCTTGGAATCACTGTTTGCAAGAGTGGGTGGGGCTACGAAAATGCTCTGTAGAGCTGCTTTCCTAAGAATTTGCTGTTAAACTCAGTCGTCAGGATGACAGTGAAAGGGTTGGGAAGAGAATACAGAGATGCGCGCCCGTGGACCCCCAGCACTGATGTGGCTTCCTGAGCATCCCTGGGTGCTGCCAGAATGTTCGTTCCTAGTGGTTCCTGAGCTTACTGGTCTCGATTGCATCTGCCGGTCTTGTGTTGGATGCCTGACTTGACTGTTGGGAGTGGCCTGTGATTTCCCTAGCTCTGCTTTCATACTATCAGGGTAGCCAATGATCCAAGAAATTCATACTTGAAGTAGATTGAAATTTGTGTATAATTGACTTGCGTTGTGATTTTAACATCCCAGTCACCTGTGGTGCTGATGTGGCTGGATGGCCTGGGAGTTTCTCAGTTTATGGCTCTGAGCTTGAGTGCCTTAGTTTCCCCTGTGACTTGTGGGCGATGCAGGGTTCTGTTAAGATTCGAATAACTTTGAATAATGTCCTTACACAGTTCTTCTGACAGGTACCCTTATAGCTGACAGCTGGGCCTATCCGAATATTCCTGTGCCTCTTGTTATAGGTGAACTGGTTTAAGAACAGAGATGAGATGCTGGTTGTGCTCCCCAAGCTGGACAGCAGCTTAGACGAATACCTGAGCTTACAGGAGCAGCTCACTGAGGTGGAAAAACTGCAGGGCAAGCTGCTGGAAGAAATTGAGTTTCTCGAGGGAGCTGAAGGAGTGGATCATCCTTCTCATACTCTGCAGCACAGGTTTGGGACAGTATGGGCGCGTCTCTCTAGAGGTGACAGGGATGCAGTGCTCTTCTCCAGAGTCGACGTGGTGGCAGTGGCACTCCTCTCTAGATAGATGGCATGTAGCAGAATTTTTGTATTTATGTCAGTGGTGTCCCTTGGGACTCTTGCAGCCATGCACATAGCCTGAACCTCTCGAGAAGACTGTGGCTTCAAAATACTGTTCAGAAGAGCTTGGCTGGCTCTGACTTAGGCTAGTGCACTTGCCTTGCTTGTGTGAGATCACATGTATAGTTATTGTCAACACGTGTTCCCTTAAGACACACTGGGTATGACCTCAAAATACAAAAGAGAAAACTTAAAAAAATTTTAGTTAATTATATATAATTTAAATGTTTGAGTTAGTACCTAAAGTAGATAAAGAGAACATAGTAGAGTACTGAACTTGGAATCAGAAAATCTGGCTTTTGCCTTACTCTATACTTTGTATCTAAACACTTAGTGATACAGTGGCCATTGTTTAATCTACTTTTCTTTGTGGAGTGGGGGCATTGGGGCACTCCCATTGATGCTTAGGGATTACTCCTGGCTAAGTGCTCAGGGATCACTCTTAGCCGTGTTCAGGAGACCATATGAGGTCCCGGGGACCTAACAGGGTTGACCACGTGGAAGGCAAACATCTTATACTGTGTTTTGATCCTATTTCATCTACTTTTAATGAGGGTTTAAAGCATTTCATTAAATACAAGGGTTTTGTAATGTAAATAGGACCTTGGGCCAGAATGATAGTGTAGTGAGTGACCCTTGCCTTGTACCGGTTGACTAGGTTCAATTCCTGGTACCCAATATGGTCCCCAACCCCCACCAGGAGTGATCCTTGAGCGCAATGCCGGGAGTAACCCCATGAGCATAGCATCGCCAGGTGTGGCCCAAAAAGCGTCGTTCCTCTCCACCAATGAATTAAATGACCTTTCATTGAGTATATGCTCAATAAAAATAGGTTGAACATGTAAGTGCCAAGAAGATGCTGCTTGACGTTATGAAAATATAATCAGCCAGCAGGCACCAAACTTTTACTTTCATATTATTTAAAACCTTGGCAGATAGGGTAGAGTTTTGTTTAGGTGATTATGTTTATAAGGACTGGCCATGTTACTCAATTCTAGAGCATGTGGGAGGCGCTGGGTTTGATTCCTAAAAAATTCTTGGTATCAGTAAACAAAATCTTGAGTGTAGTTAAGTAATCGTGCCCTCATAATTGACAGGTGCTCAGCAGGGAGTCCCAGTCATGAGTAAAATCGGGAATATGAAGAAACATTAATTTAGAATGTCTCCACTTGCCCTTGTCCCTCCCCTTACCTAGGTATTCCGAGCACACACAGCTGCAGACCCAGCAGAGGGCTGTTCAGGAAGCCATCCAGGTGAAGCTGAATGAGTTCGAGCAGTGGATCACTCATTACCAGGCTGCGTTCAATAACTTAGAAGCCACACAACTGGCAAGTCTGCTCCAGGAGATCAGCACACAGATGGACCTTGGTGAGCTCTGGCTGGCTTTGAACACGTGTGCGTTTCGTGGCTGGGGATTTGCGAGTGCGGGGTTCCACGCGGGGCTCCTTTCCTAGGACTGCTGGTCTGAAATGGCCTCCTGGTCTCTGATTGTTTGGGGGTTTCATTTTTCATTTGTTTTGTTTGCCAAAAGGTCCTCCAAGCTATGTCCCAGCAACAGTGTTTCTGCAAAATGCGGGCCAGGCCAATTTGATCAGCCAGTGCGAGCAACTCGAGGGGGAGGTTGGCACTTTTCTGCAACAGCGGCGCTCCGTGCTCCGGGGCTGCCTGGAGCAGCTGCACCACTACGCAACCGTCGCCCTGCAGTACCCCAAGGCCATATTCCAGAAGCACCGCATCGAACAGTGGAAGGCCTGGATGGAAGAGCTCATCTGTAACACCACGGTGGAGCGCTGTCAGGAACTGTACAGGAAGTAAGGCCACAGCGTTCAATATCCTTTATCGTGGGGTTTGGCAGCGAACTGGTCTACGACTCTATAATAGTGATTTTTATTGAGGATTTTGGGCCACACCTGATGGTGTTTGGTGCTAGTCCTAGTTCTGCACTCAGAAATCACTCCTGGTGGCCTTTGAAGGACCTTGAAGGGTGTCAGCAGCATGCAAAGCAAGTACACTGCCCACGAACCTGTCTCTCTGGTTTCTGTGTATTTTTTTCTTCTGCCTACTTGGTTGGTAGATGGAATTTGAATAGAGGCACTTTGTCTTAAATATTTAAGAAGAGAGGGTATCGTGTTTTGTTGTAAGACAGTATATTGGAGGGCTGGGGTGATGAGAGAATTGGGCACTTGGCCTGTACATGGATGACCTGGGCTCGATCCTCTAGCATCGTATATGGTCCCCTGAGCACAGAGCCAGGAGTAACTCCTTTGGATTGCTGGGTGTATCCCAAAAGGCCATACATACAAATAAATGGGTCTATAGGAAAACCCTTATCTTTAAAAAAAAAAGTTTATAGGTAAATTGACTCCTCGTGGTTTTACTGTAAATGATTCTCTTTTCTTCAGATTTGTGTGAGAAGTTTGTATGAAGACGTGACTTCATGTCATGGCAGGGAGTGTTAGTAACCCATGTCTTGTGCTTCTCCAGGTATGAAATGCAGTACACTCCGCAGCCCCCGCCTACGGTGTGTCAGTTCATCACGGCCACAGAGATGACCCTGCAGCGGTACGCGGCTGACATCAATAGCAGGCTGATCCGCCAGGTGGAGCGCCTGAAGCAGGAGGCCGTCACTGTGCCCGTTTGTGAGGATCAACTCCAAGAAATTGAACGCTGCATCAATGTCTTCCTTCATGAGAATGGAGAAGAAGGGTCTTTGAGTCTTGCAAGTGTTATTATTTCTGCCCTTTGTACCCTGACAAGGTGAGTGACTGTCTCAGAACATCGAGACCATTTTCTTTTCTTGAAAACAGCGATGTGTATTGAGATTTCTTTCGTTGACTCTCAAACTGAAGGAAGGCATCTTTTACTTGCACTGGTTTTGCCCAGCATTACGGCTGCTCTGTTGCTGTTGAGATTTTGAGGTGTCCCCTTCTGTGTGCGAGTTGAGCTAAGTCAGTTCCATTGTGCAATTCTCCATCACGTCTAGGCGGAACCTGATGATGGAAGGCGCAGCTTCGAGTGCTGGGGAGCAGCTGGTGGACCTCACTTCCCGGGACGGGGCGTGGTTCCTGGAGGAGCTCTGCAGTATGAGCGGCAACGTCACCTGCCTGGTCCAGCTGCTGAAGCAGTGCCACCTGGTACCGCAGGACCTGGACATCCCCAACCCCATGGAGGCCTCTGAGGCAGTTCATTTAGCCAACGGAGTCTATACCTCACTTCAGGTGAGCACTGTCAGGTGACCTGAGCGTCTTCTAAGTTCGGTTTTCATTATTTCTTCTCTTTAGAAAAAGCAGTTTGACTCCTCTCCCTCTGAGGGTTGCAGCTGTGACTTGGTTGGGGCTGCAGAGTTCTGGATCCATGGTGTTCGATCTCTCAGTGTGAAACTTAATCTAAACTCCAGGAGCATTCAAACATTTTTCTCGCTAATTACAGGAACTAAATTCAAATTTCCGGCAAATCATATTCCCAGAGGCCCTTAGATGTTTAATGAAAGGGGAATACACTCTGGAAAGTATGCTCCAGGAGCTGGACAGTCTGATTGAGCAGACGACTGACGGCGTCCCCCTGCAGACTCTAGTTGACTCTCTGCAAGCCTACTTAAGAAATGCAGCTATGGGACTTGAGGAAGAAACACATGCTCATTATATCGATGTTGCCAGGCAAGTAAATGTTAGCTGTGCTGTCTTTCCTTGGGACAGAGAGAGGGAAGCCAAGTAAAAATATCCCGAGCTCTCGTCTTGTTTTTTCACTTCTATTTTGGAGGGGAAGGATGGAGGGGAGGAAACCTAGGGATTCCAAGAGTCTTGTGCTCTACCACGGAGCTTTATCCCTATCCCCAGTTGTAATTATTTACAAATGCTCATGCATACGCCTTTTAAAAACATCTTTACTTTGATGAGGCTCAGAAGCTAGTATGACTTGATCACAAGCAAGTAATTAGAATCCATTAGCTTTCGAGCTGTACTCATTTGAACTTATACTATACTTATAACGGGTACGTTTCAACTTACGTTTTTAGTCCATTAGGCACAGTTTCAGATAAATAAATTTTAAAATATGAACGCTGAAAGAAAAAATTGTTTCTTGCTGCTTCTTACACATTCAGGGCTTGTATTATTTCTGTGTAAAGTCTGACTATTCACATAGTTTTTTTGAAACTGTCATAGTGTGAGCTTACATACATGAGCAGTTGCTGATGCTGACTTCTGAACACTGATATTCTGTCGTGATTAGCATTACTTACCATTTCTTTATGAGATTCTTTTCACGTAAAAGACATTCTAGTGTTTGTATCTAGCTGTGATGTGAGATTTGGTGTGACTTTTATTTCCCACATTTCTTAATCTTGTTGAGGATTAACTCCCCTTTCTTTCTTCTAGAATACTTCATGCTCAGTATGGTGAATTAATCCAGCCAAGAAATGGCTCAGTTGATGAAACACCAAAAATGTCCGCTGGCCAAATGCTTTTGGTAGCATTTGATGGCATGTTTGCCCAAGTTGAAACTGCTTTTGGCTTACTAGTTGAAAAGGTAAATATTGACTTGGTTTGATGAATAATGAAGTTTTGGAACGTGACTGTTTTGTGTGTCAGGATTGAGAGTTGTACTTTGTTTTCCTTTGTTTACCTAGTTAAACAAGATGGAAATTCCTATAGCATGGCGCAAGATTGACATCATAAGGGAAGCCAGGAGTACCCAAGTCAATTTTTTCGATGATGATAACCACCGGCAGGTGCTAGAGGAGATTTTCTTTTTAAAAAGACTGCAAACAATTAAGGAGTTCTTCAGGCTTTGCGGAACCTTTTCTAAAACATTGTCAGGTAATATTCCAAATGACAAATTATCGGTTCAGTCAGTTCAGTTCTGTTGTACTTTGGAAAGGGTCAGGATGGAGTAGATTTAATCATCTGTTCCTAAGGTCACAAGTATTACAAATAAGTGGAATTATTGCTTTATGACATGAAATATTTTAAGAAAACGTTGTTATTTTAGGATCAAGTTCACTGGAAGATCAGAATACCGTGAATGGACCTGTCCAGATGGTCAATGTGAAGACCCTTTTCAGGAACTCTTGTTTCAGCGAAGACCAAATGGCCAAGCCCATCAAGGCGTTCACAGCTGACTTTGTGAGGCAGCTTTTGATTGGACTGCCAAACCAGGCCCTCGGACTCACACTTTGCAGTTTTATCAGTGCCCTGGGTGTAGACATCATCGCTCAAGTAGAGGCAAAGGACTTTGGCGCTGAGAGCAAAGTGTCTGTTGATGATCTATGCAAGAAAGCCGTAGAGCACAACATCCAGGTGGGAAAGTTCTCCCAGCTGGTCATGAACAGGGCAACAGTGTTAGCTAGCTCCTACGACACAGCCTGGAAGAAGCACGACTTGGTGCGCAGACTGGAAACCAGTATCTCCTCCTGTAAGACCAGTCTGCAGCGTGTCCAGTTGCATATTGCCATGTTCCAAGTAAGTATCGATGCTGCTCGCAGCCGAACCCAGGGCCTCAGTGTGTGAGCCATGTACTCTGCACCCAAGAGGCAGTCTTGGCTCTGGTGTTTCTCAACTGCTGTGAGTTTCCCCTTGGTGTAGGAGTTTGGAAAAATGCAGTGAATTACTGTGAAACACTATAAAGAAAAATTTTAACTTTCTGAATTGTGTCTGCCCAGGCAAATCACCCTTAAAATGTACGTTCTTGTTTTTATGTATTTGAGATTAGTTGTTTTTTATACTTTGGTCCTTTTGATTTTTGATTTTGTTTTTTTGTATGGGTATTGCTTTTGAGTATAATTTCTAATGGTTGAGTTTTTTCCACCCCCAGTATATGAATGTGCTTCCTGTATTGTTTATTGTTTAGATTATTTCTTGGGGGGTGTGTGTGTGTGTGTGTGTGTGTGTGTGTGTGTGTGTGTGTGTGTGTGTTTTGTTTTATTTTGGTTTGGTTTTTTTTTTTTTTGCTTTTTTGGATCACACCCAGCAATGCGCAGGGGTTACTCCTGGCTCTGAACTCAGGAATCACTCCTGGCGGTGTTCAGGGGACCATATGGGATCCTGGGAATCGAACCTGGGTCAGGCGCCTGCAAGGCAAACACCCTACCCGCTGTGCTGTCGCTCCAGTCCTGTTTATATTGTTTCTAAAACTATTTATTTTTTGATGCTCTAATGATGTTAGGAAGTTTTGTGCGTAAATCTGTCTTCATTCAGGAATCGCTTTTAAAGCCTATTTTTAGCAAATGATTTGTTAGAGCAGAGCAGTGAGGCATCAGAGGCTTTGTGAATGAAATGGATTTGGATCCCAATGAGATGTATGTAAACTTGAGTTTAATGCCCCCCCCCCCCCTCCAGGTATATGTTCCTTGTCTGTAGAATGGATACAGTATCCCTCAAGGATTGGTGACCATGTGGATTTAAGTGACTATATACAATTAAATAGCTTTTGTACATTTCCTTTTCAAATGATTTCAGTATCTTCAGCCAGCTTGTAACCAGTGGAGTAATATACTGTGTTTTCCTCGGATCTGTTTAGAGCCACCCTATTTTCTTCTCCCTGTAGTCTAACCCTTAGCTTTTCATTTTTCATTTTCTTTCTTTCTTTTTTTTTAGAGGGAGTCTTGGGTCTTAAGTGTACTCAACTCTGAACTCCGAGCTTCTTCCTGGCTATGCTCAGGGCTCATGTGGGGCTAGGGCTGGACCCTGGGCCTCTGACATGTAAAGCATGTGCTCAGCTCCTTGAGCTACCTTGCTGGTCCCATTAATTTTGTCTGTTTATAAATAATTCATGTAATCTTGGGTTGTTTCTGTTTGGGGGCCACTGGGTGCTAGCACAATGCTCAAGGGACTATCCCAGTGATGCTTGGACGAATCACCTGGTGCCAGAATTTGAATCCAGGACTGCAAAACATGTGCATTAACCCTTTGCACTATCATCATGGCCCTTTTTTGCAATTCCTGAAAAAAAATGTTTCATTCTAAAAAGAAATGTAAAAATGTTAATTAAATTTTATGTGTTTGGGAGTTTATTTCTTTAAAACTTTCACGACTGTGTGGAAAACATTTAAAAAATCCTTTGAGTTTTATTCATCTGAACACTTTGTAAACGTTAAGCACTATGCATATCTTTTCCATTGTAATCTGTGGTCACTTGTGTCCTCTGGGGTGACCTTAGAGCATACCAGATGGCTCGGTCATCTGTCCCCTGTTGTCTTTCTCTGTCACTTCTGTCCAGATGGTTCCCCCAGAGACACTGCAGTGCTGCTCACAGACACTCGTGTGGCCTCCATGTGGGCAGTTCTGTGTACCCTCCCCTCCCCCTGCAAGCAGCATGCTCTGCGGTGCCCCAACTGAGCCTTGTCTTTGCAGAGGGGCGGGGCGGGGGGGGGTTGTGTACTAGATGTTTTTGTATGTTAGGACACAGGTTTAGATTATTTTTGTTCTGTTGTTGGTTTTGTTTTGGGGCCACACCTGGTGCCGCTCAGGGCTTCCTCCTGGCTCTGCACTCAGGGATCACTCCTGGTGGGTTCTGGGGACATCCAGGATGCAGGGGCTTGGACCTGGCTTGGCGTGTGCAAGGCAAGCAACCTACCGGCTGTGCTGTGCCTCCAGCCCCAAGAACTGTCATTATGGATCTGAGAATCCGCTTGCCATTATGTACCTCAGAACGTCTTTCACCTGCTTGTGACTGCAGGAGATGTTCCTTCACTGCTCTCTGCCGCCTACTCCCCTGGGCTGTACCTGGGTGTTGTTTTTTTCCTTCCCTGCGTGTGACTCATACCTCTACATACCCGTTGCTCTAAAGGATGTATTCTGTGGTCTGATCACATCTTTCTGTCCCTGTCCAGTGGCAGCATGAAGATCTCCTCATCAATCGACCACAAACCATGTCTGTCACACCCCCACCTCGGTCGGCCATCCTGACCAGCATGAAGAAGAAGCTCCACACTCTGGGCCAGATCGAGGCTTCCATCACCACCGTGCAGGTGTGTGGGGCCGGCCTCTGCTCCCGGGCGCCACTGCTTTGTGCCACGGGGCCAGAGTCTCCCCTTCCCCATGGAAAACTTTCAACTAACAGCTTTGCATTCCTCCTCTCCTCTTCCTCCCACTGGTGGTCAGTGCGTGTTATTGTTGGGTGGTGGAGGGGAATACCAATAAAGTTGAAACTTCTTTCTGCAAACTTTAAGGCTAATCTTGCCTCTCCATACCAGTGTACACCTCAGATATTCAAAGTGAAATCAATGTTCATTTCAAGAGTTAGTGTTAGGCATGTTTTCGGAATTCTGTTTGCCCTGTCCTGCGTGCTTGTTTTGACTGCCAAGTACCCTGTAAAATGCTGAACAGACAGGAAATTTGTCCTGATTCTCTGAAATTCTGCTGACTTCCATAGGAGAAGCTAGCAGCTCTTGAAGCAAGTATTGAACAGCGACTCAAGTGGGCAGGTGGTGCCAACCCTGCACTGGCACCTGTGCTACAAGATTTCGAAGCAACAATAGCCGACAGACGAAATCTGGTTCTTAAGGAGAGCCAAAGAGCAAGTCAGGTACTGTGTGCTGTCTTTGGTGTTGGTCTGGGGGCCCAGAGGTAGTTGGGCTGCTCTAGGCTCTGCTTGGTGGCCACCCAGTGTCAGAGATTGGACTTCCCGTTCCAGCTGGCCAGGCGAGCACCCAGCTCATTGTGCTGTTGCCCCTGCCCCATCTCCATCTGTGTTTTCAGTTGCAGGGTTATATAACTGCATGGAAGTTACGGGGGGCAGGAGTGGGGGATCTGGGAGCAGGGGTCAGGAGCCACCCTTTAGCTCCCTGAACTGGAAAGAAGGATCAGCTGACCTCAGGAGACATTCCTCTGGCTAAATCCACAGTTCCCTGCCTAGAGCATTATGCTTCCCAATCAAACACAAAAATCGGCACAAATTCAATCTCTGGAGTTTAACTCCATATTGCTCTAAGAGTCTCTATATACAGCAAGCTGATCCAGAGATTTGATATTAATTTTTTCCACATAGCAGTAAAATGTCTAAGTGACTTTGTGGTCTACCAGGGGTTTTGTATTGAAATATTGTTATGGGGGGGGGTAATAGGAAAAATAAAACCATGGTCACGGTCCTCCTGTTATTCATCAGTTTGCTCAAGCAGGCCCAGTAACATCTCCATTGTGAGACTTGTTACTGTATTTGGCATATCGAATACGTCATGGTAGCTTGCCAGGCTTTGCCGTGAGGGCGTGATACTCTCAGTAGCTTGCCGGGCTCTCCGAGAGGGGCGGGGGAATCAAACCCTCTTGGCCGGGCTGGCTAGGCGCAAGGCAAACGCCCTACCGCTGTGCCATGTAAATTTTCAGTTAAGTGCATAATTGGACCATTAGGATGATCCTCATACCCATTATATCTATTGATTACCAAAATTAGCCATTATTAAACTTCCATTGTCTTGTTCTTTCCATATTGACTGCATCACATAATTTCGTCTGTAAATATTTCAGTATGTATCTAAGAAAGAGCTAGTTAAGTACACAATCATGGTATTAGTAACACTCTCAGTTATTTGTTCTGTGATTGGGAGGGCATGAGGAGGAACATCATATGGTGCTCAGTGGCTGTTTTTAGCTTTGCATTTATGGATCACTCCTGGCGGTGCTCAGGGAGCCTGATAGGGTGTCAGGGACTGAATTGGGGTGGACATGCGCAAGTGAGGCTCCTTAACCACTGCATTGTGTCTCTGGTCTTGTTTTGTGATCTTTATACTTAGAGTTGGAGCAGAAGGAGAATAATTCAGTAACAATTTAAATAGTGAAAGTTGGGCATAGCATAAATTGCAGCAGAATATGACATAGTTCTGTTATGGAGTAAATTTTGTACAGACCAGTCACCTAGTATATATTTTGCCTGATTGTCTCAGGTGCCTCTCGCATACCCTTATGCATCTTCAGGACCAATTTTGGTGTTAAAGCCTAGAAATAAATAGCTGGTATTTTTCTCATGTTATTAATTGCAGCATCTTCATTGCCGTTATTTCCTTTTTCCTTTTGCTTCTTCACAGGTCACTTTCCTCTGCAGCAATATCATTCATTTTGAAAGTTTACGAACTAGAACTGCAGAAGCCTTAAACCTGGATGCTGCATTATTTGAACTGATCAAACGGTGTCAGCAAATGTGTTCATTTGCATCACAGTTTAACAGTTCCGTCTCTGATTTAGAGCTTCGTTTGTTACAGAGAGTGGTGAGTCATGAGTCTTGGTGGGAGTAGACACTTGATACAAGACAGGAAGGTCAGTAGTATACCCCCAGGTTTATGTCATAGAATCACTTAATTTGCATTCATTGAGCTTGTACTAGCTATACAAGTTTGCTCTGCTAGATACTGTGATGCCTGCCTCTTGTTCTCAGTCAAAAAGAACTCATTATTGACACAAACAGCACAATGATTGAAAAACTCAAAAAAGGATTCTGGAAACGCCCCCCGCAGGGTGTGAGGGTATGGAGGGGAGGGGAATGATTTCCTGGAAGATGACTTAGGCGGCACTGGAAATAGGCCAGAGAGCAGGGTGGTGGGAGTGAGGTTCTGACCGGGTAAGAGAAAGGGCTGAAATAGCAGTCAGCTAAATTGGCATTCATGGTTTATAGGAAGGTGTTAGGCTGTGTACTATTAAGTTTGGGTTTTTTAAATAATTGATGAATCTTGTTGGGGGGGGGGGTGCTCTTCTGTGGCGCTGGAACCAACAGGGCTCTGCCTGGCAGGGTTGGAGGGACCATATGGTGCCGGGGAGCAAACCTTGGCCCTGCAGATGCCAGGCATGGACTCCGTCCCTTTGAACTACTGTCCAGGTCTCTCTGATTGCTTTATTTATTGGGCCACACCTGGTGGTTCTCAGGACCCCTCCTGGCTCTGTGCTCATGGATTACTCCTGGTGGGGCTCAGGGGGACCTATGGGATGCTAGGCTTGAACCCAGGTCAGCCGCATGCAAGACAAGTGCCCTACCTGCTCTGCTGTCACTCTCGCCCCTCTGATTTTGTTTTATAGAGAGATTTATGGATGAGGGTGTAGTTAGGCAGCAGAGCACTTACCTTGCATGTGTAAGTTCTTGAGTTTGACCTCTGACACCACAGGGAAAAGTAAAAAATGATTGAGCATAGGTTTAGGATTCTGCTCGTGGATGATGTTTGTTACCCCTCTTCTGTAGTGCGTGTCTTAAACTTTCAGTTCCCTATTCCCTCTATGGTTTTTCAGAAAAAAGTGACCAGAGCAATAGTATAGTGGGGAGGGCACTTGCCTTGCATGCAGCTGATTTGGGTTCTGTCCCTGGCACCACATACGGTTCCCTGAGTCTTGCCAGGGATCATCCTTGAGTGCAGAGCCAGGAGTGTGACCCCAGAACAAAATCAAAATATAAATATAAATACATATATGCACACACACACATATATATGCACACACATATATATAAATATATGTATATATATTTATAAATATATATGTATATATGTATATATATATTTATAAATATATATGTATATATATATATTTCAGCCTTTATCCCTTGAAACCATGTCCTCAGTATTCAAAGATAGAGCATATTCTTTGTACACAGAAACTTGGTTCAGTTCCCAGCACCTACATAGTCACCTGAGCATCAAGCCAGGAGTAGCTTCCAGGTACTTCTGGGTGTGGCCCCAGAACAAGCAAAAAACATCAGTATATATTTCATAGATAGTTTAAATTGTTTTCATGTATTATTCTTGTTTGCTTATATTTCGGGGTCACATCTGGCTGACTATCCTCAGGGTTTACTCCTGGCTCTGCACTGTTTGGTTTTTTGTTTGTTTGTTTTGTTTGTTCGTTTGTTTTTGCTTTTTGGGTCACACCCGGCGATACTCAGGGGTTACTCCTGGCTTTGCACTCAGGAATTACTCGTGGCAGTACTCGGGGGACCATTTGAGATGCCAGGTCGGCCGCATGCAAGGCAAATGCCCTACCCACTGTGCTATCGCTCTGGCCCTGGCTCTGCACTCTGGAATTACTCCTGTTACTCCTGGTGGTGCTTGCGAGACTGTATGGGATGCTGAGTGCAAGGCAAACACACTACCTGCTGGACTATCTCTCCATCCCCTTGAGTGCTATTTTATAGGTAGCCAGTACAGTTCTCAACAACTAGATTACTCTTTGTCAGAGTTACAAGTATCTTTTTTTTTTTTTTGCTTTTTGGGTCACACCAAGTGATGCACAGGGGTTACTCCTGGCTCTGCACTCAGGAATTTCAGGAATTACTCCTGGCGATGCTCGGGGGACCATATGGGATGCTGGGAATCGAACCCGGGTTGGCCACATGCAAGGCAAACACCCTACTCGCTGTGCTGTCGCTCCAGCCCCCACAAGTATCTTTTTAAGATGAAGAAAATCTTAAAATGTTTGTTCCATATAACCAAATAAGTGTTTGTTCTATTTAGGATACTAATCTTGAACACCCAATTGGCAGTTCAGAATGGCTTTTGTCGGCACACAAACAGTTGACCCAGGATATGTCTACTCAGAGGACAGTTCAGACAGAGAAAGAGCAGCAGATCGAGATGGTCTGTGAAACAATCCAGAATCTGGTGGACAGTATCAAGGCTGTTCTCACGGGCCATAACCGGCAGCTCGGTGATGTCAAACATCTCCTAAAAGCCATGGCTAAGGTAGGGCCAGTGCTAACCCCTGATTCCTTTCTCCACTTTCATAAAAGTACAAGTAGCTTCATGTATGGGAAAGGGATGTTTTGTAAACAAAATGATTTCGGGTTACCTTTTTCAGTATCTTTGTAATTGGTTTGTGTTTCATCAGCTTGGGGTAGTAGTATTCTTATTTGTACACAGAAAACCTGAGGCTTAAAGAAATTAATTCACTCAAAGTTTTATAACTTGTACATACAGAGTTGAGACTTGAAAATAGACTCAGAGTTTTTAAACCTCCAGTCTCTCTTCTGTTAGACTTTTCTCTACCCTTCCTTACAAAGTCTTATAAGTTATCTAAAAAGTGAATGAAATCATTGTCTCTTTCTTCCAGGTCCTGCATAATCTCGTTGATAAACTGAGATCTCAGAAAAGGCTAACTTTGTCATTGCAGAATAGTAACATCTAGTTTTCGGGCTTATTTGTTTGTGGAGTTTTTATTGTGTGTTGAACGTAAGATTCCTATAGACAAGGAATTAAACTGAAAATAGCGAATCAAACATAGGACTGTTGGAAGACCATTTATGTTTTTATTTCAAGAAGTGACTGTCTCAAGTTTCATTATTGAATCTACAAATGATTTTTATTCTTGAATATATTGATTCTAGGATGAAGAAGCTGCTCTGGCAGATGGCGAAGATGTTCCCTATGAGAACAGTGTTAGGCAGTTCTTGGGTGAATATAAATCATGGCAGGACAACATTCAGACGGTGCTGTTTACATTGGTCCAAGCGATGGGTCAGGTTCGAAGTCAGGAGCATGTTGAAATGCTCCAGGAAATAACTCCCACCTTGAAAGAATTGAAAACACAAAGCCAGAGGTAAGAATGCCTTCTGGAAAAGTCAAACATTTCGCGGAACAAATTTTATTTAGTTTATAAGTACTTCGTTAAGCATTTATAAATAAGCTACTTTGTTTTGTGTTTCAGTATCTATAATAATTTAGTGAGTTTTGCATCACCCTTAGTCACCGATGCAACAAATGAATGTTCGAGTCCCACGTCATCTACTACCTATCAGCCATCCTTTGCTGCAGGTAAGAATTCCCTACTTCAGAATCTTCGTCTCTTAATTTGCACAGAAAGTTCAGATATTATCTCATAAATGTCTAATATGCTTCTACACCACTGTATTAAAGTGATACACACTAAGCTCTGTCACATCTCAAATGGTTTAACTTTAAAATACTTTCTTTTGGGGGCGGGGGGGGGCATACCTGGCTGTGCTCGGTGCTTACTCCAGGCTTTGCTCAGGGATCACTCCCTGAGACCATATGGGGTGCCGAGAACCTGACCAGGTTGGCCACATGACATGCAAGACAAACGTGCCCTACCTGCTTCGTCCCTGAACTTGAAAATACTTTTGAGAGGATTGCAGAGATAGCTCAAGGGTTGAAACATAAATTGCAGAGGTCTACTGGCCACTGTACCCCTTCCCCGGCACCACTGGATGTGGTCACCTGGGCTCTGGTTGGTAGATCTATCTGATCCTGGCCCGCCAAAAAGGAATTTTGTGAGACAGTAGAAATTCTTTGTGTTCAAGTACTCTTTAAAGGCCTACGTTGTGATTATAAAGTGTATGCCTACTAGATAAACTTAGAAAATAATAGAAGTATGTGCCGTGCTGCTGTGAATTTGTTGTTGATTCTGTGTACATGCAGACAGCTGACACTGAGCTCAAGAGCTTGTGAAATGCTTCTGTTGTCTTACCCCATTTTATGTAATGGAACGTCAGATTTCAAAAAAAATTATTTACCAAATATAGGGACATTTTATGACTTTTAACTGTATTGATCTTCTACTGTTGGACAGTTAGGATTTATAGAAGTATAATGTCACAATACAATGTCCTCATTGCCTAGACTTCTGTTTGTAGCGATGAAGACTTGGAGGTTGTAAAATGCAGTCCATTTTCAAGATTGTAAGTTTGTAGTCAGTGGGTTGAGAGCACCACTCTGCCCTTCCCTCTGGGTCGCCGTCCTAGTTTTGCTTTTCTTATTAACTGAGCTGCCAACTCTTCCTCCAGCTGTCCGAAGCAACACTGGCCAGAAAACTCAGCCAGACGTCATGTCACAGAATGCACGAAAGCTGATTCAGAAGAATCTCGCTACATCTGCTGATACTCCACCAAGCATCGTTCCAGGGACTGGCAAGAGTGTTGCCTGTAGCCCCAAAAAGGCTGTCAGGGACCCTAAAACTGGGAAAGGTAATAATCAGTTTGAACAAGGGTCCCTTGAAAATTTTAGCACATTTAAGCTTGACTTAAATATTTGTTTCCTTTGCTTCATAGCTGTGCAAGAAAGAAACTCCTATGCGGTCAGTGTGTGGAAGAGAGTGAAAGCCAAGTTGGAGGGCCGGGATGTTGATCCTAACAGGAGGATGTCAGTTGCTGAACAGGTGATGAATTTTTTTAAAACTTGAATTACACATTGAAATGCTCCCAACATGGTGTGGCTTTAGAGCTGGAGAGGTAGTACCGTGGGTGGGATGACTGCTTGGCATGTGTCTGGCCTGGAGTCGATCTCTGGCACTGTGTGTCCCCCTCACTAGGAGTGTCCTTGAGCAAACAAAACAAAAACAAAAAAATCGACTGCCCGAAAGTCTCAAGTGAAGGTGACATTTGATGAGGAATAGTATTTAATAAAAGTGCATATCAATCTGCCAGAAATATCACTCTGAATTTCTCTCTTTAATATATCTAGATGGGGGGAGGGATTTTCTCTTCCCACTCCTAGATGTTTGTTTAGAACTTTTTCAGCCTGCAGAAGAGTTGTGTTAATGCTTATATGCTCTGACCTAGCCTTGGTCAATCATTTATTTATGTTTTCCTCTAGAATTTCCTCTTCCTGTGTGGTGGTGTGCTCACGCTTGCTGCTGAGCAACTGCCTCACTCCTGCACAGTCTTGTTGGTCTCTAAGTGTCATCCTGGCTGTTTATCCCCCAAACAAGATCTAGTCAGGATGTAGCCTGCATTTTACTTATCGTCTTATTTTAGACTCTTGGTATTCAGACCAGCTCCCGGTTTTTTATTATGTGTTGATTATGTTGACATTTTTCCTTTTTTTTTTTTTTAAGTATGCTCAGATTGTGTTTGCAGAATGGGCTCCAGTTTCTATTTGTCTGATGTTTTGTTACTAGAGTCAACTTTTGGGGCAGGACTACTTTTTTTGTTTTGTTTTGTTTTGCTTTTTGGGTCACACCCGGCAATGCAGAGGGGTTACTCCTGGCTCTGCACTCAGGAATCACTCCTGATGGTGCTTAGGGGACCATGTGGGATGCTGCGTTGGCCACATGCAAGGCAAACGCCCTACCTGCTGTGCTATCGCTCCAGCCCCTAGGACAACTCTTGTCAGTGATGTGACTTCTGTTTTTGTGTGGTACCTGGTAGTGCTTGCGGGGATCATATCTGGGACACTCCCATACGAAGCATGAAGTTTAACAAGCTTTTGTCAAAAACTGGGAAAGTGTCTGATACAACTTATCTTTTTTTTTTTTAATTATTAAATTTTTTATTAGTGAATCATCGTGGGGTACAGGTACAGACTTACAAACTGTCATGCTTGCATTTCAGTCGTACAATGATCGAGTACCCATCCCTCTACCAGTGCCCATTCTCCACCACCAATGATCCCAATATCCCTCCCACCACCCCCATCCCATCTCCCCCACCCCACCTTGCCTCTGTGGCAGGGCAGTCCATTTTTTTCTCTTTCCTTTGAGTGAGACAGGTTATCTTTAGAAAATTTTTGGTAGGTAAATGGATTGTGTACTTTTATAACTATACAATCCTCTAATATCATTTATGAAAAGAGGCTTGACTTGTGTGCTTTTTATTCTCAGTAGTGATTAAAGTTTATATGAAAGAAACCTGGGGAGGGGTCAGGAAAATCCATCCTTGGCACCCCAGGATTCCAGTTCCCCCAGGAGCCACCTTCCAGCTCTGTTACTGGGTATAACCCATAGGCAGTGCTGTTTGGGGGCACAGGAGGGAGGGAGGGAGGGGAGGAGAGAAGAGAGGAGAGAGAGGGCTTTCAGGGGTGAAGTTAGGGTAGATCTCTTTGTTGGCGAGCAGTTTTCCACCTATAATTTAATGCAGTATATGTAGTGAGCATTTACCAATGGACGTGGGTGAATGCTCTGAATGTGAAGGGGATTGTCTTGGTATGAAAGAAGATATAGCTGAGCATGGCTGCATGGATCACGTCTCAGTAGGGTTTTCTCTTCATGCCGGGGCTTTATAAGGCTCAGTGAAGTTACGCTGTTCCCTAGATGCACGTCTTGTAGGCTCTGCAACCTTGTGGGAAGCGTCCTTCGGGTGATAAGTTTCTAGGATTCATGGGTGATGCGTGTCCATTGGAATATTGAATGACTCGAAACACTCTCCTGCCTATTTTCACAGGTTGACTATGTCATTAAGGAAGCAACTAATCTAGATAACTTGGCTCAGCTGTATGAAGGTTGGACAGCCTGGGTGTGAAGGGCAAGCAGTAGATGAGTCTGGTTAAGCGAGGTCAGACGTCCACCAGAATCAACTCAGCCTCAGGCATCCAAAGCCACACCACAGTCGGTGGTGATGCAACTGGGGCCTTACTCTGAGGAAACCTAGGAAATCTCGGTGCGCTCGGAAGTGAATCCTGCAGGGCAGCTGCACTCAGGGATACGCCCCACACCATGGCTTGCACCCCAGGGTCAAGGGTGAAGGAAAGCCAGCTCACCGCCTGAACACGGAGATTGTCTTTCTGCCGCGACAGAACAGCTGCACACGTGTCGGGAGGTTAGCTGCAGAAAGCGGCGGGGACACTGTGGAGCACAGAGTGACTCGGAGCTCCAATCCACCTGACCCTGCGTGTGCGCTCCAGGAAAACACCCCGCTCAGAAACAGAAAACTGGGGCCGCGAAGAAATCACAGCCAAGGAAGATTGGATGCATTCAGATTCTCGTGTAACACTTTGCTGCTTGGCAGCAATACTGGTTGGGTTGACCAGTGAGTACAAAAAAGCTACGCGATATGAATTTCAGAAATGGACTGAAAGCGGAGAGTTATGTAACAGATACACTACGTTGGAAGAACTTCTGAAATGAAGGGAAAACAACATCAGCCCACATCCTCCTCCCCCACCCCCCACCCCCTACCTGCCCGCCCGCCTTTTACTGGATCCTGTAGATTAGCCATCTTTCCAATTCCACTTTCATTTCCACCCTTTTCTTTCTCCCACTTCTGTCTCGACGCTGTTAACAGCCTACATTGGGAGCGATCAACAGCAGTTTCTCCAAAACCCACTGTTAACATGGAAAATTCAAGGATGGCCTAAAAGTCTGAAGATCACACACAAATCTAATTCTGGTTATTCTTTTCTGTGATTCTATCATGTACAGTTTCCAGAATTGTCACTGTGCATTCAAAAGTAACAACTCGAACAGATGTACAATTTGCTGCACACTTCCTGTGCTTACGGTGTGCATTTGGGAAGGTCATTCAAAATTTCCCTCTTCTGTGATAGCAGTAGTTTTTTTTTTTCCTTAGAAAATAGCTAATCTCCAGTGTAATCGTTTATCTTTTGAAAAACCAGGATAGAGGACCTACTTGAATTTACATTGTTGATGACAGATTAATAATAAAGTGATGTTCTGGTGGAGGTGGAGAGTGAAATGGTTTTATAGTTTGGTTTTTTCATTTGCTTGTTTACCTGGAATTTTAACACATGTGTGTGAAACAGCAGTGAGAACCACCACCATCTTTTTACTGAGTTCAGTGATTCGTCTGTGAACCATTTTACTTTTTTGCAAAATTTTACTACTTTGCTGTTCAGTAGTACGTAGTTGTGAATTCATGATCAAGGTTTCCTTAAATTGAGCATTGCATTTCAGTACTGGCTGTAAGTTTAATTGTTGATCCAAAATAAAAATCCAGACTAAGATTCTGCAAGTTCCATATCAACAATGAAAGTGAGTACGATGAAAATCTTGACCGAAGGCCGAAGAGACAGTACAGGGATAAGGCACTGGCCTTGCAATGCAGCCTACACCAGTTAGATCCCCGGCACCTAATGTTCCTCCCGAGCACCACCACAGGTCACTCCTGAGCAGAGAGCCAGGAATAGCTCCTGAGCACTGCCAGCTGTGGCCCCAAACAACACCCCCACTCCATACCCCAAGAAAGAAATTTTGAGTACATTTTTAGATTAGGACTATATGGTCTCTTTCTAGTTGCCAATTTAAGAGGTATTAAGGGAAAATTCTACATAGTTCTGGCCTTTTTTTGTATTCTCATTGCCACATTAATCTCTACCCTTCAGTGGAAGAGAATGCATCTCAGTATCAGTGCTTTTTTAAGAACCTGTTACAAGTATTGCAGGAAATGGTGGTCTTTCTGAATTCCTGGGTGTCCAGTTTTAATTTAAGAAGCCTAGAGCATCACAGTTTCTTTCCTTCATTCTAAGCCTTATTTCACAGTCCAAACAGCCTAGCTGGAATAATAATGCCATACTGTGCTTTGCACTCTGCTTTTTTTATTTCCTAGAGGCTGGGGGGCCATTGCGTTCATCACTTGATTACCTTTGCTCTCTCAAGAGTAAACAGCGCTTATTCCGCAAATGTTTTTATCGTCAGATGGAACAAACTTTTATTACAAATGAGGAAACCCATTCACACTAGTCTGTCCCTATAGGCGATGTTCAGAAATTGCTTCATCTTTGATAAACTAGATAAATAGGTGAATTTTATTGCCTATAAATTTCAGGCTTCAGAGGTACCTGGAACCTTATCCAAGCAAAAACAAAACAGCTTTATATCCAAACATGTGCCTCTGATGACTTCTCCACGCTTCCGATCAGAATGGCTCCAGTGTGGCATATCTGTGTCCGCCCTTGGGCCAGGCAGCACTTCTAAGATTGCTCTAGGCTGCACCCCTGATAGTAAGATGCGTGTCTGCCTGACTTCATCCGGGATGTCAGTTGGGCCGTTCTAACTTACTGTAAGTGAGCTAAACAAGTCGGATCACTGGTCAAGGGCCTGGTGATAGAGCAGAGAGAAGATTGAACTGGGTTGGAGAAATTATCATGTTAAATCGCAAGTGGGTAGCGTGACTCTAGCTAGGAGTAAGTCAGACACCTTTTTGATGATAAAAAATACCTGTGGAAAACCAGGGATTCTCCTCTCTTCCTTTCTCTAAGACTCATGGAGTACAGTCACCTACTCCCCACAGCCTCTCCATTCAAGTACCCTTAGAAATGGAAGTTATCCTGCTTTTTGCCTTTTATTTGCTAGAGTTGCCTGCTTTTTGTGTTGATTCCTCTGTCGGGCTTTGGAGGCAGAGTAGTTCCTCACTATCTTCGGTGTATCTTACGGTATCTCATTATTTCTGGCCATGAGTTCTTTAGGTTTTGCTAGATGATTTTAAGATTCTTTTGTGTCTGACACTCGTGAGTTATTTTTGAGATGAATGAGAGTTTTGTGTGAGAACTGATAATCAAGCTCTTGATCGGCTTTCTTAAATCGCCTCTTTTGTTTTTTAATCGCCCAAACCCAGTTTGGGGTGAGGGTTTCTAATACAAAGAAAAACTCACAACACTTCTGCCCTATACATTTGCCTCTATCACTGAAGCTTCGTAGTTTTCTTAGTATTGTTCAGTGTTTGGTGTTACCTGCATTGTTTTGGGTGTTTTTGTTTTTGTTTTTGTTTAAATTGTGGTTGTTCTGATGTGTGAAATTCAAGGAAAGAGCCATTAAAAAAATGTCGAGCCGGGCAATGCAAGTACAGCCAAATAATAGAGTTAATGTGCAATCTTAGGTCCTTTCAAATTGGGGGTATTATAGGCAGTCCTTCAAAGCAAAAAGTCTTCCTGGCCTATTTTCCTCCACATATTTGTAATTCCTCTGGGGCTTACTTGTTTTGGCAGTACTAAAATCAAAGGGGCTGGTTCTTCTTTTCTCCCAGTTCTTTTCATATAAAACAAGCACCTGCAGTTAGCCTGTTAGTCCTATTCAAATACATTTAAAAAATAAAATCAGTGAATGCTTTACTGTTAGCACATTTCAATCTTTGTTTCACACAAAAATAGAACGTTTAGTCTACAGCTTGTTGAGCTTTTAAAATGCCAGTGATTTAGAGCTAGGACTTCTCCCACTTAAATCAGAGGTATTCGAAGTGTATGTTAATATGAAGGTCACTGAAGAAGGTCATTGCTTGGGTTGTATTAGTTGCCGTGAGAGAAGGATCGAGCACTTCAAAAATGTCTGTTGCATTGTGGGAGGCAAAGTCACTGTCTTGAACACGCAGGGCTTGTTGCACTTCCCCTACTTTCCAGCTTGGGTAACCGTGTCGCCACCCCTGATTACAAAAGGGCCAAAGAGGTTCAAGGGGGAGTGAATGGTACATGAACCATTTGAGTCTCTTTGCTTTCAGTGGGAACTGGCTGGGCTCCTGTGGGACAAACTGTTGTGCTAATGTCAAAATGTCATACGACGAGCTGGACTTTCGGAGCTTGTACACTTCAGGAATTGTATGTTGTGAAATGCAGACCTTGTAGAATGTCTTTCAAAACAGGCTGATTTCCTTTGTTCTTTTTTGACAGCCTTGGTTTCGGCTCCTCTTTAAAATTCTTGTTTTACGGTCAGTTATTTCGCTGGTTTAAATTTTTCCTATATTTCTACTTGTAATGTCAGTGGCAATGACATCATATACTTGTTAATTTTCTCTACTCTTATTATTATAAGAGCAAATTGAGTTGAACAGACTCTTCGTTGTCCTAATAACACTGTATAGATAAAATGGCTTCTCTGTACAAAAAAGGTGGTAATGCCTCCTAATGGGAATAATTTTGTGATTGTATTTAAGGTTAAAAGTCGAATCACACCAGCTTGGGGGGGGGGGGGGACGTTCATAATGCATCTTTTGGAAAACAAAAGTACACGCCTACTTTATGCATATTTGCATTAACATGGCAAAGATGTATGAAATACCTGTTTTTCAAAAAATAAAGTCTTGAAATCTAAGCACTTAAGCTCTTGATTTATTGGTCCAGTAGGTTATAGGAAATTTACTTTTAGTATATGGATAGCTATTTCAAAAGCATTAATGCTAAGCTATTGAAAACTTAAGAATTGTGTTACTGATACAGGTGTGGGGTGGTGGTGAGGGGTCACCTCCCCTGCAGCCCGGCTGTTGGGAGTCCAGAGCGGGTGGAGTCCAGGCCACTAGAATGCACGGTGTGAACACTAGACCTTTGAGCCCTAATCTCTGACTCCTTAGTCTTGCAGAACAGTAGGCTATGTTTAACAACTAAGAGAAAGGGCTCAGTAATAAGGCCCAATTATTCAGCTTAATTTTGATGATTTAAAAACTTATGTTCCTGGGGCTGGATCAGTAGCACAGCGGGTAGGGCGTTTGCCTTGCACATGGCCAACCCGGGTTCGATTCCCAGCATCCTATATGGTCCTCTGAGCACCACCAGGGGTAATTCCTGAGTGCAGAGCCAAGAGTAACCCCTGTGCATCGCCAGGTGTGACCCAAAAAGCCCCCCCCCCAAAAAAAAATAAAGCCCAAACTTCTGTTCCCAAAGTTCATGTTCCCTGGTGTATTTAGAAAAAAGAAAAAAGGCAAAAAAGAATCTAGTTTGTTTCAATAAGCATTGCATTTATTACTGCTAATGTTAGAGGGTTTATATCAACTGTCATCTTGGTGCCCTTCGAAAGATCACATCTGATGTGTACAAAGTTCAAATGAAAGCTGTAATCGGAATATATATATATATATATATATATACATACCTATATATGTCAGTCATTCCTGTCTTGTGTTGGGGTGCTACTCTTAAACTCGATTGCTATAAAATCTCCCCAGGACTGAAGAGAGAGTCCAGAGAGCAGGCAAGGGAACTTTCCTTGTGCACAGCCGACCGGGTTTTGTTCCTGGCACTGCAAATGGTCCCTGGAGTGCAGACAAGAATGATTCCTGGCAATTTTACCAACAGGCTGCCACTGCCAACCTAAATAACCTATTTTTTCCCCCCATCATTCTATTGGGTGGCCCTTACCTCATCACTTTCCCTTGCAACTCCTCAGAGAACGTATTTCTACCTGTTTCCCACCCAGCAATGTCCCTGTGACCCTGGCTCTCTTAAGTGCCAGGGTGTGGTCTGTCCCTTAAAAACCTGGTAATTACTTGAATTCAATGGCTTAAAACACTACTACAGAGGACAAAACGCTGAAACTTAAAAATGGTGTGATGGGGACTGGAGAGAAAGCACAGCGGGTAGGGCATTTCCCAGCATCCCATATGGTCCCCTGAGCACCGCCAGGAGTAACTCCTGAGTGCAGAGCCAGGAAGAACCCCAGTGCATCGCTGGGTGTGACCCAGAAAGCAAAAAAAAAAAAAAGATCATGGTATGAGTAGCAGCTAGCATCTGGCAGAAATTTTTATTAAAAGGATGAAGTGATAGTCTGGCAGGTAGAGTGCTTGCCTTGCACATGGCTGACCCACGTTCGATCCCTGGCATCCCATATGTTGGTCCCCTGAGCACTTCTAGGAGTAACCCCTGAGCATTGCCACATTGCCAGGTTTGCCCAACCCCCCAAACTATTAAAAAAGAAAAGCACTTGTTAATAATGTATTTTTGTAATCCTGAAGAGAAAATAAGAAAATGTAGAAATGCCTCAATCCTACTCTACTTCTAAATTAGGAACTTTGCTTTACAAGCTAATTTTCTGTCAGAACCAGTTCCTTTCTGGAGGAAAGTAACTTGTAAAATGTGCCTAAAGACTCTGACCAAACCAGACAACTCTAAGCCTCCGTTTTCACATTTGAACTACCCAGATTAAACCACACCCGAGCCTCTTTCAAACTGAGGATTTATTTTTGTTTTGGTTCGGGGTCACACCTGGCAGTGCTCAGGGATCACTCCCGACTGGCTGGAGGAAAAATACGGGATACCAGAAATCCAACCGGGTCAGCTGCGTGCAGGGCAAATAGTACAGTACCTGCTGTCCTATTTATTGCTCGGGCCCCTCAAGCTGAGAATTTATTCCTGATGGATATAAAAGGGAAGTCTGCAGAAATAACCGCTTGTTCTCGATCTCACAAGGTGGTCACGAGTCTCTTAAATCTCTTAAATCACAAAACCGAACCAACCCAACGGTTCAGTGGTCTGGCGTAGGGCAGCCAGAGCAGGAATTCGAAGGGTCCCCTAGGGGGTACAGCAAGGATTAGGAAACGGGATCTTTAAAAAATACATATTCACCATTATTAATCTTTACTATTTATTGAATCACCCTGAGATGCAGTTACAAAGCTATCTGTGATGAGTGGGGGTAAAACGCGGTCTTAGCCAGCCCGGTTAGTGACATCGCAGCTAGCAGGCTCCTCCGTGACCTCACGCGGACCCTCATCTCCCAGCAGCTTCAGCAGGCAGAACCAGGGGCGGCCCCACCACCTGGGGTCCGGGCCGTTCAACCGCTCCGTCCCTGTCTGGGCGGGGCAGCGGCCCTCTCCCGCGCGCGGATTGGCCGCCCCGGGGCCCCGCCCCCGCGGCCCGGGCGCGCCCGGGCTCGCCTTTGACCTCGATTTCAAGCCCTGCGCTGGGCAGCGATTGGCTCCGCGCCCCTCGAACGGGTGCCGGGGCGAGCCAATGAGGAGCGAGCGCCGCGGGGGCTGACGGGAAGGGGCGGCGGGGCTATATAAGCGGCGTGCGGGGCGCCCCCGGCGCTGGGGTCGCGGCGCGGGGCAACGTCTGTACTCGAGTGCGCGGCGACTCGGCGGGGGACCATGGCGGAGGGCGACAATCGCAGCACCAACCTGCTGGTGAGTGTCCAGCGGCGCGCGGCCCGGCCCGGTAGGGGTGGACGCCGCGGCCTTCCGGGGGCCGCTGGTCGGGGCGGCCGCTCGCCCCGCCGACCGTCCGCCTCCCGCGCGGCCGGGCTGGCCACGGGCCGCGCGCGGGCTTTGGCCCCGCGAGGGGTGGGAGCGAGCCCCGGCGTGGCCGGACCCCGCGTGAACCCCCGCGGCGCCACTCACGGCCGGGCGCTCACGGCGGGCGCAGACCCTGGCTGGGGCCCGGGCGTTGGCACACGCGGCGTCGCGGGGCGCCGGGCGCGGGGCGGGGACAGCGCTGGACGCCCGAGTGAAGGCGGTGGCCTGGTCGCCCCTCCCAGGCCAGGGCCGGCAGCCTCCACCGGGGCGGTTCTCGGGACTGTGCAGGTGCCGCCCCCACTGGACCAACCTGCACGGTGCATTCCCCCCTTCCCCCGCCCAGCTCCGCGGCCTGCACCCCCGCACGCAGATGCATAGTCGCCCTCTGTTGAAAACCACACGGACACACCTGTGCAGACACACACCCCTCGATTGAAGAGCACGCGAACACACCGACGCGCGTCCCCTTTAGCAGCCATACACTCACACTCAGATACGCCTCCGCAGACACACGCCCCTCTTTGACGAGTTCACGAACACACCATATCCCCCTACACGCAGACACACATCTGTTGGCAGGGACTGACACACACACCTACAGACACACCCCTCGTGGAAACTATGAATATACATTTGCAACCCCCCACACACACACCCTCTGTTGCAAACATACACCCGTATCCACACACCCCTCTTGTAGATACATTCCGCTGTTGGAAACAACATACAAACCACACACACACAAATGAAATCTCACATACCCACACACACTCTCTCCGAAGTTGACAGCTCACTGCCAGCCTATAAGTGCTCTTTTGGCTTTTGCACTTGTAATTGCATATTCCTGGGCGCAGATCTGGTGACTGCTGTTTACTAAGTATCTCAGAGTCCTCTTCTAGGAACAGAGGGCAATGGGCACATCCCTGTCCTTTGACAATCTCCTCTGGGTGGTTAATGAAGGTCGAAGCACATACCGTCCTTAGCCGAGTTTCTGCAACATGGTCCATTCCCTCCCATGTGTCAAGCAGGGCATATAAGGTCAGGAATTCTGAGGTGGCCAAAGTGGTACGCTTGCTGACAGCATTTTGGTTCGGGTGAAAATGCGCCCACCTCTGGCCTTCACCTATTTCATCCTGGTGCTGATATTTGCAGGAACACTGGGGTTTTTTGTTTCCATTTATTTTTTTCCTCTACCAAAATGGGCTTTTTGTTTTGGGGCACTTTGACTCATCTGTTATTTCAGCTGGTGGTCAGATTTAGATGGTCAAATTTGACGACTCCACTACATGCCCTGGTAGGTGTTGAGAAGCTGTGTATTGAGGCTATTTATTGATAGATTGAACTTAAAATATCTCAAGTAATTTGGCGAATGTAGTTTTCCTTGCATTGCAAATGCTGCGGACATCTTAACGATTCCATTACACAGAGCTGTTTTAGAAATGGAAGGCTGTTGGGAGAGGCTTTCCCAGGGGAGAGGGATTTAAAGCAATGAGATGACATCACAGCAGATCAGTTTCCACTGATCTGAAATGACATAATTTGGTAGACTGCAGCCCTGTCGCTGAGTAGAGCAGGGCTTTGGGGAAGTGAGTTCACCCAGCTGGGCTCACTTTTCTGTCACTGCAAAGTGGGCCTTTAGTGTTTGTTGGTGGGACTCAGGCCTAGGAGCTCAGGGGCTCCTCCTGGCCCTGCTCAGGGGACTGTGTGCTCCTCCACGGATCTGCCCAGGGCCAGTCAACTCAAGGCGAGAGCCTTAACCACAGTCCTCTCTCTCGGGGTCCTTGGGGTTCCTTCTTTGGAGAGATAAGGGGTTCTGTCTGATTAGATCACCAATGCCTGGGAGGCTGCCCTCTGGAGCCCCCACCACCAGTCCCCACCACCACATGGTCCCCGAAGCACTGTGCTGGGAGTAGCAGCTCCTGAGCGTTCACTGGCTTTGGCCTCCAAGCTGAAGAAGTCATAGATAAGGACTAGCCTGCTGCTTTGCGGAGTGGAATGAAATGTTCCGGATGAGACGACAGCATTTTCCTGCATCGGGTTCTCCCACACAAGGATTTTAGCCACCAGCTTGCTAGGCAGTGACTGGGTTAAGAGCAGTTGCACGCAGCGTGGTGACGGCTCTCCCTGTCCATCCCTGCAGGCCGCAGAGACCGCCAGCCTGGAAGAGCAGCTGCAGGGCTGGGGTGAAGTCATGCTGATGGCCGACAAGGTCCTGCGCTGGGAGCGAGCCTGGTTCCCGCCTGCTGTCATGGCCGGGGTGTCCCTACTGTTCCTGTGAGTGAGCGGTGGCGTTCCCTTCCCGCGGGGCTGGGGGCTGCCAGGCCTCTGTAACACGGGATCTCTCGAGAGTCCCTTTAACCAGAGCGACTCATCCAGTTTTCAGGATCTGGAGTCTTAAGAGCAACCCGGTCATGTGACATGGCCAAATAAACCGGCGGCCGGAGCTCTGCCACCCTTTCCTCTGGCACAGTAGCCGGGGCCAAGGGGGCGGCTGTGGGGTAGAAGTCCATGGTGAGGGCTGGAGCGTTAGTCAAGCAGGGAGGGCATTTGCCTTGCATGCGGCCCACCCAGGTTCTATCCCCGGCATCCCATAGGGTCCCCCGATGACTGCCAGGAGTAATTCCTGAGTGCAGAGCCAGGAGTAACCCCTGAGCATAGCCGGGTGTGACCAAAAAGCAAAAAAAAAAATAAAAGTACATGGTAAGATCCCCAGAAAGGAGTCTTTAGCCCCTTTCCTGGTTGCTGGGAAGTTCCCTGGGAATGATTTCTTTTTTTTTTTTTTTTTTTTTTTGCTTTTTTTCGGGGCGTCACACCCGGCGATGCACAGGGGTTCTTCCTGGCTCTGCGCTCAGAATTACTCCTGGAGGTGCTGGGGGACCATATGGGATGCTGGGAATCGAACTCGGGTTGGCGGCGTGCAAGGCAAATGCCCTCCCTGCTGTACTATTGCTCTGGCCCTCATCATGGACTTCTACCCCACAGCTGCCCCCTTGGCCCCGGCTACTGTGCCAGAGAATGAGGTTTCTGTGGGAGGGTGGGAGTGGGGATGGCAGGCGGCTCCCACCGGGCTCTCTCCAGCCTCGAGCGAGAGCACTGACCTGCCTTCCTGTGTCCCACCCCACAGGACTATCTACTATCTCGACCCATCCGTGCTGTCTGGCGTTTCCTGTTTCGTCATGTTTCTGTGCTTGGCCGACTACCTTGTCCCCATTCTTGCTCCCAGGATTTTTGGCTCAAATAAGTGGTAGGTGGCGGGGCGGCCTGATGTTCTGGCGGCGGGGGTTGGGGGGAATTGGTCTGCTGCGAGGGGTGGACTCCGAGCGGTTAGAGATGGTGCTCTTTGGGGGTTGGGGCCAGACCCTGTGGCAGCTGGGGACCAAGCTGTGCCAGCGGTCCAGTTCCACCTGCATCCCACCCCTGCAAATCGTTTCTCCAGCCTGTTCAAGGTGGTTGTTGGGGAGTGCAGGACAGAGAAACAGGTTTGCAGTTTACAGTTCCTGTGGTACTGTGGAGTGTAATTTCAGGAGTTTGTTCTTGGTTTGCTCTGTTGCAGGGCAGTTCCGGGGCTTGAACCCAGGGACTCACAGATGGGGCGTGGGCTTCTCCACCAGCCGAGTCCCCAGTCCCTCCCCCGTCATTTTTCAATGACTTAGCAAATTGGAAATTTTTGTTCATTTAGCAACTATTGATTGGAACCCTTCATATGTCAGGCACTGCTGTGTGTGCTGTAAAATCTTGCCTTTTTCTATATGTATTCAAGACTTGCAGTGTTGTTAGCTAAATGCATAGCAAGTCCTTGAGAATAGATAGAAATTAGTTGTTGATTTCATTTATAGCAATCTTGAGTTGATTACTTATGGACTCCTAAGTGTCCCAGTCACGGTCCTCCCGTTGTTCATCGATTTGCTCGAGCGGGCCCAGTAACGTCTCCATCGTGAGACTTTGTTGTTCCTGCGTTTGGCATATCGAATACATCACGGGTGGCTTGCCAGGCTCTGCCGTGCAGGCGAGATACTCTCGTAGCTTGCCGGGCTCTCCGAGGGGGGCGGAGGAATCGAACTCGGGTTGGCCATGTTGGCTGCGTGCAAGGCAGACGCCCTACCCCCTGTGCTATTGCTCCAGCCCAGTATTCAAGTATTTAAAAGAATTTTTTAAATTTTTATTTTTCGTGCCACACCTGGTTACTCCTGGTTCTGCACTCAGGAATCACTCCTGCCAGTAATTCATGGACCCTGTGGTATGCCAGGGATTGAACCTGGCTTGGCCACATGCAAGGCAAGCACCTTACCCATTGTACTATCTCGTGGGCCCCTAACTTATAATAATTTCTCTCTGGATCATGACATTTCTCAGGTGTCGGTCCCCCACCCCCCTTTTTTTGTTTTTCAATCTTTAAAAAATTTTTTTCTTTTCAGGCTACTCCTTGTGGTGGCTGGGAAGCACGTGGTGCCAGGGACCAAACGCAGAGCTTGTGTACGCAGAGCCTCAGCTCAGCCCTTTGAGCCTCTCCATGGCCAGTGTTTTCCCACTTCTGATCCATCCACAGTGAAGGGGCTGGAGCAATAGCACAGTGGGTAGAGCGTTCGCCTTGCACACAGCCAGCCCTTGCTCGATTCCCAACGTCCCCTAGGGTCCCCTGAGCACTGGCAGCAGCCATGAGTGCAGAGCCAGGAGGAACCCCTGTGCATCACCGGCTGTGACCCAGAAAGCAAAATAAAAAGGGGCTGGAGCGATAGCACAGCTGGTAAGGCGTTTGCCTGCTCGCAGCCGACCCGGGTTTGATTCCCAGCATCCCATATGTCCTCCGTGCATTGCTGGGTGTGACCCAAAAAGAAAAAAAAAAGGTAGAGGCCAGAATAAAGAAGAGGTCTACTGGTCTGTTTAGGGTGTGGTTGTTTGTTTGTTTGTTTGTTTTGTGCCCCCAGCAGTAGCAACTTACAAACTAATAATGTAAAATTAAGAATTTTAGGGCCGAAGAGATAGAACAGAGGTTAAGTTACAGTGCTTGTCTTGCATGTGGCCAATCCTGGTTCCATCCCCAGAACTCAGCATATGGCCTCGATTCCCTTCCTGGAGTGATCCCTGAGCACAGGCCTGAGCACCCCTGGGTGTGGACCCCAGACAAAAAGAAATTTAAATGCATCCTATATGGCTCTTTGGAAGCAAACTTACACGTTCTGAGGAAGTTTGCTCTGGGGCCTTCCCGGGCCACTCCTCAGTGGGGAGAGACCCTGGCAGGCCCCGGGCCTTGTTTCCCAACATCAGGAGGTCTTGAGCTTCGAGGCTTCCCGTGCACGGTGTCTGAACACACAGCCTGTTTGGGTGCGACGACCACCACAAACCAAGCAGCTCCCCCAGAAAGGGATCCAGCCTCTGCCCTTGTCTTTAGATGCGAGATGGGCTTTTGTTTTGTTTTGTTTTGTTGACTTTTTGGGTAAAAATGAGTAAGGGGCTTTGTTGGACCAGCGATGCACACCCAGCGATGCACAGGGGTTACTCCTGGCTCATGCACTCAGGAATTACTCCTGGTGGTACTCAGGGGACCATATGGGATGCTGGGAATTGAACCCGGGTTGGCCGCTTGCAAGGCTAAAGCCCTTCCCGCTGTGCTCTTGCTCTGGCCCCAACGTCCCAATGAGATGATTTTCTAATCTTCAGAGACCTAACTCCGGAGCAGTGTCTGCAGGGCTCTAGCAATCAGAAAGTGACTTCTTATCAACAGCAGTTTCATTGTTTGCAGCTCGGGAGGAAAGAAGGTCACCCACCGTTGTAGAGCTGCGGCCTGGCCTTGCCCTTGGCCACAGAGAAAGGCCGCATTGTTTCTCCGTGGCAGACTGTGGCTGGCTCCGTGAAACCCTCCTCCTCTTAGCTGGTTTTATAAGGATCAGGACTTGAGGAGAAATAGTAACACGTTTTGCTTCATCATAGCCGCCTTTCGCAGCTGTGGTACCGAGGCAGATTTTCACAATGAGAACTTCCGAGAGAGTGCTCAGGGTTTTGTTCTTGGAGACTCCTTCTGAATGTTCATGGTGACGTGTTTTCAGGTTATGTTTTCCATCTAAAAAGATGGCTTGGGACTCTCGATGCCTTGGCCTCCTCTGCCTGAGGCCCAGTCAGCGGGTGTCATGTTTTAAACGCCAAAAGCAAGAGAGCAGAGGATGGCCAGATGGAGTCGGTGGAAACAGCACCTCTCTCTCAGAATAGCGAAACTCTCACAGACTCCATCCCAGGATTTCTGAGGACCTGGCAAGTAGGAATAAAGGAATTGATTTAGACTGAGTTTTTCTCCCCCCTCCCCTAGAGGGGGTCGTTATGGGCCACTCCCAGCAGTGCTCAGAAGTGAGCCCGCCCGCAGAGTGAGTGCCTCAGCCCCTGGACTGCCTCTGGGGCTTTTTACCTGGTGGTCCCGAGTCTTATTACTGTACTGAATCACATGTGATTTGAGAACCTGGCTGTTGCCTTAGTGTAAGGGCGCCGTGCGTGTAGCTACCATCCACACCTCTCTGGAAAGCTGTGCTGTGCTTTAGACGGTGTTTCGTGAGAACCTGTCGCTTTGGGCTGGTTTAGTTTCATCTTGGGGCCACGCCCGGTGATGCTCTGGGCTTCCTCCTGGCCCTGAGCTCAGGGATCACTCCTGGAGGGCCCATTGGAACACGGGAAGCCAGGAACCCAGGTCGGCCGCATACAAGGCCAGCGCCCTCTGCTCTAACGGCCCCAGTGGTTTTACACTTCGCTTTTCTTCAGAAGATGGGGGCCAGTTTGAAACACTGGCATGTTTCTCCGCACTGTGGAGATGTGTGTGGAGCTCTAGGGAAACTTCCTTTTTTCCAGGACCACCGAGCAGCAACAGAGGTTCCATGAGATCTGCAGCAGCCTGGTGAAGACGCGCCGCAGAACCGTGGGCTGGTGGAAGCGCCTCTTCACGCTCAAGGAGGAAAAGCCAAAAATGGTACCTCCAGTGGGGGCTGGTTGGAGGCAAACAAAAGTTTAAGGTAGAGTGAAGGTTGGAATCATTGTCCTTTGTACAGTGCACATTGTGACCACTTCACAGAGGGAGCATTTCTCATCGGAGTGTTGGTGTTCGGCTGGGTCGATGAGAATTAAAGCGACTGCATTCTGCACACAACATTTTATTCTAGCAGAACAGAATCTTTCTGGCTCATTTTTGCTGGCAGAGAAAGTACAAGCCAGAGTCTTACTAGTCTCCCTTCACCTTCACTTGAGATGTTCTTATTAGAGCAGTGCAATTTATGTTCTAGCTGGCTCTCGCACTCATCACGGTCACTCTAGAACGTACCTGAATTCCGTAGAGTAGATCTCACAGCATTGCCTGTCCTGGCTGGAAACTGCAAAGGACAGTGGCAGTCGGTTATTTGGGTCGGTGCGTTTCGGAGTCTCGCCGAGAGCTGAGCATTCTTGTTTCGCCCTGCCAGTACTTCATGACCATGATCGTCTCCCTGGCTGCCGTGGCGTGGGTGGGACAGCAGGTGCACAACCTGCTGCTCACCTATCTGATCGGTAAGTCGCCACGGCCCCGGGCGGGTCCCCGGGAGGCCCCGTGGAGGAGTTGTGGGAGAGTCGCCGAGGGCGGGGTCCACGGCCAAGTCGAGGGTCCCCAACCCCGCCTGGCAGGAAGGGGCAACCCAGTTAAGCAGCGTTGCTGCCCTCTAGGCTCATCTTGTCCGTCTCCTACCTGGCTGAGATCCCAAGTTTCAGGAGCTAAATGGTGACGGAAGCTCCTTCGGCCCCCATCCCCCCCCCCCCGCCAACGCTGCCCCCCGCCAACGCTGACTGCTAACTGGGCCTCCTTCTTGGTGTCTCTTTGTTTGAAGTGACCTTCTTGCTGCTGCTTCCCGGACTAAACCAACACGGAATCATCTCGAAGTACATTGGGATGGCCAAACGGGAGATCAACAAGCTCCTCAAGCAAAAAGAAAAGAAAAACGAGTAAGGGGCTTCGTTGGACCAAAGCCCCCATGGCATGTGCACTGTCCTCGGGAAGCCTCTGCTCTGGCGTCTGGATGCTGGGGTCTTCCCGAAGCAGCTCCCCACGCCCCCTCCCCATCCCCTAGTTGGTAGAAATGCAAGCCCTATAGAGTGGGCCTTGGGGCTGTGTCTTCCTGTCCGGCCTCGGGGTGCCCTCTCCCCGCGGGCCATCCTTGGACCACTCCCCTGCTGTAGGACTTTTGTTTCTGAGTTTTCCCGTCCAGCGTTCAGCTGGGTCCCTCCTTTGAAGTCATCCCCTCTAAGGTAGCGTAGTAGTGAGTTTTGTCTGTGGTGCCGTGAACAATGATGCCGGGTACATGCCCCAGCTGGTCATTGCTTTAGTTAGGGATGGGGTGGGGGTCGCGGGTGCTACTGTCTGCCTGTGTGGGAAACGGTCCACTCCGGCCTCAGAAATGCAGAGACCGGGCTGACCGCCTCCGATGGCTAGACCAAGTGAGAGTCATTCCTGCTCCCATGGCTAAGGTGCGGCTCCTCTCTGGCCCCAGGGTTCCTCCTTCCTTCTTCCCCCCCCCCGCCCCCCCCTTGCGCTTGGACCTCAGGTCAGTCCATGCAGGCTTGTGAATCGCAAACTTCCAGAAGGGCGGCTTCCAGAGTCTCCGCCTACCCAGACAGAAGCACCACTGCTCACGACTCCTGTCCAGGCCCTTAACTTGAATACCAGCCATTAAAGAACAAAAGTCTTTGTCTGTTCAGCGGCAGACAGCCTTTCTGCTGCGGCTCAAGTCTCCCTGCTCCTTGTAGCTTTTCCAGGGAAGCGTCTAGGTCCTCCCTGAGTGACTGGTCATCCTGGGCAGCTTGGGCCTTCCGATTAGGAAGAGGGGGTGGCCTCCTCAGGGCCAGGGCAGTGACCTGGCTGCAGAGACCCGTGACTCCTTGGAAAGCTGTTCTAGAGCCCTACCCCGCCCCGCCCCGCCCCACCCCCGTTAGCAGCTAGACCCGTAGAGTAGGTGAAACTGTAGGAATGAGCCTCCGAGCTGACAATGTGAGGATTTGGGAACAATTCTTCGGCCCGGATTAACTGGCTGTAATATAGTTCTGTGAATTGGTTGCACTGAAGCTGTCAGGCCGGACCTTGTTGCTCCTCCCCTAAGCAAGGGCTGTTTCTGCTGTAAACAGGCACCCGGGTAGTCTAGGTTTCGGTGGTTGGTTGTTTGTTTCCTCTTTCATGTTTCCTGTGAAAATTACCAACTACCTTAAGGGTACATGTGTTTCTCGCCGTTGTAAATAAGCCTGTCTTCCTACTGGATTCTTGTGTGTGTGTGTGTGTGTGTGTGTGTGTGTACTTGTTTGACCAATGAACTACTTTTGCGGTTTGATCGCTGTTACTTCTACTTTGTTTCATGTAAAGGGGGAAAAATTAAAAAAGCTGGAATCCCTCCTGTGTCTCTCGTTGTTTCTGGTGCAGCAGATACAGGGTCTGCTGGTTGGGTTTCCGGGCCTTGTTTGGAGGTGCCTGTAGACACATGGCACAGCTCCAGGAGCAGAGGGAAGGGTTTACATGTGAGCAGAAACTTGGGGGCCGGAGTGATAGCACAGCGGGGAGGGCGTCTGCCTTGGACTCAGCCACCCGGGTTTCATCCCTGGCGTCCTGTGGGGTCCCCTGAGTACCACCAGGGGTAGTTCCTGAGTGCAGAGCCAGGAGTAACCCCTGAGCATCACCAGGTGTGACCCAAAGAGCAAAACTAAAAATCCGAAACAGAAACATGAACATGGGAGCAGAAACCATCCGAGCCCAGGACAGTGGGGAGAAAAACAGTCAAGGAGTAGGTGAAGGCTTCTAGTTCCTGCGGTGGGAGAAGACCAAGCCAGAACAGAGCAGGCAGAGGAGAGGGTCGCCAGCTGTGGGCCCCTGCGTGCCCCAGGGCTTGGCTTGGTTGGAGGCCTTTGTTTGCACATTAGGGTTTACATTAATATCTCAAATTGGATGTGTTTGTCATTGGGTGTCTCTATACTTGGTATTTCTTGGGAAAAGACTCAATATTGGACCAGAGCAATAGCACAGCATGTAGGGAGCTTGCCTGGGGTGACTGGGTTTAATCCCCAACGTTCCACATGGTCCCCTGAGCACTGCCAAGAATGATTCCTGAGCACTGCCAGGTGTGACCCAAAAACAAGTATTCCCTTTATCTCCCCTATCCCTCCTTTCCCTTCTCACCACAGACCCGGGCCCTGGAGGCTTATGAAGAGCTGCCCACTACCCCCCTCCATCGGGGCTCCCCTGGACCTGCCCTGGCTACAGCAGAAGTCCCCTTTTTACACTTAGGTTTTGGGGGACACATCATTCCTGGCGGGGCTTGGGGCATCCTATGTGGCGCTTAGGTTCGAACCTGGGTCTGCAGCGTGCAAGGCAAGTGCCCTACAGACTGCACTGCCTCTCCAGCCCGCTTGTTTGTTTTTGTTGGGCTACGCCTGACTGTGCTCAGGACTTAACTCCTGGCTCTATGCTCAGCGATCATTCCTGGCCTTCTTGGGGCACCAGATGGGGTGCCAGGATCAAACTTGGGTCAGCTGCGCTCAAGGCAAGCTCACTACCTGCTCTTCTATTTCCCTGGCCCGTGGGACTGGTATTTTTGATCCCTCAGCAGCTAATTACAGTAGCTAGACATGCAAGCATTTGGTGGATGAATGAAACGGACCAGGTGATAAAGGGTCTAAGATGGTGGTTTTATTTTTCCAAATGATGGAAGAAGAGGAAGTTAATTCTGGGAAGTCCCTGCTGTTGCAAAGACCTGCAAGCTGAGTTGCGTATTTAAAAAAAAAAAGAATTTATTTTTGAAATGCATACATTCAGTGAAGAGAATCAGTACAAGAGAATTTCCACCCAGAAAGCAAATGGTCCTTGTGTGACATAACCCTAAAGATGTTTCAGCTGGAGTGTGTTTTCCTTAAGGTTCACATAGGGTTTGAGAACTGGGCAGGTGGGCTGAGGGGTTAGCCCAGCTAGTGCTAACACAGCACCGGCCTTTGAAATGGTGACTTTGATGTCAGCAACTTCAAGTGGGAGGTCATTTCATTCCTATTTCACAGATGGAGAAACTGGTCTACCCATTCATTAATTCAGTGGGAGGGAGTGGGGGAGGAAGAGAAAAGGAGAGAGAGGAGGGGGGAGAGGGAGGGAGAGGGTGAGGAGAGGGAGGGAGAGAGAAGCAAGGAAGTAGAGTTACTTGGAAACACAGATGCAAAGGCAGTCCATTGTGGAGGGTTGATGGGGGACCCCTTCTTGGCTGACATGAGTGTGTGTGTGTGTGGGGAGGCTTTTACAGAGGGCAGTGGGAGTAGGATCTGGAAAGATCATTCTGGCTGCCTTGTGAGAAAGCACTGAGGAGGTCAGGGAGGGTGGAAGCAGGTGTTAGGTATCAGGGGAAACAGAGCAGGAAGTCTCTTCCGGGGACTTCTGCCAGGAAGCCACTCATGCAGCAGCTACAACTCCTTGTTCTGGAATTATCAAAACACCTGGGATATCAATTAAGGTGCTAGATTCCTTATCTGACCTTTGTTGTTGTTGGGTCTTTTTTCTACACCTAGCAGTGCTTATTACTCTTTATTCTGTGCTCAGGGATCACTCCTCACCAGGACTCAGTGACCATATGTGGTGCCAGGAATTGAACCCAGGTTGATGACAATGTAGGCTAGTGCTCCTGCAGCACTATCTGTCCAGTCCTTATTATTATTATTATTTTGTCCACAACCTGTGGTTATGAGGGTTACACTTGGCTCTGTTTTCAGGGGACCAGGAACTCAGCCAGCTGACTCAAGGCCTTTCCCCTGGTTTTATCTCTCTGGCCATAGATGCGGGGTGGGGATGAGGGGGCGGGGGTGGGGGTGGTGTGTGTGTGTGTGTTTCAGAGAGCATAAGAGACCTGGATACTAGGTTCAGAATTTGGGTGTTTATTTCAAAACATTCATGCCTTTCTTCCAAACTGTATCCCAGAACTCCAAAGGAATGTCTGATGCATCAATAAACGATTTTTTGGATTTAGGAAAGCATATAAGAAACCATACAAGAATTTAAAAAATAAATTTATTTTGAATCGCTTTGACCATAAACACATGCCTCAAACAAAATAAAAATTTATCTAAGGAGAAAAAATATATACATATACACATGTATACATATAGATATTAGAAGATATATCTATGTGTCTTCTAATGCACTCCCAGAAGCATTAGCACTCCCACCTGCTGGGGTCCTTCCAGAGACCATAAATACATGATTATTTTTCTCCTTAAATATGGGCATTATTGTGATGAATTGTGTGAGGAATGCCAAGAGAGAGACAACCACAAAAAACTGCCTTTCTTCGAACACTCTTGAACTTATTCGCCAATGTGGCTTGGCACATGCCTCAGGCAACAGCAAGCAAACATCTGAGCTGGCAAAACAATGCAGAGAAGCCATCAAGGATGACCTCAAAGACAGGAGAACAGCAGGAGGTGCTGGTAGATGCGGCAGAAGCTGGGAAAAGCATTTGTAATGCCTGCCTGTCCTTCGCCAACTACAAGACCAAGATGACTGCCCTCCGACATCCTGATGGATCTATCACATCTTCCAGAAGGGCAATGGAGAAGATTATTCATGACTTCTACTCAGATCTCTTCGATAGCCATGTCCATTTGCCGACATACCAAATTCCACAGGATGGATATGTCGTTCCCAACGTTCTCCCTTCCGAAATTCAACACACCATCTCGTCGGTAAAGAAACAAAGAGCACCTGGCCCAGACAAGATCAGACCTGAACACCTGAAGAACTTACCATCAGTACTCATCAATACACTGGCTTGGCTCTTCACAAGCTACCTGTCTGAATGCTAGGTTCCATCCCAGTGGAAAACCAGCAGGACTGTACTACTATACAAGAAGGGAGACATCCGTGACATTGGCAACTATCGCCCGATCTGTCTATTGTCTGTCATCTACAAACTGTTCACTCGAGTCATCCTGAATAGGATTAGCAGAACACTAGATGAAGGACAAACATGTGAACAAGCCGGGTTCCGAAAAGGATTCAGTACCATCGACCATATCCACACGATTACTAAGCTCATTGAGGTTTCTCAGGAGTTCAAGATGCCTTTCTGTCTAACGTTCATTGATTTAAAGAAGGCCTTTGATTCTGTTGAGACGGAAGCAGTCATGGAAGCCCTAGCCAATCAGGGCGTACAAACTCAATACATCAGGATCCTTCGTGAGCTCTATTACGGATTCACTACCAGGATCTCACCATTCTACAAAGAAGTAATCATCCATATCAAGAGAGGGGTTCGGCAGGGTGATACCATTTCACGAAAACTCTTCAGTGCCACCCTCGAGAACATCATGCGATGACTGGAATGGGAAGGAATGGGAGTGAAGATAGATGGTCGGCAACTACACCACCTCCACTTTGCTGATGACTTCGTTCTAATAACACCAAACATCAGAGAAACGACACAAATGGCTGGCCGATTTCGACCGTGAGTGTGGAAAGGTCGGACTACCGCTGAATCTTACGAAGACAATGTTAATGAGAAACAGCCTCGTTCCTGACGCTCCATTTGCTCTCAACAGAACCACCATCTCCGAATGCAACAGTTATATATACCTAGGTCGAGAAATCAACATGATGAATGACCTGGCACCTGAGTTGCGCAGGAGGAAGAGAGCGGCTTGGAATGCCTTCAAGAGCGTTGAAGAAATAACTAAGAGGACAAAGAACCTCCAGCTACGAGCACATCTCTTCGATTCCACTGTTCTTCCTGCATTAACATATGCCTCAGAGACCTGGGCCCTACGAAAACAGGATAAGAACACTATTCGGGTCTCTCAAAGAGGAATCGAAAGAGCTATGCTTGGAATATCACGCTTCACTCAAATGAGAGATAGAATCCGGAGTTCTGATCTCCGTCGACGATCAAGAATCAGGGACGCTGTCTCATTTGCCAAGGCATCAAAAATCAGATGGGCTGGACACGTAATGAGGTTTACAGACAACCGCTGAACTAGAGGCATTACTGACTGGATTCCACGGAAAGTCAAAAGATCGCGTGGATGCCCACCTACAAGATGGTCAGACTTCTTCGTCAAGACCCTGAATGATCGCATTGAGGCTCTGCATGTTCCTAGAATGAACAGATGCCATTGGGCTACGCTAGCACGCAACAGGGATGAATGGAGACGTTACTGGCACCCGGTCGAGTAAATCGATGAATAACGGGGATCAAGTGATTGCGACGAAAGCTAGCAGATAGAAAGATATATGGGGGATTAAGGCGTTTACCTTACAGGCCGCTGTCCCAAGTGTGATCCCTTGGAAACCTTACCAGCTTCGTAATAAGAGTTTAGTTTTTTCTGTTTGCGGGGTCCGCCCGAGTCGTGGTGCGGGGTGGAAGCGGGGCGAGCAGGAGCACGGGCGCCCTGCATGGAAGCAGTCCCGAGCCCGCCGAGCAAGCTTTTCCGGGTCCCAGTTCTGTTTTGTATTTTGCAAACCAAGAGCCGGGGAGGTCGATGCCTCGGCGCTCGGCTGCCAGGCCTGGGCAGGCTCCGCCCCGCGCCCGCCCCTTCCGCCGCCCCTCCCGTGGGCGGCCTCCCAGAGTCTCGCGAGAGCCGCCCGCTCCCCTTTCTGCGCGCGCTCCCCGGGCCCGGCCTCTTTCCGCCATCGTCCCGCGCCGGTGAGTGCGTGGCGCGGCTCCACCGCCCATCCGCCGGCCATCCGCGCCATCCTGCGTGCGGGGGCCCCGCTCCGGCTCCGGGCGACGCCCTCGTGGCCCGCCGGGGCCGGCCGCCGCGGCTTTCGGGGCCTCCTGGCCGGCGTGTCGGGCGGGCGGGCGGCCGGGCCGGGAGGAGGAGGAGGCGGCGCGGGGGGGGGGAGCAGCCCGGGCCGCTCGCGGGAGGCGGGTTGAGTGGCAGCCCGGGGGCGCGGGGGCGCGGGGGTCGGCGCGCGCGCCCCCAGCCCCCGCCCGTGCCCGTCCGCAGCCGCCATGGTGCGCATGAACGTGCTGGCCGACGCGCTCAAGAGCATCAACAACGCCGAGAAGCGCGGCAAGCGCCAGGTGCTCATCCGGCCGTGCTCCAAGGTCATCGTCAGGTTCCTCACCGTCATGATGAAGCACGGTGAGCGAGCGCGGGGCTGCTTGTGTGTCCCTGGGCCCCTGAGCCGTGTGCGTGGCCGGCCGCCCAGCAGCCACGGGGCTTTGCTTCTCGTCCGTTTGCTTTGCTTCTCGGGGCACACGTGTCCGCGCACAGGGGCTGCTCCTGGCTCCGCGCTCGGGACTTCCTCCCGGCGCTGCTCGGGGGCCCCGTGGGGTGCTGGGGTTCGGACGGGCCGGCCGCGTGCCCGGCAGGTGCCCTGCCCGCCGCGCTGTCGCTCCGGCCCTGGGGGACGGAATGGCTCTCCGTGGTGCAGCGGGGCGGCCGGGCCGGCATTGCTCCGGCGACGGGGGGTGGCGGCCGCCAGGGCCAGGTTGGCCGGCGGGCGAGTTTGGGCTTCCCGCTCACCGGCGCGGCTCCTCTCCAGGCTACATCGGCGAGTTTGAGATCATTGATGATCACCGCGCCGGGAAGATCGTCGTGAACCTTACAGGCAGGTTGAACAAGGTAAGAGCCGGTGGCGTCTGGCGCAGGACCCTGGAGCGCATGCTCGGTGGAGTGCCCCGACTGCCTAGGGCTGGTCTCCTGTGTGCGGGTTCAGGTCTGGGAGAGGCGTTGGCACCCCTCGCTGGCTGGTGCTTCCCCGTGCCCAGTGCTGCTGCTCTGTCTCTGCTGGTGTGGGCGTATCTCAGAGTGTCTGGCATGACCTCTGGGTCTCTCTGGTCCGTCAGTGGCTTAACTGCGTGTTTGCTGGCAGGTGTCCCTGGGCTGTTTGCTCCCCCTTTGCTCTTGGTAAGGATCCTGGGATCCCACTAGCCCAGGCCTAGAAAGGCTGGTCTGATCCGTCAGGTTCTTCCGAGCCTGGAAGCTCCTCCCACGAGTGAGCATCCTTTGCGTGTGGCTGGAGTATCCGATAAAAACTTGTTATAGGAAACCTTGAAAGAGTCGAAGAACCTTCGAGGGTAGTTTTGAGTTTGATCGTAGCCCTTGGATCCTGACCAGGAAGTGGGGTTTGGATTTGGCATTTCTTAGATGGTGTGTGTGAACCTCTGCCCCACTCCAGGAGTTGGATAACTGGTGAGACCTGCCCAGTGTCCCCTGGTTATTTGTCCCTAGAGCTGGTGCTTGGCCTCCGTCCATCCTGAGCTCTGTTAGTGATGACCCCAAGACTCGGAACGGCAGGGATTGAGTTGATGGGTAGGGGTGGAGGCATGCATGCTTGGGGTAGGGTGGGGGACATGGTTCCCCAGGAAGGCTGGGTGTGGCCCTTCCAAAAAGCTTGGGCTTATGGGGGTAAAGCTCTTGGTTGATGTGTAGCATCTAGGTCCCATCTGGGCTCCCGGCTCCCAGCTGCAAGGGGTTGACTGGTTCTGTCAGGGCCTGGTTGAGCATTCCTGCCGACACCCACCTCCATGTAGTTGGGACCAGCTTCACTGTGGATTATCTGAATGTCCTCTTCCTCCTCTCCTAAGAAAGTTCCCTCCTTGGGTGCAGGAGACTGCTGTTGGGGACTTAAGCCTCCAGGCTCTGCATGACTTTTCTGCCCTGACCAGGGAGGGCCTCGGGAGCTTGATGGGGAGCAGAGGCCACAGGAGCACCTGTGGTTGGAGAATGTTAGTTCCTCCAGTGTGGGAGTGCCCTGGACATCAGCCGACTGTCGGTCTACTCACTCTCAGTCACCATTGTCCCATCACCTGTTCACACTCAGAGCTCCTAAACAGATGTGGGCTGTGCCTCAGTGGTACCTGGCGCTGCTCCCAGCTTGCTGCCCAGGGGACCCTGCTGCACCGGGCTCCTGTGTGCAGAACATGCACGCTGAGCCCAGGTGGTTTTTGTCACAGACTTTGAGGTCTTTGTTGGGTGTCCTGGCACGTGTGTGACCCCCTGCTTACCCCCTGCTTTTGCTCTCAGCAGGGGGGTGGGAACTCAGACTAAACATTTGCTCTTGTGCCTTCTGTCCATACTTTCCCAGTGAGTGGAAGTTCCTGCCTGCACCCTAGGTTCGTGGCCTGGAGTGGGTTTGGGGCTCTTGGCCTGTGGTATGGAGGGCATCCTGGAGATGGCCCTTAGTAATTTCTGTCCTTTGCGTCTTTTGCTTATGGATGACAGTTGGTTTTGCTCAGTGAAGTCATACTCGGTCCCTTCCTTAGCTGTGCCATCTGCAGTGGGGCAGGCCCACCCTTCACGCAGCCCCTGACGGCACGATCTTGACTCCTCAGCCTAGCGTCTCCCCGGGGGTGGGAGGATGGCAGAGGTTGTGCGGAGCTTGTTCTGTGTCCTTCCTGTTCCAGTGCAGCGTCTGTTCTGCCTTCACAGTGTGGCGTGATCAGCCCCAGATTTGACGTGCAGCTCAAAGATCTAGAAAAGTGGCAGAACAACCTGCTCCCGTCCCGTCAGTTCGGGTAAGTTGGTTTTCTGAGAGAGTGGGGAGAGCGGAGTGCTGGTGTCTGGGTGCCGGGGCTGGAGCCGAGCTGGGCTGGCTCTTCCCTCTGCTGCTCCCACCCCGGGTTCATGTTACGTGGCCACATTCTGTCATCTTGGAGGCCTGCCTGGATGTTTCTGCACCTTCATGCTGCTTTTCTGCTGCGCGTGGCTTCTGATCAGTGTCTGCTGTACTTGCTAGAACCGCTCCTCAGCCCAAGGCCCCTTCACGCTTGGGGCCTGAGAGATGACAGACTGGAGTGCGGGGCCCTGGGTTCCGCGCCAGCATCCAGCCCTGAGCTCCGCTGGGGTATCGTGCAGTCCCCTGCCCCGTGCCCCCCCAACCACCCCGTCTTATTATAAGGTCTAGGTTCCAGTACTTACCACAGCTGTGGTTTCTTCCTCCAGAAAGATGACCTTACAGCACCCAATTCATTTGGGTAGGGCAGCTAAAGGTCTATTTGAACTGATTTTTGTTAAACTTTTTTTCTTTCGTTTTTGGCCCACATTTGCAGTGCTCAGGGATCACTCCTGTACTCAGTGCAGTGCTCAGGAAGGCCATAAGGTGCCGGGGATCAAGCCTGGGTCAGTGGTGTGCAGTGCTTGCTGCTCCAGGGCGGCCGGCTCCCCTGGGAAACAGGCGGAGGACGAGGGGCCTCCCTGGCTCCAGGGAGCGCACTCCCCGCTGCCGAGGTTCTGAAGGACTTCCGGTCAGCCACTCTTGAGTTGAACTATGTGGGCAAAACGCACTGGCATTCATTGTTTGTTTTTTTGTTTTGTTTCAACCCTCCGTAGTTTCATTGTACTGACAACCTCAGCTGGCATCATGGACCATGAAGAAGCAAGACGAAAACACACAGGAGGGAAAATCCTGGGATTCTTTTTCTAGAGATGTAAAACTATGAGCAAATAAAAAGCCTCACTGGACTCTGATCTTCTCGGTTGTTTCGAGCCCCGAGCTGAGGAGTGGGGCGCCTGTGTCTGCTCCTCCGGACGGACCACAGGCCCTCGCCCGATGCCCGTGGTGCAGCTTGAGTCTCCCCCAGCTGATGCGCGGGTGTGGGTTGGGCTCCAGGGCTGCCTTTCTCAGGAGTTGTGTGACCCCAAAGCAAGTGGTGCTTTTCTCTTGACTCTGCTGGGTATGCTGCTCGGCCCGAGCACTGGTATAGCTCCCTTTCCCTGAACCCCCTGTCCCCGGTCGTCGCTCCCGGCCCCCCACCATCTGGGCTGGGGGGAGCAGGCAGTCTATGGCACACAGATTTCTCAGCGATCCTGGAAGTTGCTGTGGCCTGACCCGGGGCCTTGTGAGATGCCTTTTGTCATTGTTGGTTTCTGGCCACCACAGCTGTGCTCGGGTCACTCCTGGTGGCACAGGGGGATCGCCCCTGAAGTGTCTTCCGAAAGAAAGACTTCAAAGTCATTTCACTGCAGGAAGCTGTCAGCATGTATGAGAGGAGGGGGGTTTGGTTAGGGTCCCTGTAGGAGCTGCCTATGGCCTGTGGGTGAGTGGCCTGTGGTCGTGGGTCCACAAGGAAAAACCACTGGCGTGTAGCTGAGGGGCTTTGTCACAGGCTGTCGAACTAATCGTTGTCTGCACGCGTGTTTTACTCTCAGCTCTGTGCTCAGAGAACACTCCTGGTTGGGCTCAGGACTGACATACCAGGTGCGGGGGGGTGGGACCTGGCCTGCCCTGTGCTCAGAAGTGCCCTGCCCTCCGTGCTCTGAAGACTGGCAGCTGTCCTGTGGGCGGCTCCGGCTCGGCGGGGCTCCTGGTGTGCCTCGGGGCGGGCAGAGCGAGCGGCAGCTGCCAGAGGGGGCCCCTGGGAGATAGCCTGTTGGGGCAGGGCTGGAAAGGTGGCGGGGACCACCAGGGACGCCATGTGTGCTGTTGCTGCCTCTTCTGGGCCTGTGGCCGGGCAACTGATGGAAACGTGTCTTTTTAGGCACTGGTTTCCAGTGCCGTCAGGAACCTGGCCCTGCAGGCCATCACAATTAGCCAAGAGTGGCCTGCTGATGCTGGAGGAAACCTGGGTCTGGAGAATGGAGGGACGGACCAGCAGGGGGCTAGGAGGAGGCCAGTGGGTTTCACCCACCCCCAGCTGGCTGGGCAACCTTTCGGGTTTAGCCCTGGGTCTCTGACCAGCACTTGGCAGTGGTGTGAGCCTGAACATGACTGCTGCAGCGGAGGTGGGACCCCAGGAACAATCTGGAAAGGGGCCTGGGAGAGCCTCTTGATAGAATCAGGGTTTTTAAAATTTGGGGTCACACTTGACAGTGCTTAGGGATTATTCCTGGCTCTGCTCAGGAGTCACTCTTGGGGTGCTTGGGCCCCGTCAGGACAGGCGAGGTGGCCCTTCCCAAGAGCTGAGTTCTTGAGTGCAGGCCACAGGCGCTGGGTCCTTGCTCTCCAGGGTGCAAGTGTGGCACTGTTCCTGGTCACCGTCAGGATTTTTACTTGGGGGAGAGGGCCTTGGGTTTGGGGGTCACCGGTAGGAACTTTAGGTTGTGTGGGGCATGGGACCAGTTTTGACTCCATGTATGGCCAGCACCTTCTTGCTGCCCCTCATTCCTGCTGGGAGGACCCTCTGTGGCCTCGGTGGCATGCCTGTCCCGTGCCCCCGTGTCCTAGTGGCCCTGGCCTTCCCCGCAGGTAAGCTGGTTGTGGGGAATCCTCCGCTCACACCAGGATAGTGGGGTTGGTACTGGGACAGGCCAGACGGGGACAGCGGCTTTTCCCTTGCATGTTTCGTATCCTCCAGGAGTGCCTTACCTGCACCCCCGCTGTCCCTGGGCTCGCCCACCCAGGGCAGCCTGCCGGAGAGACGCCCCGTTTGCCCAGGGCCTGTGCAGTGTGCAGGCGGGAGCGGGAGCCGGATGCCCCATCCCAAGTCGGCCCCGTGTCATGCTGCCATTTGCAAGACCCGTGGTTCAGGCGAGTGAGGAGTACGAGCTGGGAAGTCGTTGGGTCTCGGCCCTGCCGGACAGTCCTGGCCTGGCATGACGTGTCCTGCCATTCTCGTCCTCAAAGGGCAGTGGTTCACCATAGCCAGCACTTGGGGTGCAGGGGTGCACAGAGTGCCCTTCGCCCGAAATGTCTGTTTCTCATCTCTGCTGGTTGTTGGCTCGTTCCTAGACCCTCTTCCATGGGCCGGGCCCTGTGCTGGGCACTCCATGGAAACTGAGGAGGGAGGAGACCAGGGTGGGGCCGAGCAGAGGGGAGTCAGGCCTGCTGCCTGCCCTCAGGGTGCCAGGAGGCCATAGCAGCTCTTTGCCCATCTGCCCTTTCCCAGGACCAGCTCTGGCTGCGGAGGGAGCTGTGAGCTGATGTGGGCTGGAGCCTCGGCCTGCCTTGGGGCCTCCAGACCCCTCCTCTGCACCCAGGGCTCCAGGAGAGGGGACAGGGTAGGCCAGCCATGAGTTGGAATTCACCCTGGGCCGAGTAAGTGACAGAAAGGGAAGTGGAACAGCTGGGAAAGGGATTTGTTGCCTCTGGGCACATGTTGGCGACCCTGCTTGGGTCCATGGCCAGGACCCTCCTGCATGCCAGCTGAAGGCACCTTAGGGGGTTTGGCCCTGGGAGAGGGGCAGGTCAGCAGAATAGTCAACAGCCTCAGGAGAGAACAATGCTGGAGGAACTCCTGGTTCCAGATGGTATTGCAGAGCTCTAGTTACCAGTTGTATGGTGTTGAGACATGTCAGGGGATCAGACTAGAGAACTCAGAAGCCTGTGAATATGTGCTCATTTATTGGATGACAGGAAGCAAGATCATAAATGGTGGGGGGAGGGGAGCGGGGAAAGTCATTCTCCCATAAACATGCTGGGAGAACTGGACCTCTGTCTTCGACCACATACAAAAATAAACGGATTCCAGGCTAATGTAAGACCTGAAACAAATTCCTGGAAGAAAACCTGCGTGGTAAGCACCTTCGCATAATTTCTTGGTGGTTCTTTGAATTTGACGCTGAAAGCAAAAACCTCAAAAGCAGAAAGAAGTAAGTAGAATCTCATCAGACTGAAAAGCCACCTGCGTAGCAAAGCAAACCAGCAGCAGGAGGAAAAGGCAGCCCGGCAAGTGGGAGGACGCATTTGCAAATACGTAGCTACTGAAGGGTGCGTGTCTGAACATCCACAAAGGACTTCTACACGGGCAGGTACTAAAGAATCCAGTTCAAAACACAGCTGGTACCCTGAGATGGCTCTGTGGCAAAGTGCACGCTTTCCATGCGGGAGACAAGGGCTCCATCCCAGCCCTGCCTGCGAGGGAAGGAAGCGGAAGGGGCAGAGAGAAGACGCCATCCCTGAGCCACGTGGAGATGTAGGTGGCCCCAGTGCGGCGGCGTCTCGTGCCTGTTAGAACAGCTGCTGTTCAGAACTGAGCTGGGTGTGGGAGCGGGAATGTTGTGAGTGAGTGCTCTCAGAGGGATGGCCGGTGCGGAGGGGCTCAGAATAGGAAGGACCAAGGCTTGCACTGCGGGATGAGCCACACCGTCACCTTCTGGTACCCAAAGAAAGCGAAGATCCTTAACTGGAAGCCTCCGGACCCCGTCACTCATTGTGGTGTTGGGAAAAACCCATGATGGGGAAACAGACTAAGCGATGAATGGAAAAGGTAAAGGGACGTGCAGACACACGCAGACAGGAGTGTCAGGGTTGCCACACGTGTGCTGAGTGGGATTTGAGAGCATCGGGCTAAGTGGCATAGTCAAATATGACTTGGGTGAGTCCCTGTGAAGTTAGGAAAAGTGATGGTCACGTCATATGTAGACCCTTGAGTAGCAGCAGCAACCCTCTCCCCTTCTCCCCCCCGCCCCCAAACAAAAGTTCTAAGCCCCGAGACACAGAGGAACGCTCAAGATTGCAGAGGCAGTGGGTGGAGGATTGGAGGGTGGGGGAGAGGGGGCCAGAGGGTCAGAAGGCTCAGAACTTGTGATGAGGAAATGTCACAACGATAAGGAAATGTCACAACGCTTGTGTTGGACCCCCTGAAGCTAATCCTATTATGCCTCCATTAAAATTTGTATCTAAGAAAAGACAAACTTTGTTCATCTCCTGTGATCTATTGTGTTTTTTTTTAAGCTCCATCTTCAGTGTCAATCTAATTTCTAATAAAAAGAAGTGAAGATCACTCCTCACATTCTGTCTGGATTCTGTATAAACACTAAATTCGACAGCAGTTCAGATCGCAAGCTTTTCTGGGTAGGGGATGTGGCTCATTTGCAGAGCCCTGCTTTTGCCGGTGGGAGGGCCTGGGTTCCGCCCCTGGCGCTGAGCGGTGAGGGTGGGGGAGAGGGTATACGTGGGCGTTCATGAACTACGCCTGAGCTATGAGGAAGAACATGAAGAGGAAAATGGGAGCCCAGCACTGTGGGGAAATAATTGTCCTGCTGGAGTCTGTTGCATACACGCCACTTGAGAAGTTCATTAAGAAGTTAATCGACTTTTCCTCCCACTTAAGTGTTCGGTTCGTGTGGGGGTGGGTACAGGGGACTAAGCCGTGCCTCCTGCATGCAAAACATGCACCTGAGCCCTTAGAGGTTAGCCCTGCACGCAAGCCCTTAGAGCATAAGCGGGAGCCCTTAGTGGGCCCCCTCTAGCCCCTCATGTGTTTGAACACTCAGGGTGATGCAGTATGCAGCTTCCACAAGTCCCCGTGACCTTCAGATAGAGTTGCCTGAGTGTGCATGTGTGTGCATGTGTGTCCACGTGTGTGCATGTCAGCACATGCATGTCTGCCAGTGAGTGCATGCCTGTGTGCAGGTGTGAGTGCATGTCTTTGTGCCTCTGTGTGTGTGTGTGGTTTTGGCCTTGCCTGGTGGTGCTCGGGGCTCCGCGTGGTGCCCGGTTTGGACCCTGTGGGCTTCCTGCTGTACTGCCTGCACCCCGCCTCCTGAAGTCTCCACAGTCCTACAGCTGCCTTCGTCTTGAG